TTATCTGTTTAATTTGACTCATGTGGTATTCATAGGTTTAGAATTACTCGACTTAGCTCCAAATTCTTTAAATATCTCATTTAATTATACATACCAGCTCCTTACAGTTTGACGCAAACTGTACAGGAATTTCTGCAGTAGATATATTTTGTAACCAGTGTTTAAAATTCTAAGCATTTTTGCATCTTTGTTTTCAACATCTTCACTTTGTTCAGCAATAACAACTAAAATCTCAGAAATTTGTTTGGGGTACAGCATATGGTTTCTCTTATTTAGATAAGGGCAAGTGATATCACGTTGAATTTTCATCCTCTAGGGAGTAGGATATGCTTTAACAATGTCTATGAACTAATTGTAAGTAAGAGCGTGAGTTTGGATGAAATATACCCCAATCTGCTGACTAAAACCTTGAGCTCCAACCTAGAGATTTGTTCATCAATACAATTTGATTCCCAATATCACACGATTTGGGGTATGCCTATAATGGAGATACGAGGCTTCATATTGAGCTACATAATATTTCCATATATCGTCGTATCACTGTGGTCGTGCAGATATAACGCATATATCTTAAATATTATTGCTGTTATTCTTATCTCTATTCTCTATGGACCTGACTCCATAACTGGATAAAAGAAGGAAATTGGAAATTCCATAGGTTTCTCCTTAGCTGCAAAGGCGCATTCTCCAGAATTGCAGGAAGTTCTTCTTGTAAGAAATTTAGGTAACTCACGCTGTTCAATGTATATTCGATGATGGCGGATCATATATTTACTCCAAAATGGCCTTGGTTTTGGACTGTATTTACAATGTGGGAATTTTCAGTGGATCAGTAGTGTTCATTGCGCCTGTTTGGTAAACCATTACTGACAAACCGACTTTCGTCCGTCCAAAGAAATTGCCGAAAAAGGTTCTGATCAACAGTTTCTACATTTACTACAATTTGAACTATAAAATTAAGTCTATTTTCAATGTGACGCTCAGGCAAATACTCCAAATTGTGAATTTTGTAGTCATGATACACATTGGCTTATAAAATTCGTTGAACTGCTGATTTATCCAAATTCAATTCCCGGCTAGCCTGCCGTATAGAATTTCGTGGATTTTGTTCGAAATACCGTAACAGTCTAGCTGTATTAACATTGTTTCTTACCCTTCAGTCAATTATTTGATTTTTCCGAACATAAAATGCATCTTCATTTCGTTGCAAGATCGCGTCCAATCTTGTAAAGGTTCTATGATCAGGAATGAGGCGCTTTGGATACCTTTCTTGATATAACTCTGCAGCTCTTCTTGAATTTTTTTGTGACTCGCCGTAAATTAGTAACATGCCAACTTTTTCTGAATGAGAAAACATTTTGTAAGCACAACAGTTATACGTTTGACGTTCGTATTGAGTAATGACAAGTATTATCTACATATACTATCGAGTTTGAGACACATAGTACTATGTTTTTTAATTACAAATGATTTAGTAAATTAAATAACTGTTAATTTCTGGAAATTACTTGTTATGTCTCTGCTGGTTATTGAAACGAAAACAAAAACTCTCTCAACAATTCGCAACTCTTTTAAATGACTTTGATCGTAAATCTAAAATATCTTAATCTTTAAACAATGTACCTTTTATAAGTTTCAGATGAAAACCTGAGCCAATTCGTTGATTGGTATCCAAGCTTAGAATATTATAAATTTTACCCAAGAATCGGACGCTGTTATGAGATATATAACGAAAAGGTGACACCTTTGATTTGCCAGAGACCCTTAAATCCAGAAAAACATTCCTGCATACATTTAATACAAGAAGAAAAATACTGTTTGGGATTAAAAACGCCAACAAATGAAACTGTTCAATTACTCTGTGAAAATTCAAAGGAAAAACTCCTTTCTTACCATTTGGACGATGAATTAAACAATTGTTTCAATATTTCACGACCGGACAAAAGCTACAAAGAGGTGTGCCAGCAAAAGTTTGGCAATTACAGCATAGGCATAACAACGCCAGATAATTTCACTGTATTGTTTGATTCATACTTTTGTGAAACCTCAACGAAAAGTGAAGAACGAGAAACATATAGCCAATTTATGACTTCGTTTTCTTTTAATCCAGAAACAAAAAGTTGTTACAAAATATATGACAAACATCAGATGATAAGTCCATACACGTGCTTCAATGACGATGTGTTCAGTTCCTGTGTGGAAGAACTCCCTTATGTCAAAAATTGTGAAGGGATAGTCACTCAGAACAACGAAACTATAGTATTACAGTGTACTAATGACAACGTAATTATACAAGCTGGTAACTGCTTCAAAATATATACGGCAAATAACAGTTTACATATATCTTGCCTGAGACGAATAGAAGAGCGATGCATTGGATTTACCACTCCAAGTAACTTGACCGTTTTGGTTGAATGTTATTTCTGCAGTAAGCCAGGTATGTTCTGTATTTTATATAAAAATATTAAGTACAGGGTGTCCCGCATAAGAACCAACATAGGGCAGGTGTAAGTAGGGGTGTACAAAATACTGTAATTTAACCAAACTTACCTATATACAAAGTTGCACCGCTGAGGAGTTATTAGCCCCCAAAGTAGGGCCCTAAATTTCGAAATATTCGCAACACTACCGCAGAAGAATCAAATTTGGTACATGATTTAGGTTTATTATTGGTCTTCTTTGACTATGAGTTAAAGTTAATTGAAGCACTACAAGGTGTTCATTGGGGATAACTCACCCCTAAAATTGTACCGAACTTTTTTTTCATTGACCGAATTGAAAAATAGTAATCTTAATTCACAGCTGAATTTAATTTATTTTTTTTTACTCTTGTTTTAAAAAACTGTATGGTTTTCAAGAAAAACCGTTTTAACTGACACGAGACTTTAACAGTGTTCATTAGAAAATCTTTCAAACTTGTTAGTTAGTAATAAAATTATTTTATTTCAATAATTCTATCTGATTGTTGTTGAAAATGGCTGGAAAATTTACATTTAGCGAAGAAGTTGATGGTTTCCGCGAAAGAAACTGTATAAGAAGTGTGAAAGAATATCGTAGGAGATTTTCGTGTGGTTCCTCATAGAGAAACATTTTCTAATGTTGAAAGATGAGCTCGAGAGGCAGGAAAGTTTTTCAGCAACATCCGAGAACGTCCTAATGTAATAGGGGTACAAGATGAAGAAATTATTTTGCAAACAATTGAAGATGAACCGCAAGTAAGTACTAGACGTTTATTTCGCTACACTGGGTTATCAAGAACTTCTGTAAACCAAATTCTTTAACGTAATCTACTGCATCCATATCGTGTCCAAAAACTGCAAGAGTTATTGCCTTAAGATTTGGATCGACGAGTGACGTTTTGTGAGTTTGTTCATCAGGATATTAATTTTCACAAGAAAATTCTTCTTACTGGTGAGGCTTATTTTACTCGCCGAGGAATTAAGATAAAAATTTGGGCCAATATTATTGATCGTTATTTGATTGGATCAGCTATTTTGCCAAATCGACTAAATAGCGAAAGTTATTTGGAACTTCTACAAAATACCCTCCCTCATTTTAGTGCTACTGTCAGAGATTTTTTGAACCTTAAGTTTCCAAATAAATGGATAGAACGAGGAAATAATTGCCCTCAAAATTGGCCACCATAATCACTAGACCTCAACAAATGTGATTATTTTCTTTGGGGAACATTGAAGGATTTTGTTTATTCTTCGCCAGTTGAATCCCGAGAAAATTTATGGAATCGTATAACAAATATATGTAACCTTAGGAGAAACGATCATCATTTGTTAAACAGAGTAAACTTGAATTTTCGGCGAAGAATAAATTTATGTATCAGGGAAAATGGTGCCCATTTTGAACCATTCCTTTAGTTTTAATTATTACTACATATGTATATTTTCAAACTGCATTGTACTGTACTTAACATTCTTTAAAATAATTGTGTCTATTCTGATGCTTTCAATTATTATTTTTATTCTTTATTTCTGGTTTTTACTTAATACAATATTCGCTTACTTAAAAACTACGAAGTGAGGTAAAATTTATTTGGGCAATTATCAAATTTGAAAGATAAAGCCTACTTTTCGATTATTTTCTAATAAACACTGTTAAAATCTTGTGTCAGATAATACGGTTTTTTTTGAAAACCATAGTTTTTTAAAATTTGACAAGAGTAAAAAAAAATTAAATTAAATTCTACTGTGAATTAATATTATATTTCAATTCGGTCAACGAAAAAAGTTCGGTAAAATTTTAGGAGTGAGTCATCCCCAATGAACACCTTGTAGTGCTTCAATTAACTTTAAATCATAGTCAAAGAAGACCAGTGATAAACCTAAATCATGTAGCAAATTTGATTCCTCTGCTGGAAGATATTAATTTCTTTCGAAATTTAGTTCCCTACTTTGGGGGCTAATAACTCCTCAGCGGTGCAACTTTGTATATAGGTAAGTTTGGTTAAATTATAATATTTTGTACACCCCCACATGAACCTGCCCTGTGTCGGTTCTTATGTAGGACACCCTGTATATGTTCTTAGAGCATATTCATAACATAACATTGGCATTGTATGCTGCAAAACTTAGGACACTTAAGTAACTCAAATTATTTGGTTTTAGGTATTAAATACATGTCTTACAATGTGGAACAACAAAGAGAATATCGGAGATTTATTAAATCATATCTTTCCAATGAATACACGGGAAAGAATTCTTATCTGGGAAGATTTGAATTCGAATCATTCAAAAAAACTGATTATTTAGATGCACCTGGATATTTTGGGAGAAGGTTTACAGTTTATGGCTATTGGTTACCAAACAGCGATTGTTTTGGTCTCACATTAGACAGTAACGAAACGGTCATTCTAGAATGTATTTCTAAGGACAAATCTAAACAAGGAAAATTTGGATGCTTCCCAGTCATTAATCCAAAAATAAAACAAGAACAAAATATCTGCGTTAAAATTATAAATGAAACTTGTGTGGGGATCACTACTCCACTAAACTGGTCTGTTGCGTTGGCTTGCTATTCCTACTATGAAAATACCACAAGTAAGTACTTCCAATTTTAAGTATGAGCTGCTTCCACCGAGAGTCTACAGCACAACCAGTATATTGTAACAACTTTACAAGTTACAAGATATTTGCTTACAATTACAAATTGTGGGTACTGGCAAACTTACATATATATTTTTAAAGGTATAGATATAATCTATAATCTTATATAATGATGCAGTGAAAATATTAGAAATCTTTTATAAGTTGTTAAGTAATAATTAAATTTTAGTGTGCCGCGCAAAAAAAATTAAACGGGTGTTTTCTGCCGCGCTAATTCGTGACGTCATTCAGTGCGATTGAAAATCGATAAGTTGGTTGCACTTAAGTAGAAAGAGTCTAGAGAAAACCGAATTCACTTTGCTTCGAGGCTTCCCGCATGAGCATTTCTTATGTTCTGTATGTTAAATTGTAGTCCTACGTATGTTTAAAAATCCTGAATTATATCCCAATAATTGAGATATTCTTGTTGTCATACATAGTGTAGCAGACAATATGCATCAATTTTTCCACTTAATCATATAATCTGATATTTTAGGTCAAAACGAAATACAAAAAAGGAAATATGCAGATTCCGTTGAAGAATTCAGACTATATCCAGGCTTGAATAACTGTTACGAGGTTTATCGTTCACACGAAGTAAACTCCTACAGCTGCAGAAAAAGTGCAAATCCTAATAATTATTCCTGCATTTATTGGCTACCAGGAGAAAAACATTGCTTGGGTTTAAACACTCCAAACAACGAAACAGTCGAATTAGTATGCGGTGACTCTCGAGAAGATGTCCTTTCCTACAAAACTTTTTCTACAATTAAAAACTGTTTCAGTATTTACAGCCCCAATAAGCAACTGGGAAAAGTCTGCCAACAGAAATTTGGAAATTATGGCATAGGCGTAACAACTCCTAGTAATTACTCCATATTATTCGATTCCTTCTTTTGCCCTGCATATAAAACCTCTGAGCAGCTCCAGGAGTACAAGGAATTTATCGGCAACTTCACTTTTGACCCTAGTATTCGAAGCTGTTACAAGGTTTATGAACCAGATCAAGACATTAGTCCGTATACATGTTTGAGTGACAAGGTATACAACGCTTGTATCCATCTGCTGGAAAACAGTAACTGTATGGGAATAACAACACAGAATAATGAAACTATCGTTTTGGAATGTTCGAATGATGCAAAGGTAGTGAACAAGACAAGTTGCTTCAAAATATATACACCTGATAACAAAATACACATTGTCTGTCAGAAGCAGGTAGAAGAGCGATGTGTAGGATTAGTTACGCCAAGTAACTTGACTGTACTTTTTGAATGTCACACCTGTGTTTCAACTAAAGGTAATTATAATTTTGTCAGAATCAGTTTTATTGATTTCTACAGTCATTCTAACATATTGATGATGTGTCAAACGTATGTAAGAAAAAATTAAAATTTTCGACTGGTTAACCAAAAATCAATTTCCATTGATCTTCTGAGAGAAATATATCGCTGTCTTCTTAAGAAGAAACACTGAAATTGTAGATTAATTCCTCTGGTCGGTATTTATATTGTATGGTGTATCCTGTTTCGTATCAATCCTCTGCTAGATTCCAGTGGGAATACTGATTGGTGGCCATAATATAGAACAATTTCTTTATTTAAAAAGGCGTACTTTTTATTATTTCATCAATATACAGGAGTGTCTTCCTTGGTGCCACTTTAAAATTTCTTGACATCTCATTGACAAAGAATTTTGGGAAATTTCCTCTGGAATATAATTAAGCCCATAACTATTTTTGCTACGAATTTATCTTTCCCAAATTTCGAATTTTACTTTATCCAGAAATCTGCATTCTTCTTCGAATGAAATTCTTAACAATATTTCTAATTGCAATTTTCGAAAGCTTCTGCCTATTACGATATAATCTGTGGCGCTTGGTTGAATCAAATAAAATTTTTCTTCCTCTTAATAGAGAATATTTAATACTTCTCTCTCTATGTGGAATGGATAGATTGGGGCACTTCCACATTTCTTCGGCAGTTTTCTTCACAGAAGCTCAGCACTAAGAACACATCAACCTGTTCACTAAATTAAATCTTTCCAACCATTTCTGAAACATTTTGTTATTGATATACATACAGGAGCACGTCATTCAGGATATCTTGCACGGTACACTAGACAAGCTCTGTGGGCATTTTCGTTTGATTCGCCATAAATTATGAGCATATCATAAAATTCGCGATTGCTAAATAAATGCGCCATTTTCAAAAGAAAACTTGGAAATACGGCTATTAAATGTGCTCTCGAAAAACAGCACAGCAATCACTACAACAATGTATTACAAACTGACTTTTGAATACAGTCTGGCTTCATAGGAAACCTACAAACTAGTACTCGCCGCGATAAAATACATGCATTTCAGCAGTTCCAAAACGGTTTTAAACACATTTTTAATTAGCTTTTTTTCTCTATGATCTTAAACTTCTGATACAAGTTTGTGATATCAGTCAATTCAGTTTTTGCTCCCTTTTCACCCCTTTAAATTTTTGACATAAGTTCATTAACACCCTGTATAGTGTAATTAGTGGATGTCAAATTACAAACAAACTAAAATACCTTACTTCCAACATTCCTGGTTTTTATTTGAAAACGACAAAATTTAGCAAGAGCAAGGAAAGTTTTAGAATCAAGTTTATGCAACAGGAAGGCATACGTTTTCAAATTGGTTGGATCTCCTTTAATTATCATTTTGCGACACCACAATGACCTTGAACTAGTATATCAAACTTACCTGCAACCAGACGGAGATATAGGTCTTCAAAGTGAGGCTTAAAATTTCGACACTGATTTTTTGGCCTTTGGTCAATTTCAAAAACGTCTGCGCGCGCTCCTATTATACAGAATTCGATTCTATAACTTTTCTTGCTCTTGCAAAGCTTTGATAAACCTAGCCGTTTTCAAGAAAAACAGGATACATTTCTTCTGATAATTTACGTTTCAGGTTCAGTTGACTGCTATTATAACCTCTTCTTCATCTTGTATTCTTTACTACTAGCGATGTCGACTTGTACTAAGAAACATTCCTGTTTCTCGAGGCCTTGTTTCAACATTGCAAAATGTGGAACGATACGGTTAGGAAATTTGCTCCAATGTTCTTCCGCACATATCAATTTGTTGAATAAATGAAAACTTTCCAGCCATTTTTGAAACAAGAAAATCATTTTATTATTGAAACATAATAATGTACTGAATGCTTATCAAATATGAGTGTCCAATTCATAGCTTTGACCTTTTGGTGTAATTCACAGTGCTTAGAATAGCTTACTTTGAATAGTTCTGTTTTTCTTGAAAACAACAAGCTTTGTCAAAGTTTAGTAAGAGAAAGAAAAGTTGTAAAAACAAATTCTGTATAATATGAGGGCATAGGTTTTCAAACTGGACAAAGAGTAAAAAATCCGTATGGAGTTAAGGGTAGGCCTTAGCTAATTATTATCCTGAAATACCTCAATGACCTTGAACAATTTAGCACCTGTATGAATGAATGAATGTGTGGTACTAATGTAACCATTTATTAAGAAAATTGTTATGTTTATTGCTTCATCTTTGTTGTACGACCATGTCACTATTCAATGTTTCTTTTTAAGTACATTCTTATATTGTTTGTGTATCTGTCATATCTCCAAGTTTTGTCTTCTTATACGATATGTCATTCTTTTTATTCAACATTTTTATATAATTCGTTGCAAACATGCACAGTTATAATCTTCAAGTCAATATATTATTATTGAAAGGTCAATTTGTTTGTATCTATATTTTTACGAATATTTAATATTATACTTAGTCCCCTTATTTGACGCAAATAACTAACACCTTCTCAAATATTTTCAGGCGGATCAGACTTGCCCGTTTACACTGACGGATATAGAAAAGTTTTTCGTTCTTTTATAGAATTCTCACTCTATACCATTACACAAAATAATGACGCTCTAGTAAACAAGACAACTCTTAGTGTCTATACACCAGAGCAGGACATAAAATTCACAGATTGCTATAATGAAATAAAGAATTATGAGATTCATATACTACATGGACATGAAAACTGTCGAGGAATTACGATGGAAAGTTTCGAAACTGTAGTTCTGGATTGTTCCAATAAGGTGCCTGAAAGAGTGGGATGTTATGATGTCTTCAGTCCGGTTTTCAGCGAAGATAATAAAATAATTGGACCCGATCGCAAGGTAATGTTCATGATTTATTCAGTATTGTTAACTAGGCATATAAAGATACATTTTTTACTATTGCATGTAACATACTAAGTTTACCCAAACAGTGCAATACGTTTAACGTGTCATGGTTTTTCGAGTAATTACCACTTAGCTAGTCGCCGCTACTTATAAACGTAAATTGCACTTCCTTAGCTTTAGCTAGGAACAATTAGTATCTCTCGGGCTAGGCTGTGTGGGGGTGGACCCTCTATCAGAATCCCTAGGCCCGCATAATCGGTTTTGGCAGTGCGAAGAAAATTTGTCTATCCTCTAATCTTGAAGCGGCCACTCGAGACCGATTTGTGAAGCGTTCGCGAGCTGCTTACGTGTGGTTATAAGCTGCTCGCCATATGTTTTTTGATGATGGTCACATTTGATATCATGTAAAAAAAAGTACTTGATATATAAATTTCCATTTGTTTCACAGATAATTGCATCGAAAGTCATCTTAAATATTAATAGCCGTTTCTTTTATAGGTGGGTAATGTTTGCGTAAGAATTTTAAATGAATGGTGTGTGGGACTAACAACTCCTAAAAATTGGACTATACCTTTAAGTTGCCTCGAAGTACCAGATCTGATGTGTCCTTTAAGCAGTAACACCCAGTAGCAGTCATCAAAGAATATGTTTGTTGAATTAATAATTAGTTGTGTACGATCATGTAAATTATAAATAAATAAAGAACTGCCACATAACTTTTAACTCGTTCTGTGCAGAAATAATACAACAAAATTGGTTGTAATCACCACAAGTGATTAAAATTGCATTTGTGGTCAATACATAAAAAGTTATAAGTTTATTAAACAACTAAATGTAAATTTTTATTAAAATTCGATATATTGAAATCTGATGTCGGAATCCGAAAATTCCCGAATAAAAGATGGCGGACGAAAAAATTGGAAAACCATTTAAAATTTGAAAATTATGGCGGAAACTTGTTACTCGGAAAAATACCATGGAAATTGGTATTTACCAGGCAAAGAAATGCGTTATAAATATTTAAAAAATTGAGTCATTTGAGTAAAAATAGACAAATGACTAAAATTGAGAAACAAGGAATATTAGTATATTTTGAGGCTGAATTTAAGTTTTTTAAATAAGGAGAAGCTGCTGCACGTTGAATACCTGCATCTAATATTAATTTAGAAGGAATGATAAGTATGTTAATATTCTTCATTTTGAGCGAAAAGGTATAACATAACCATGTCCAGTGGGTTTTTTTCAAAATATCTCCAAACCGATGTTAGTAATACCTCAAATCGTCAGATCTAACTTACTGAATGTGCGAGAATGAAAGGAATAGAAGTAGGCAGATAAAGAAGGAAAAATGAAACAAAAAACTCTTGGATTTAGTACTAATGGCGCCCTATGATTTTTTCCTTAGAATTATGCTTGTTTTTAGTATTTACTTGGTTCACTATATAGTCTGAGAGTGTCGTAATAGAAAAAAGTAATATAAAAGTCTTGTTTCTCGATGTTTATATGGATATTTTTTCCTGGAAGGTCTTGTATCCTGCTACAACAACCTTACTGTTTATTAAAAACTAGTTTAGCAGGGAATATATATATTTGGTACATAAACATCAGCTGAAGGCCAGTTAACGCTATCTTATCCTCGCGTTAATATAAGTACATAAAATGAAATTTGTAGTTATTATTGGATTTTGTTTTGTATTAAAATTTGGTTACGGTAAGTAAAGTTTTCCAAATTAATTAACCATTTATTTATCTGTAGACAGTTTTACATTATTTAATAACAAGTACATACATAAGTAAATTCTTTCTATGCGTACCTATTTGATAATACTAACATAATTGTTTCTCTAACAATAAAATAATATACCTAATGTAATAATAAACTGTGGAACTAGAAACAGACGAAATAAGAAAAAAAATATCTTAAAATGTCTCTTAAATAAATTACCTACAGCCTTTCTAAGGTAAACTAAGAAGGTAGGTAATATTATTTTCATCAATAGTAACAAAATATTTCGCACTAACCTGGAATTCTAATGAAATAGAATTGACATTTAAGACTTGTAGTCGTCCTTTTGTGATTTTAAATTAATTGTTGAAATTTACCATGAAGTTTCATCTAAACCGACATCATAAATAGCTTTTTTAAATATAAAATCGTCACCTTTTGGTAATATACAGGACGAATCAGCTAAAATTCTCCAGGCTAATACTTGGAAACAAAAGATCTATACGTTCTGCAAGTTCTATTCGTTGGATGTACAAGGTGTCTCGGTATTTGATACAAAAAAGCCGAGTACAAATAGATGAGGTCAAAATAGTATCAGTTCTTCATATAAATTTTTTTAATTTTTTTTTTTCTGTTAACAAGTTACGGACCGTAAAAGGTGAAAATTCAAAAGTTATTTTGGTTTACGGTCTCTAAACTATTAACTTCAGCATGATGCAAGTTTGGTGATCGATAATACATAAATTCAGCTTATTTTTGATGTTGTAAGTGAAACTTCATTCTGTGTATAACAGAACTGATATTATTTTGACCTCAACTATTTGTACTCGACTTTTTTGTATCAAGTCCCGGGACACCCTGTATAGAATGACTATTTTTCTGTAGAAGCAATGCCAATGAGATAGACGTTGCCGAGTAGGGCAACGCTAAGAGAAAATTAAGTCGAAAATTTAAAAAATGGCCCAAAAATCCTGGGAAAATCCAATTTATCCTTTGTCGTATTCTACGACTTTTTACCTCTCGAAATTTTCCGAGAAAACCCACCTTTTCGAGTAATAATTACTTGTTTAATTTAGGTGTATCCATACTTGTATGAAAATGAATATTCTACTTTATAATTTATGAATTTATTATTATTTTTAGGTACCGAATGGCAAGAATTCGATACGGCCGAACTAAAAGAACGAGAAACATTTTTTGAAACATACCTCGCTAATGAGCATGAAGGGAAAAATTCTTACACAGATAAACCCGAATTTAGAACACGCAACCTCAGTGTTCCACCGGAAATCTTGGAACGTTTTCGAAAAGTCCACACTGTGTATGGCTACTGGTTACCAAATACTACTTGTTACGGTGTTACGTTACCCAGTAACGAAACAGTCGTTTTAGAGTGCACAAACGACAGACCAATGCATCTTCAACACGGCTGTTTTGTAGTGAATAATCCGCAAATGGACTCGAACCAAGAGCGAATTGTTTGTATGGAATTTTGGCGAAAATCGTGCGCAGGGATCGTAACTCCCTTGAACTGGTTTGTAGAATTTTCTTGCTACTCTAAAAATTACGATACTCACAAAAGTAAGTATAACTCTAGACAACATTATTTATGTCAATGTAAATAAGATCTTGAGAGGATATAACCTTAGGTTTATTTGATAAGTTGATCTTGTGTAGTCTGTTTTTGGAAATATAAGAGAGTAATAAGAACCGGCCATGGGCGTGGTAATATTTCGTTTCAGGTAATTATCGGGTAACACTAATGCTAACAGGTAATGGGTGTACATTAGTATATTTTACTGGATACATCATAGGGCAGGAGCCAGTGTATTGTGACAGATCAATCCAGTCTTAGAGCTGAATATACGAAGACGTGCTAGTGCAGTAGAGTAAAATTCGACTTGTGTTTAGTGACTATTGTGCCAGTGGATATAATATTGTTTGGGTAAAATGTCGAGCTTATCAGATTACGTACCTGCTAAACGCGTGAAAAGATGTGCGCTGTCTCAGAATGAGAAGATTATTATATTAAATGTATTTAATGCATTGAAACACCAAAATCCTACCAACAGTGTTGACGACATCGTGGAAAAGTGTTCCAAAATGACAGGGATTGGAAAATCGACTATCTACAGACTTTTAAAGGAAACAAAAAATGAACAAGATACTGTAAATCCCCCAAAATCATCTACAGGGAGGTCAAAAGTCGTTATAGATGATTTCTTCAAAAATGTCATTCGCAGAAAAGTACACTCATTTTATTTTAAAAAAGAAATACCAACGCTAAACAAAATTTTAAGTGAACTTTCAGAGGACAACGATTTGCCAAAAATCAGTAGAAGCAAATTATGGGCCGTCTTACGAGAGTTGAATTTTTGCTGGGAAAAGCAGAACAGGAAGTCAGTTCTTATCGATAAAGATGAAATTATTTGTTGGCGAAGATCCTACTTAAGATCAATTAGAAAATTCCGTGACGAAGGGAGGAATATTTATTATCTAGACGAAACTTGGGTCAACGAGGGATATACTGTAACAAAAGTATGGCAAGATAAAAATGTAAAAAGTTTTCGACAAGCATTTTTGGATGGACTTTCAACAGGGTTCAAGGCACCTTCAGGTAAAGGGCGAAGATTAATAGTGACACATATAGGTAGTGCCAGTGGTTTTGTAGATGGCGGTTTACTTTTATTTGAATCTAAAAATACAGGTGACTATCACGAAGACATGAACGCAGATGTTTTCGAAGAGTATTTTACACAGATGTTGGATCTTATTCCTCCGGGGTCTGTAATTGTCATGGATAATGCCAGTTACCATTCACGGCAGACCGAGCGGACGCCTACGACTGCTTGGAGGAAAGCCGATATAATTCAATGGTTATCCGGAAAAAACATTTCTTTTGAAACAAATATGGTGAAAAAGGAACTTTTGACACTTGTCAATCTTAATAAAGATCAGAAAAAATATGTTATCGATGAAATGGCAACAAATCGCCAAATAACGGTACTACGGTTACCACCTTATCACTGTGAACTTAACCCAATCGAATTAGTCTGGGCGCAGGTAAAAGGAGATGTAGCGCGAAATAATACGACGTTTAAATTAAGTGACGTGAAAATTTTGTTAAAAAATTCCTTGGAACGAGTAACTGCAGATAACTGGCAAAGATGTATACATCATGTACAAAAAGAAGAGGAGAAAATGTGGGAACTCGATAATTTAATTGACGTTACTGTGGAACCTATCGTTATCAATCTAGGAGACGAAGATAATTCATCAGAATATTCAGAGGATGAATTTTAATATACCTACTTTTTTATTTTCTTTATTGTACATTTATACAACACTACATTTACTCACCATAATTTGAATTTTCAAAATACATATATTTTTGTGTGGAATAAAAGTCTATTCATTAAATTTAAATAAATATTTTGATAATAATATTGAATAATTTTATTTGAATTACTAAAAACCCTCTTAACCCGGTTATGATGCTTAAAGTAGCCTCATGTTTTGAAATGCTGATTTTATATTGTTTACTTATAAGAGAAATGGACCGAGAAATTGAAGAGGCATAGACAAAGACGGATTGTCGGGATTAAATTTTAGCTAACTGCTACAATTTAGTACAACCCGGTCACACAAAGTTTTTTTTAAAAGTACACCTGATCTATACCGATAATACATAATATAAAAAATATTGAATATAAGCACCAGTACTACATTTATTTACGATTTGCATACATAATAAGCTTTTATTACTCTCTTTCATTTCTAAACAGACTATAACTGATATTGAAATTTTATTTTTTTAACCTTATTAAACTATTTTGTAATATTAAGTAAAAGCTTTCACTTATAGGGCGTAAATTAAAGTGGAGGTCTTTTCTTAAGTAAATAATAATTATTTTTGTCGTTTAAAAAAACGCACTTAAACAAGTAAACAAAGATACTAATCCGATTGATATTAAATACGTTATTTAAATCATTTCATAGTTTAGTTGAATGTGTTTAGCCTGCCGCTACATAAAGTACATGGGGACGCATTTAGGAAAGTTAAAACAGATGATATTAAAAAGTTATAAAATTGTAAACAAACGGTATGTTTCTACCCTTTTCCTTATTCAGCCAATCAGTCAACCAACATATTAAATTAATTGAAAGTAAACAAAACAGCAACAAAATTAAATCGCGAACTGTTTAAATTTAAGCAGAATCCAATCCTGTTTCGAACGCTTACAAAGTTCAACGGAGGCTAGCCTCCATTGTACCTCCAAGTACTGTCAGTTGTCTTCACATTTGATATACGACGAGATGGTAAATGGGTAAAAAATAAACTTTTACGTTAATTCGGCGAAACGGGAATGACCAATTACGTCATCATCTTTTCATTTTGTTACATTTCTATTTTAGTTTATTGACCGGGCTATCAGAACCAAGCCGCGGGACATAGGCGAACGTATTATTTATGAAAAAACAACAAATTAAGTTACATGTCTACAATACAGAACCATAAACACCAACGGATAGGAATTAATTACGGAACATCCGCACGATAACAAAGCAAACAGTTGTTAAGATTTTATTCGGTATATATCTATTGATAGTAATAAACATTTTAAATATATAAATAATATTTTCGGACACTAAGGGACATCTATGGGAGAGTGGTTAAACGTCTTTGTATTTAATTTTTTTAAAAAAGAGGAAGATAACACTATCGGTTGTCGAAAAACGTCGCCTCGCGTAGAGTAAAATGGCCAGTCGTCGTGGGTGTCGGAAAAATGATTACTGTTGTTAATTATTACACTTGATTTGCACGGATTAAAACCACGATTCGCTGTTGAGTATATAAGTTTTAGTTGAAGAATGTGCTAGAATTTCTATTGAATTGGGCCATATTTTTCTGTTACGTCTCCATTGTTAGGAGATTCGGCATTGGAGGTAAGCGTGCACAAAATTTCAGTAAAAATATAATTCAAGTTCTAACTCATTACAGAACGACATTATTTATTTATTTTTATCTACACTTTTAGACGATTTACCTGGGAGGTAGTAGTTTTTTGTCCTACGCTATTTTTTTTTGAAGAACTCCCCCAACGAGTTTTCTAAGAGTTTCGTCATCGGTCGGAAATAAGACGCTGCAGTGATCCATTTCGAAGATCCAACCTTTTTCTTTTTCCATCGATTCGACAGATCAATATCAGCCATAAGTGTTAGGACCTTTGTAAACAAAATTAGATTAAGATTACTTAGTATAAGAATTTCCTTTATCCGACCATACTTAAAACAGTTGTCGGTTACAATTTTGCAAGGGAAATAAGGCTCATTTGGCATATTTAGATGTGTATTTATGTATGTCTTGTCTACCAATGTCCATAGACATTTAAATTTTCGGAGAACCCTGTATAAATAATCAAAGGATACTATAATACGGCTGTATTGAATGTTTAGTGGTTTCCTCAGTATAGTTCTCTAAGTAAATACTTTTTTTTTGGCTGAGGGTACTTATAAATTAAAGAAATCACTTGGAGTCCTAAACTCTGTTTAATTTTCTTGTGTTCTGTTATTTTGCTTTTTGTTGTAAAAACCCACACTGAAAAGCTAACTAGCCAAAAAAGAAGTGGATTAATTCTAAATTATTGGCGCCCAACTTAGGAGGCCCGATTTTTTTTATTGTATTTTCTGTGGAGGAATAATTTATGTGCCTACTATTTTATAGATGTCTATAATAGTTTTGTAGTATTTATGTAGTATAGTGTATAGTCAAACTGAACCATAAAATATTTTGAAAATTAGGGTTAATATTGATCAATGAATCGAGTTATTTAACGATTTATTTTTATATCAGGTTGATGGTTATTATTTTACGTTTATTAATCTAGATACCGAATAATTTAATTGGTAGATAAAAAATTTTAATATTATTCATTTAAACATAAAAAAAGAAAGGATATAAACGAAAGAGAATTTTTTTGCATAGCCGATTTATTTAGTTGGAATCAACAATTTAGTGTCGTTGACAAGCTCTAGACATTCCTTTTTTATTTACTTATTTTTTTATTTAACTGTAAAATATGGATTTGTGCCTATTATCTAGGGACGAGTTGAAATACGAGTTAAATGTACGTGGTCTTTCAACTACTGCTGAAACAAATTTGTCAATGCGTAAAAAATTGAAAGAATTGATACGTGATGAACCGTTCGGAGAATTAGTTCTATCAGATACATTTCAACCCGAAGTAGTAGAGGAAGTCGATATGTGTAATCGGAAGATAACGGACTTAGAAACATATTTAGTAGAACACGATATGGTTGCTAATAGTAACGAGTCGCGTTACGTGGATGCAAAACTCCGACATTTAATTACCAGATTGAAAAGACTAACACCACTTAATGATGCGTTGAAAAATGGTATCTCTAATTTAAATGAACGGTTGTATGAAATGGAAGAAAATTTAGATAAAAAATTAAACGGATTTGATAGTGACGATGAACCACGCAATACATTACCTCCAGTAGCCAAAGTTTCTGACGCTTATCGTGCACCTTCAGTACCTGTTTATAAATGGGATGTTCGTTTTTCGGGAGGCAAAGAAGGTTTAAGAGTAAACGCTTTCATTGAAAGAGTAGAAGAGTATAGGGTATCACGCGGGGTATCTGAATCTGAGTTATTCACTTCGATTACTGACTTGTTAACGGGAAAAGCCTTGAGTTGGTATAGATCCGTTCGTTTAAAAATCCATAGCTGGTCAGAGTTCGTTGATAAACTTCGGGAAAATTATTTGCCATTTAATTTTCACAATGAGTTGTTGAGAGAGGTTAGGGGACGCGAACAAGGGGTTGATGAAACCGTTAGCGAATTTTTTTCTTGTATGATAAACTATTTCGCTCGTGTAGGAAAACAGTTAACCGAGCAAGAGAAATTTGAAATTATTTATAATAACTTAGACCCTTTCTATATTGAACGACTGGGGCTACACATTAAAAATTTAAATACTCTGGATGAATTACAAGAGATTTGTCAAAATTTAGAAACAATTAAAAACTTGATAGCTAAACGTTCTGCATCCCGGCGAGAAAACAAAAACAGAAATGGTGCCAGCTTTTTGGATTTGGCATACGAGGGTAAGTCGACAAGTACGCCGACATCTCAACCCTCTACCTCGGGAAATCGTAGACCAAATTTTAGTGTGAATAGTATTTCGTGTTGGAATTGTGGCGACTTAGGTCATAAATTTACGGGATGTAGTAAGCCGAGAGAAAAATCATTTGGATATTACCTCAGATTTTTCAGACAATTCCTGGAAGTTTAAGGAGGAAGTTAAAGCATTAAATAATTTATCTATGCAGACGGCTGGTGATACCAAAATTCAATATTTAAACAAATTAGTTTCTTCTGTTTTCGACAAGATGGGTGTATTATTAACACCGGTGATGCTGCGCTAATCAAACAGATATTACAACGTTTCGCCGTACATTAGAAAAATAATAAATGATGAAATCGATAACGTGTTAAAATTGGGTGTAATCGAACCATCTAATTCGACATGGTCGAGTCCCGTAGCAATGATTGAAAAGTCATCTCGAGAGTACAGGTTTTGTGTGGATTCAAAGAAAAATCAATTCTGTAACAGAGAGCGACTAGTATCCTTTACCTTAGGTAAATGCTATGATCGCTTACGAGACGCAAATTTTTTATCGCCCATCGATATTAAAAGTGCTTATTGGCAAATTGCGCTTGACGAGGACAGCAAACAAAAAACGGCATTTACAGTTCTAGGTCGGGGGTTATGCGAGTTTAAGCGTATGCTCTTCGGGTTGCATAATGCGGCAGCCACTTGGCAACGTTTCGCAGACAATGTTCTCGGGGCAGACTTAGAGCCTTCAATGTTCGTGTACTTAGATGATATAATTATAGCGTGCTAGAATTTCTATTGAATTGGGCCATATTTTTCTGTTACGTCTCCATTGTTAGGAGATTCGGCATTGGAGGTAAGCGTGCATAAAATTTCAGTAAAAATATAATTCAAATCCTAACGACGTTACTTATTTATTTTTATCAACACTTTTAGACGTTTTACCTGGGAAGTAGTAGTTTTTTTTGTTCTACGCTGATTTTTTTTGAAGTTCTCCTCCAACGAGTTTTGTAAGCCAGATTTTCGTCATCGGTCGGAAAAAAACCGCTGCAGTGATAGATTTAAATACAATCCACTCGGCCTGCGACCATCCCTCGTCCTGTGGAAAAGGTTCCATCTCATCACGTGTCCTGTTACACTTTAAGGCATCGCAGATAAGTACCAAGCACTTAATAATTTCGAAGATTCAACCGTTTTCTTTTTCCACCGATTCGACAGATCAATATTAGCCGTAAGTGTTGGGACCCCAAATAAAGGTAGATTAAGATTACTTAGTATAAGAATTTCCTTTATCCGACCATACTTAACAGTTATCGGTTACAATTTTGCAAGGGTAATAAGGCTCATTTGGCATATTTAAATGTGTATTTGTCTACCAATGTCCATAGACATTTAAATTTTCTAATTACCCTGTATAAATGTTCAAAGAATACTATAATAAAGCTATATTGAATGTTCCTCATTATAACGAGCGTTCAAATAAAAACGTGGTCGAAGTTGGCTCTGACACATTGACGTAGGGAGTAGCTTATAGCGACCAACTTAACCTCATTTCTCAACGAGCTGTATAGCAGCTGTCAGTTTCAATAACGTTAATGACTATATAACTTTATTTTAAAGAATACTCGTTGATAACAATAACAAACAATTAAAGGAGCTGCGGAAAGTGTCCCCCTCCTTGTTATAACAATAAATTAAAGCAGCTGCTGAAAGTGTCCCCCTCCTTGTTCCAAGCACTTTTCACACCTGTTCCTCAAAGAATTAAAGACATTTTCTAAGATGCTCGGGGTATTGTTAATTTCACGAATCTTGTCTATAAGTCGAGCCTGCAGATGGTTTAAATCAGGAATAGGCAGTTCAAAAATAGTGTTTTTAAGGTAAGGCCACAAAAAGAAATCACACGGCGTAATATCACATGACCTCGGTGGAAATTCATGTTCAGCATTGAGACTTATTAGTCGATTTTGGAAAACTTCCCTCAACATATTCATCGTCTCGCCTGCCGTATGTGCCCTTGCGCCATCTTGTTGAAAGTAAAAGTTTGTAATTTCGTTTTCTTCCAGCTGGTTAACAAAAGGAGCGATAATTTCTTCTCTATACCTTTGCGCAGTAAGAGTACCATTAAAAAAAATAGGTCCATAAATCCTCCTTCGATTGAGAGCACACCAAACTCCAATTTTTTGAGCGTGTAGAGGGCCCTCGACAAAAAAGTTATCTGGTTTTTCAGAAGACCACATTCTCATATTCTGTGAGTTTACGTAACCACTTAAATGAAACCAGGCTTCATCAGAAAAAAAGGTGATATTATGAAGTTCACCGTAGTTGTTTAAAAACCATTCACAAAATACAGCCCGTCGCGGAAAATCAACTTCATGAAGTTCTTGCTGACAAGTTAAACGATAGGAGAACAAACGCAAATCTTTTTTTAACACTGTGTGGCAGGTACCGACTGATACTCCCACCATTTGTGATAAAACACGTACAGAAGTTCTTGGCGCATTTTCCATTATTTGTTGGACATTTTCTTTTAATTCTTCAGTCCGATTTTTAGGTCGGCCGCTTCCTTCTTTTCTTGTTACACTGCCCGTTTCACGAAAAACATTAACACAACGCTGAACTGCACTTTGAAAAATTGTGTATTCAACAACGCCGGGAAATTGATTTTGAAATTCTATGAAACATTCCTCAATAGAATACTTCCATATTCCACCAATCTTGCGTCCATTTCTAAAGTAGGACTCTATGATAAACACTTTTTATTCTTGAGAAAACACCATTTTAAACGCTATTTAAAACGAAAATATTCAAATTGATAGCTGCGATATAGCGCTTTGACAGATGACGTTTAACTTCATTTGCTATACGCTACGCCCTACGTCCAAATTTTCAGAACCAACTTGACCAGGTTTTTATTTGAACGCTCGTTAGTTCTTTAAATAAATACTTTTTTTTGGCTACTAAAAATCTGTTTAATTTTCTTGTGTTTTGGTATTTTGCTTTTTGTTGTAAAAACCCACACCCCGCTGAAAAGCTAGCCAAAAAAAGAGACTTACTAATGACAGTACATTGCATTTTTTTTTTTTATTTTCAAATTTGTATATGATAATAATATTATGAAAAAGCATGTATACGAATCAAGATATATTAATTTAAGAGGTTACATAAGCTTGAACGACAATATGCTAATGTTGGACTTGAATAAACTCAGAGAGTGAAATTTAGTTCCAGAAATTTTTAACGCCGTGGAAGAAGATCCAGTACTTGAATATTAGCCACAAAATTTCAAGTATATCATATGCCGTAAATATAGGTAAAATTATTTATTTATTACTGTTGCTGTGTTAGATTAGTTGTTAGGTACTATTAGGGAAGACTTTGTTAATTCTTGAAGGGCACTGAATTACATTATTGTTTATATTTTTTAGTAAAAGAAAGTATTGTTCGTTATTTAACTTTCCCTATGACCACGTACACTTGAAATAATACGTGTTGAGTGCCGCTTTGTTGGACGAATTTACGTCTGATAAATTTGTGATGCTGATCTGAGTCAGCCAGTCAGACATAATTTATTACGCCTTTTTGTTTTTATTAATTTTATAATAAAAATAAAAAATCAAACATTTAAACGTAGGGTTAAATAGGAATTTTTGGAACTCATTACTTTCCTTTACTTTAATAAAATTCTTTTCTATTCCAAAAAACATATATCTGCTTTGTTTTCCACTTGAATAGTTTTTAGACGTTAATAATTTTATTGCTACTTACCGGTTTTGTTTTGTTTCTTTTTTTAGTCAGTATAGTATGAATTGTTTGCTGTTTTTTAGCATTAACTACGCTCGACATAATTACACACGATTATTCATCAAAAGAAAAATAAAATCGTAAAAGAAATCGTTAGTATCGTTGATGTTTATGGTGGTGTACTGTAGACAATTTAATTTGTTGCTTTTTAATAAATAATGCGTACGCCTATGTCCTGCGGCTCAGTTTTAACAGCCCTAGATATAATCTATTAATTAAAAAAATGTATTTAAATACTTACAACCATTTACATTCTTAAAAGCATTTCTATTTTCAATAACCCCCACCTTCATTACCATATATTATTTTTTTTAAACAGCCGCAGCCTATGATTTCGAACAAGTTAAGCCAGAAATGGGAAATTGCTACGCGATATATGACCAACATGAAAAGATAACACCTTTTATTTGTCAAAGACCCGCAAGCCTTGAAAAACATTCCTGTCTACATTCAATAGCAGAAAAAAACTCTTGTGGATTAAAGACACCTACGAATGAAACTATTTTACTTTGTAAAAATTCAAGCACAGCATTTTCATTTTATCGCATCTCGTTCGACCCAAATATTTGCTTGAATATCTTGCGTCCCGATGAAAGCTACAAAGAAGTATGTCTACAGAAGTTTGATAACTACAGTATAGGCATAACAACACCAGATAATTTCACCGTATTATTCGATTCACATTTCTGTTCAACCTTCATGACCAATGAAGAAAGGGAGAAATATAAGACCTTTACACACTCGTTTAGATTTGATCCAGAAATAAAGAAGTGTTATAAGGTATTTAACCAGCATCAGAAAATAAGTCCTTACACTTGTTTAAATGAGGACGTATTTAATTCCTGTGTAGGGAAACTTCCTTATGCTAAAAACTGTGAAGGAATAATCACTCAGAACAATGAAACCGTACTCCTACATTGCGTTGATGAGAGAGAAACTTCACTACAAAATAACAGTTGCTTTAAAATATATACTGCCAATAACAGTTTACATGTCGCTTGTCTAAAACGAGTAGAAGAACGATGCGTTGGAATCACAACTCCCAGTAACTTGACGGTGCTACTAGATTGTTATTTCTGCAATAAGCCAGGTTTGTAAACATTAATGAATAAGGTTTCCCCCTACTATCATTGTAGACTGTAGATATTTCTTCCTTTACAGTGTAAAGGAACATTACACTCATGAAGGAAAACATTTTCTTCTTACTCCTTTTTATTATTCCAGCCTGTTGTAGTTCATATTGTTTATACAGGGTGGCCAAGTGAAAACGAAACAGAGCTATTTTCAGGAACTGCGTCAAGATTGTAGAAAAACGCTCTTAGATTAAAGGGGGACTTTCTTTGCTGGTATTTTTGACTCCGCCACTTTCACCCCCAGGCAAGGGTAAGCATCACCCCAAAATATTTAAATGGCATTGGGGGTTGAGTAATATTTATTTTGAAAGCTCTTACGATTCTCTTTACAACAGACTTTAAATTTTATAATTACGCTCAATACTTTGAAAAAAAATTACATTTTAAAATTTAAATTATGTTTAGTTGCTTACTTATTACTTAGTTGATTAAATGTTCAAACTGATGACCGCCAGCTTCTATATAAGAATAAAGATTTTGTTCGGATCGTTCGCGCACATTCCGAAGCATTTCCGGAGTGATTCGACGGCATTCGTCGACGATTTTTTGACGCAAATCTTCCAGCGACGCTGGCTGTGTTTTATAGATTTTACTTTTTAGGTATCCCCACAAAAAGAAATCAAGGGGCGATAAATCCGGTGGTCGTAGAGGCCACTCAATGCTGCCTCTTCTCCCAATCTAATTCCGTAGAAAACGTTGGTCCAAATACTGACGGACAATTAACGCATAATACGAAGGAGCACCGTCCTGTTGAAAAATCAAATGATCTTCATCATACCCTAGAACATTTTCAATAATATCAGTCAAGGCAGGGTCAATAGCGTCTTCCAGTAATTGCAAATACATTTGGCCAGTCAAATTACCAGGTAGAAAAAAAGGACCCACCAGCCGGTCACCGAAAATTCCAGTCCATACATTTAATTTTTCCGGTTACTGTGTATGCACCTCGTGAAAAACTCTTGGGTTTGAATCGGACCAACAGCGGCATTTTTGGCGATTTACCGTCCCGTTCAAGGAAAAACTGCATTCATCAGAAAAACAGATGTTAAAAAGGAACTATGGATCGTTCTCTGCTCGCTCACTCATTATTTCACAAAATTGCAAGCGGCGGTCATAATCATCCTCATGAAGTTCCTGGACTAAATGTATTTTGTATGGATGGAATTTATTCTTCTTCAAAATGGTTTGTATGCTAGTTCGATTGATCCCAGACACAGATGCCAGCTGCCTTGTACTTAATGTAGGATCAAGATGAACTTGTCCCAAAACTGCAACTTCACTAGCTTCATTAACTTTTTTCAATTTCTCGTTTTTTATTGGCTACGTTCCCTGTCTCTTGAAATTTTTTTAATAACTATAAAACATACTTCCTCCTGATATGTCGATCTTGATGTGGTTCATTAAATAGCTGAGCTGTTCTATTCCCACATTTATTGTTCATAAAGTAAAGCGAAATGATATCTACCTTTTCCGCAATGGAATAAACCATAGTGTTTAATTTTCAAAAACACAATTAAATAAACTACCAACTAACGCTCCCAAATAATACTAGAAAATAATTTGGAATCCACTAATTTTACGTTCATTGTGTGTGTATAGCATTCACTTTTTTTACGAATCGACAAAAACCAATGCAACGCAAGAAATACTAAATTTATATCATTGGCGTACTTAACTCGAATGACTGACATTTTTACCGTTACTAATTATTATTTGTACATAAGTTTCAACTTTAAAATCAAAATCCTTAATAAGTATTAGGCGGAATTATGAAATTTAAAGTCTGTTATAAAGACAATTGTAAGAGCTTTCAAGAGAGATATTACTCAACCCCCAATGCCATTTAAATATTTTGGTGCGATACTTCCCCTTTCTTGGGGGGTGAAAGTGACGGGGTCAAAAAATACCACCAAAGAATGTCCCCCTTTAATCTAAAATCGACGGGTCTGAGCGTTTTTCTACAATCTTGACGCAGTTCCTGAAAATGGCTCTGTTTCGTTTGCATTTGGCCACCCTGTATATAAAAATTTACGCAAATAAATTGTAACGAGCTATTTCCTGCCAGGTGCCCTGCATCATAGTGTGACATACCTACGAAGGTCCTGGGAATTTATTACAAAGTACTTCTCCAACGAACTTTTGGGTAGAAACTCTTACTTGGGCAAACTTCACTTCAAAGCATTTCAAGAGAGCAATGAAAATATTTTCCCGAATTATACAAAAGTTTATGGTTTCTGGTTACCAAACAGCAACTGTTATGGTGTCACATTAGACAGTAATGAAACAGTTATTCTGGGATGTACCTCCAAGGATAGAATCAGTCATGTAAGATCCGGATGCTTCCCGGTAATTAATCCGAAAGTGGAACAAGAGCAAGTTGTTTGCTCTAAGATTCTGGATGCAGAATGTATTGGAATTACATCTCCTCTGAACTGGACTGTAGCGCTAGCTTGCTATTCCGAATATGAATACAGACGTAAGTATATTTTAACAAATTTAAGTTTGAGTGTTATGGGATTGAAGAACTAAATCCAGAAATGTAATCCGAGCATTTTGGGATAGCCTAAATCTGAGTTGTTTCTTCTCTTTCTGGTGCACATAGTGATTCGTTAAGGCTTGAACCACTTTAGTGTCAATTATGCTAAAGTATTAGATGTGTTTTACAGAATATCTTCGATTATATTTATTTGTTTTGAACAGAAGACCCATCTTTGTATAAAATGAATCATATCTCATCAGGTAGGTTAAGTGAAGCAAGCATCTATTGGCTGTGTGATTTAAAAAGAGAAAAGAGAGATTATGGCGGTTATTGTCACATAATTGGGATATCTCTTTTTACCTTCTAATATATGTTATTGGGAAACAGATTAAAAACCTTGCTCATAATACGCATGCACGAGATAAAGCATGGAAAGACCTTTCCAACGAGGTATAACACTACAGGCTTTGAGCCAATCCTTAAAAAAAAAATGCATTTTTCTGATCAGACATTAGGCGCTTCCCCCACCCTTTCTGTCGAGAAATGGAACAAAATGTCAATAACAAAAGTTATGCGCAATGAATCCGGCTTTCCATATTTGTACTATTTAATGTACCTGAATCGGAAACATTTCTGATAAAAATTGAACTTTATTTTGGTATGCAGATTCTTATACAGGATATTTGTAATAGAAATGTCTTATACGAAAAAGTTCTATTTTTGCGTTTTTTGTTCGTAAATTAAATATGGATCAAAATATTTTCTCTGGAACGGTCCTGTCCAACCTAGACCAACCGTGTAAACAAATCGCCGTTGAAAGATAGAAAGATACTTCTCAATTTTTGGGGAATTTTTCAACTGCGTGCACTAACCAAACTCCATTAAAATATAGAACAAAATGAAATAAAACTTACCAGTTCTAGAGAAAATGTTGAAATTGATCCCCATTAGCTCAGATCGACGCACCCAATTTTGGGGAATATTTTCCCAAATTGCAGGTATTCCCCTAATTGTGTCAGCAGCTTCAAGTATACGGTTTCGCAATTCTTCCACCGTAGCAATTGGAGTATTGTAAACCAATGACTTCAAGTGACTCCAAAGATAAAAGTCCATTGGGGTTAAATCGGGTGACCGAGATGACCATGGCACAGGACCAAAGCGTCCAATCCATTGCTGAGGAAACATTTCATTCAAAAGTGTCGTTACTTCTCGAGTACTGTGTGGAGGAGCCCCATCTTGAATATAAAACATACGTGCCCGAACTAGTAATGTCACATCGTCCAATGATTCAGGCACCCGGTTCTCCAAGAAGTCGGCATTTGTTGGTCCATTTAGTCCTCTTTCAAAGAAATAGGGACCCACAAGTACATCGCCTATTATGCCAGCCCAAACATTTACCGACAACCGATGTTGAAAATGAGTTTCCCTAATCGCGTGAGGATTTTCATCAGTCTATATGTGCATATTATGGAAATTTACTTCATCACGGGTAAATGTCGCCTCATCTAATACACAAACATAAGCAGGACTTGATTGGCACATTGCCGTAAAAACCATCTGCAAAAACGCATTCGTTGATCACAATCCGGGGGTTAAATCTGTTGAACTGGTTGCAGATAATTGGGGTGCAACAGCTGGCGCCTTAAGATGCGATGTACGATACAATATGAGGTTCCTACTTGCTGTGCGAGTCGTCGAGTATTAATTATGGGGTCTTCGATTTTCCAACACTGCATTTTCAATGTTAAGGTTCATTTGCTGACCACGTCCTCCTCGAGGAATAACACTTCCCGTATCTCGCAGCCGCTGAATGCACTGTAGGATTGTATTTACACATGGGGCGTGACGTTGTGGCCATCGTTCCCGGTACAACCTAGTCGCCGCGAGCGCATTTTCTTCGGCTGCACCATGCACTAACACCATATCGACACGTTCGGAAACAGTAAATGCATTGTTTTCTTGGTTCATTGCAAAACTAGTTTGTGCACAAACTAGAAAATTAAGCAAAGAAATAAGAATCTCGTTTTTAATGTAATCGGCACGCTATTCTTATTTTTTACTTCTTTATAAAAATTACAGTCACTATTGCGGAATTACAAAATATAAACTTTTGTCTGGAATCTTTCACTTTTTAACACTGATGGGTCAATGGACGATGCTTAATATTTAATAATTAAGTGAATAATGAATTCAATACAAATAGAAAATCAGTTAACCGCACAATTTTTTTGACGATGTAACCTAACCTTCTTTTAGTATTGCTAGTATTAGATTATACCAACTTAAATTATAAGGTTGCATTTTGGGCCGCATAGAAACATTCCCAACGTTTTTAATAAATAACACAGGATCGGCCTTCATTTTCGTTGAATAAATAAACATTAATTTACAAAAAAAACGCGAATATAGAACTTTTTCGTATACGAGTTTTCTGTTACAAATATCATCAGGAAGCTGTAGTTTAATTTTTATAGATTATACACGCCACGTCCTCTATAGGTAGGGTAACCCTTCAAAGCTCTAATATAAAATTTGAAATTTCTTAACAATTCATCCGAAACAGAAATAAATCCAGCACAAGCCACTACGGGGCAAAATTTAGTGGTATTGTCGAGCTCTGTAAGCTCGGCTCTTGCTACTAGTTGTTTTTATAGACATTTATGTAGATGTTCCTTAATTTCGGAGGATTCCATTCTTGGATATTATTTACTAGCATTACTATTTCAGATTTCGAGGAGGCGTTGGAAATATCATATGAAAATAGGCCCGCTGATGAATTTACCGTAAATTTTATACTGGACGACTGTTATGAAATTTATTATTCCCAAGAAATAGACGCCTACAGTTGTAGAAAAAGGGCGAACCCCAAAAATTATGCTTGCGTTCATTGGCTGCCTGGAGAGCGACGTTGTCTAGGACTAAAAACTCCCATCAACGAAACAATAGAACTTACTTGTGAGGATACCGACGAAAAGACATATTTTTTCGGAAAAACTTATTCTTCAACGAAAAACTGTTTTCATCTTTACAATTCCACTAATCAGACAAGAGTTTGCCTGCGGAAATTTGGAAACTTCAGCGTGGGCGTAACTACTTCCAGTAATTATTCCATTTTATTCAACTCCCACTTTTGTCGTGCGTCTAAGAGTTCAGCTTTGATCAAGAAATACAAAGAATTTATAGATAACTTTACTTTCGACTCCCGTATTCGAAGTTGTTATAAAATTTATACCCCCAATCAAGACGTCAGTCCATATACATGCTTGAGCAAGGAAATATTCGAGACTTGCATTCATTTGTTGGAAGATTCAAGCTGCATGGGAATAACCACACAAAATAATGAAACTATCGTTTTGGAATATTTGAATGGCACGAAAGCAGTAAATGAAACTGGATGCTTTAAAATATATACCCCTGACAACAAAGTACATATTGCTTGTCAAAGGCAAGTAGAAGAACAATGTATAGGAATAACTACTCCCAGTAATTTAACAGTGCTGCTGGAATGCCATATGTGCATGTCAACTAAAGGTATTTCCTCTTCATTACATTTTCACTTAGTCTTTAAAATACACTAATTTGATTTAATATGTAGATACCAACCACCTCTAATTCCTTACTTTAACTACGAATATGCTGAAGTCAGTTGTTTACCTTTTTTGCTTAAAACTTATGAAAATGTTTATTTTTATTTTGTGGAAGACCGAAAGATGCGTATTTTAAACAAAAACAATGCTAGGTTTCTTTTTATGTAGAATTTAAATGCGTTACTGTGTCGTGGTGTCTACGTAGAAGAAGAAAAAACAATAATTATGTTTTTTTATGGGCGCCATTCCTAATGGATTTTTAAATTTTTACTATGACCCTGTATTATTGATACATGCTGACATAGACTCATAAAAGCACCCCTTTTTATATCGAAATTGTTGTGGAAAATCTCTCAATATCACAAAAAAGACTGGCCTAACCTATTATCTTCAGCGATTTTAATACTCGTTTAGTGTGACGTCACATATTTAGGCAACCCGCAGCAATTGTCATAGTTGAAATTGTACAGCCCGAATCTGAACCTTGTGTACTCTTTACCTAGATACTGTAGAAATGAACAACTTCAAATTAATTTATTTTTACCAGGATTTAGAAGTATTTAAGATCAACCAACACATACTGTGCTTAAAATTTACAAAAAAACGATATAAAAGAACTCGCAAAGAATAGCCTCATACGCAGATGAGATCTTGTTGATATGTCATCATCATAAAGCATTTTTTGTACATAGCCAGGGGAAACAGAATTTTCTTCCATTTCGATGAGCTTCTTTTCTTCAAAGTACACAAAAATTGCACTCATACTATCTAGTCTTTTAGGCATGATAATTAATATATCAAAAATTGTTAGAAAACTTCCTGGCTGTTGCTGAAACATACAAGTAGCAATAACCGCGCCATTATTCCATGGCTAGAAATTGGCCTCAATGATTTGGGATCGAGGGGGATTATCCCTCTTTATCCTGCCTCATCTCGTGTAGGCCTGGACAGCCTTCGTAGGTGGGCCCCATCCGTCGTCTACCCCGACCGCAAATGCGGCCGGTGTAGGCGCTTTGTGGGACCTCCTTTTGTCCTGGCTGGGCCCCGCCGGCTAGGGCCCTTTCTTCTGGCGCTCTTCTTGCTTCGCCGGCTCGTCTGTGTAAACCCCGGGGGTAGTGTCATGTTTATGTGTGGTATGGTTGGGTAGGGTAGTGCGGCTATGCAGCCTGGGATGCGCTTTGCTAAGGTGGCCCTTAGGCTAGCGCGGGAGGGGAGGGTTAAGGAGGGTATGGGGGGTGTGTGTGTGTGTGTGTGTGTGTGTCGTTGTCTTCGTTTCTTGATCCTGGCTGTCTCTGAAACAGAAAAGGTTAGCGGGCAGGGGGGGGGTCATTGGGGTGGTCACCCAGGGTCAAAAAGTTGGTGTCTAGGTCTTTTGTGTTTGTCGGTCACGTCGGGTACGTAGTCAACGGCTTGCCTGAGGAGGGGATTGTCATGTCTAGCGGCTACGTCAAATCGTTTCTCCGCGTTTTGTCTTATTGTCTGTGTAGCGTTTGTGTATTGTAAGTCTCGTAATATGTCAGTGTTTCTTACGTACCAGGGCGCGTCGGTGGCCGTGCGGAGGGCTATGTTTTCCACAGCCTGTAATGACTTTAAGTGGCTTTTTGCCGCGTGACCCCACGCCGTGGAGGCGTAGGTTAGCTGCGGTTGAAGTACCACCTTGATAAGCGTTCGCTTATTCCTTAAACTGAGGGTGTTTCCACCTTTGAGTAAGGGATAGAGCCTAGCCCTGGTGGTCTTCGCTCGCGCCACCGTCTCCACGATGTGCGGTTTCCACGTGAGACGCTGGTCCATCGTCACGCCCAGGTATCGTGTTTGTCGATTCCAGGAGATAGGTTCCTGGGATAGTGTCAGTCTGTCGAGGTTTTGTGGGATTTTTCGTTTGGTAAAAAGGATAGCCGAACTTTTGTTGGGATTAATTTTGACTTTCCACCTGTTGCACCAGGTTTCAAGTTGGTCTAAGGAGTTTTGGAGGAGGGAGACGGAATATCTAGGATCTACGGATTGGGATGTGATTGTCAGGTCGTCGGCGTATAAGTATATGTTGGTGTTGGGGGGATGTGGGATGTCGGAGTTGTAAATGGTGTATAGGTGTGGGGACAGGACGGTGCCCTGGGGGACACCGGCCTCCATGGGACGGGTGGTGGAAAGGGAATCTTGGATTTGGATGCGGAATTTTCGGTGGTGTAGGTAGGATTTTATGAGTTTGGTAAAGGATATGGGATATTGGTTGGTGAGCATTTTCATCAGTAGGCCTTCATGCCAAACCGTATCGAAGGCCTTTGCGACGTCCAGGAAGACAGCACCAGTGTACTGTCCCCTGTTGAAGGCCGCCGTGATGTGCTCGGTAAGGCGGTAGCAATAACCAAACTTTTCTTGAATGATACCCTGTTGCGAGGTTACCTCGCTACATGAAATTATCTTTAATGCGCATGCTCAGTAACACTGATATAAGTTTAATTTATTGTTCTATAATTTTAAATATACATATAAATCCTATAATGCTTTAAATTTATCACTTGGGGTTTGAAACTTCTTAAATGTTTCTAATATTGCCAGAATATCACGATATGTAAGGTCGAAAATCGATCTAGTATAAATATTGAGAAATTCTTCATGACAATGTGTACTACGCGGTTGCCTATTATTTGGCGTACGTGACGTCACTACTAAAAAGGTCTATTACCAATATAACAATATTTGTACTAATGTAATATTACTCTATACAATTTATAACAGCAGTTCTTATGGCTGTCAAGGTAATTTGGGATTAATTGTAAGGTGGTATTTAGATTTTATGTTTCTGACCTTATATCAAACCAGCATATACAGAGTGTCCCCAGGTCTTGTGGTAATAAAACCGGACGTGTTTAGGTAGGGTTAAAACAATGTCGACATCTCATACGAGGAATTTTACAAACTTGTACCTTAGACACAATTCATTAAGGGTGTCTCAAACTCTCAAATGACAATTAAGAAGTGTCTGCTTCCCTTCTTTATTGAAACCAAAAATTCTTTTATGTTCCACCTAAGAGGGATTCTTCTGTAACTCTGTAACTGTAAAATTTATAGAAAAATGGTTTTAATAAAAGTTGCCTGGAATCATGTGGGCCATGTAAAGAAAATATTTTCAGCTTTACAGGGTGTTCCATTTCACGTGGGCTTTACATAACTTTGTTATTTTAAATGGAACATCCTGTATATTATTGCATTTTTGAATTCCTTGGTTAATATTAGGTAGAGTTTATTAAATGTACCCAGTGTTTTAAACTTACCATTTTCGAGATAATCAGTTGTTTTTGAAAAAAAATCACGATTTTAGCTCTTCAAATGAGGCTAGATAGCGTGTTAGAAACCTGAAGTTTTCACAGTTCGTTTTGGCATAATTTACTCTATCTTGTAATCAGTGGGCAAAACGTGTACGTTATTCAGACTCGGAAATACTGACACCTACATTTAATAATCTTACGAGTTGAAAAACTTTTTTTTTTCAAATGTAATGACCCATATTAATTGACATGGGTGAATGCAAAATTGAATACCGTTCTTCCTAAAGTCCGAAAAAGTAGCTATGTAACAGCGTCAAGAAGGCTTTGCAATTGTATTAGTACAACGTCGATACATAGGATTTTACAAAAACACATCACAGCACATCCTTATCGCATCCAATTACGCCAAGAGTTACTAAAAGTAGACTTTCAGTGGAGACTGGAGTTTTGTCAGTGGGCACTTGAGATGTTAAATCAAGGTGATGATTTTTTTAAACGGGTCATGTTCTCCGATGGGGCTACTTTTCATAAAAATGATTTCTTTAATAGTTATAATTGCCATTATTATGACACAGTAAATCCTCACCAATTCCGGACAACTCATAGCCAACGATGGTCTTTGAACATGTGGGGAGCAATTTTGGGAACCCATGTCATTGGACCATTCTTTTTTAACTAGCACCTAACTGGAGCAGTTTATTTAAACTTTTTAACAAATACTCTAGAAGATTTGTTAGGCGACATTCCTTTAGCTACACTTCGAAGAAAGTGGATGCAACATGATGATGCTCCGCCTCACAATACCGTTGCGGTTCGTCAGTTTTTACACGAAACTTTTCCCAAGAGATAGATTGGGCGCGGGGGACCAGTGAGTTGGCCTTCAAGGTGAACAGATATGACAAGTTGCGACTTCTTTTTATGGGGATTTATAAAAGTAAAATTTACGTTACACCACCAACTACTGCGAAATATATGTGGCAGCGCTTTACAGTAGGATTTCAGGAAATTACACCAGAAATGCTGACCAATGTTGAACAGTCTTTTAAAAACCGAATTCGTTTGTGTATTAATCAAAATGGAGGACACTTCGAGCAATTGATGTAAATCAGCGGTCTACGTATTCTTCTCTTTGTTATATTCCGAATTTCAGTCAAATTCGTTTTACGTTCTGTTTTAGTCGTTGTTAATGGTCTACTTTTGTTTGTCAAACCATTTTTTAAACATGCCAGTAAATATTGACACTGGCAGTCCCAGGAAAAGTGGTTTTGCAAGGCCTTCTTGAGGCTGTTACCAAACTACTTTTTAGGATTTTAGAAAAGAACCTGATTTTTCTGGAAAACTGTTAGAGATAAATATGGACAACCTTATATCAGTCGAAAGGGCACAATTAATATGGGTCATTCCACCTGACAAAAAAAAAGTTTTTCTACTCGTAAGGTTATTAAATGTAGGAATTCAAATATGCAATAATATACAGGGTGTTCCATTCAAAATAACAAAGTTACTTAGCGCCCATGCGAAATGGAACACTCTGTAAAACTAAAATTTTTTGTCTTTAAATGGCCTACATGATTCCAGACAACTTTTATTAAAACCATTTTTTTATAAATTTTACATTTGCAGAGCTACAGAAGAATCTCTCTTATGTGGAACGGTTTTTGCAAATTCTCTATTTTTTTGTGAAACTATTGGTTGGCATTTGACTGAGATTCTCGAATATTCTAAAATTTCAGGACTGGTTTTAAAAAATTTAATTAGAAGACTTAGTATTAAAAAAATTTACTCTGTACTCGATTTTTTTAAAACTGACTACGACTAGAATTTTAAAAGTGGACAAATGGGCATTGCAAGTTATGTGTTTGAGATTTTTGTCACATTTTTGTTTACTTATAATCAATTTTAACTATAACTGAAAATAGCAAATAGCTATTGCTTCGATTATATGGATACTGTCATTATATCTAACTTCCAGGACAGTATTTAACAGTTTTTTGCAGTTAGAAAAAAAATATTTTTTTGTAATATAACAACCAAAAGAAATAAAATTTCCACGTTTATTTTATTTTTCTTATATTATATTATATTATTATTTTTATTTTTATGTATTTATTTATTATTTTTTTATTTATTTCATTTATTTATTTTATTATTATATTTCTTCTTATACAAAATAAATTTGTACGTACAACAGCGAAACACTGAAACTGTATTTTCTGATCATCATCTTTAATTTTTATTGCCACTTTGTTGACATATTAAAATATATAAATACATTTTAGTTTGTATCTTTTTCATATCTTAATACACTTAGCAGTAATTAATACAATCCAATATACAGAAAATGGCGGAGGCGCCGGTAATTTGCATGGCAATATAAAATGGCGAATTTCTCCTAAATCGCTAGTTTTATCGGGTTCAAACAAGAGTACGCTTTCATTAGTAAATCAATTTAGGAACTTATTTTTAATAGTTACAAGTAAAAACAAATTTTTAACTTTAGAGGCCCGTAATTCAGTAACGAAGGCTCGAATGTCCAAAGCTTATAAGTGCTGACATTTTTTTAACCTTACGAGTTTTTTTACTATAAGTCCTGTGACATCTTGTTTAATTAACAAATACATTTTGGGAAGTGCTGGTCATTAGTGAATTTTTTTTGTCCCTTGATATTAACCTACTGTTACAGGTGGATCATCACTTAGCACCTATTTTGACGAATACAGGAAAGGTTATCGTCCAACGATTGAATATTTCCTCCGCTCGTTTTTTCAAAATAATTACGCTTTAGATGATACGGACACCTTAAAGGTGTATACACCAGAACAAGACATACGAGTAATAGATTGCTTTAGTGTAATAAGTGACTATGATATTCACGAGCTGAATGGTCACGACAAATGCCGAGGGATAACACTGAAGACTTTAGAAACCATAGTTTTCGGATGTCGGGATAAGAAACCTGGAAAAGCTGGCTGCTTTGACATTTTCAGTCCAATTTTCAGCGAAGATAATAAAATAATCGGACCCGAAGTAAAGGTAATATACATTTTAGAATATGATAAATTAAAACTGGAAAATGAAGGCATGCTCGAATATTTGAAATAATGAAATCGTGATTTAAGACTTGCTGGAAATGTATCATGATTGTTAAATTCTAGAATATATTTTCTAGTGATAAATATGGAAAATCTTTCAAAAGGTGTCGCAACTTGTCAAATTACAAAAGCGCTAACGTCATTTTTCTGAAACACAAATATTCTATTTTGTAATGAAAAAATCTCAATTATTTCACAAATCGTAAAATATGAGGAACTGAAATATAACGACTATTATGAAAGTTGTAGATTTTGAGAAGGTGAAGAAAATACAGGGTGTTCCATTTGAAAAAAAAAAATATTTGCCTTTGAAAATGATAACATTCGGTACGATTTTGTGAACACTTTGTATGACATTTACAAACAGTGACCACTTCAGAATTTACAGTGAACCTAGTACAATATGAGTGTACTTAGATTGTATCTCAAAAAACGAGTATATCAGCAACGATCAAGTGTAACGCCGAAAATGTCATTTTTTATATTGTAATATTAATATATCGGAAAATTAAAAATTATTGCTTTATCAACTGGCGAATTTCCTGATATGTGGAAACTTACAGGAGTGTGTCCAATTTTAAAAAGCGGTAACCCTGCGGATGTAAGAAATTATCGCCCTATTGCCATATTGACTTCATTTGGAAAAATTGATGTCATTTACACAGACTTCTCAAAGGCCTATGACAAGGTTAATCATAGTATATTGCTACGTAAGTTGGAACGGTATGGTTTCAGTGATAGCTTTTTCCTCCTTTTCAATTCTTACCTATATCATCGAAAGATGAATGGTTTCAAGTCGAATACTTTTAATGCGGCATCAGGAGTATCTCAAGGCTCTAACTTGGTGCCACTCCTTTTTATATTATTTGTAAATGACTTATCTCTAACATTAAAGTTAAATCATTTTATATTTGCCGACGACTTGAAATTGTCCTTGAATATATCATCTGCGGCTGATTGTTTGTTATTGCAAGACCTTGTGGATCATGTTTATGTATGATGTACTGATAATAATCATTTACCTGTTAACAGAAAAAAATTTAAAGTGTGTACCTTCACTCTTAAAAATCAGCCCCTCATATTTGATTATAATATAGGTATGTCACCTTTAACTCGTTTTCAGAACATTAAGGATCTTGATGTAATGTTTGACAGCAGATTGTCTTTTGCTGACCATATTAGTTCAAGTATTAAGTCCGCGTATAGTATGCTAGGCTTTGTTATGAGAAGTACAAAATCATTTACCGATATAGGTGCATTGAAGAGTCTTCACTAATACGTTTGAAACTCGAATATTGTAGCCTTATTTGGCACCCATGTTATCAGATATACAGTAACCACTTGGAAAGAATACAGCGGCGTTTTCTCAAATTCCTGTCTTTTCGCCTTGACAATTTTTATCCTGACAGAGGATACAACCACCAATTACTGTTACAAAGATTCAGTATGCAGTCGCTCTATACTAGAAGGGTGGTTGTAAGTTTATCTTTTTTATTTAAATTGATTCATGGCATGGTTGATTCTCAGGTTTTAATCTATCGTTTTAATATACCTACGTGTTCCGAGACTAGGCTCTCGTGAGGGTTCACTGTTTTACTGTCGGAATGCTAGAACAAATGTGCTTGTAAAATCTCCTGTTTATTTAATGGCTAATAATTATAACCAAATAGATCAGTGTGATTTATTTCATTGTAATATTAATGATTTGTTAAGAATTGCGTCCATTATTTCAATAACTTTCAATATTAGATAAAGGTTTGTTTTTTTCCTCTTTGCTCTTTATTTATTTTTTATTTTGTTTATTTATCTGTTTTCTTTATTTATTGTACAGTAGTATGCTTATATTATAATTATCTACTTATTTTGCTCTGTAAATGGAATCTTTTCTGTTGGGCAATAAATACTTTTATTATTATTATTATTATTATTATTTTATTTTTTTTTAAATGTGTTGACTCACTCTGTACATTTTTTCTATTTTTTTTTTGTAGGTTGAAAGTGCTTGCGTCAAAATATTAAATGAATGGTGTGTGGGAATAACAACGCCAAAAAATTGGACAATACCTCTAAGTTGTTATACTTATGTGAACATCCCATGTGGTATATTTCACATACCCCACAATGGTCCACCGAATGTTGAAATATTGTGAAAAGTTTTTTGTAATGTGATCTCCAATTCCTTATTTAGAATAAAACTGTATTCGATTTTGATAAAATAAAATAAAATAAAATTATAAAGTATAAAAAACGTATCGCAAGAGCGGTTAAGATCTTTTTATTTATTTCCATATTTTGGTGAGACTGAAAAGAAACAGAAAATTTGGATAAATTACTGAAAGTCATTATGGTATTAAAAATTTAGGGAAGAACTGAAACAGTTTTGAAATTTGTAGAAAAAACTCGAAGAATTATAGACTTAAAACAGAAAATGTATCATGCGAATATTGACAGTGAGGGACAACTGAAGAACAGGACTGAAGACAAGGTGTCAGGGTTAAATAGAAAAGAAATATCTGAAAAAAAATAATTGATCCAAAATTAATACAAATATAAAAATTTTGCAAGAGGGAATACATTTTTTTATAAAACTAAGTTAATTTTCATACGGTTGAATGAAGCAACTTAGAGGTAAGTTTAGATAAATTTACTTAGTTTAATTGTAACAAATATTGGAATACTTGGGCAACCTGTACTTTTGATATGTGCATATTTCCTTACTATTTAAATTAAAGCCTTTTAAAGTTTGGACGTTGCACCCCACAAAATAGAATCCATTGATATCAAATCTGGTGAGGGGCAGAGGTCTACCATAGTAAATATTTTTTCCAGAACCACAAGTCCCCACCCACTGTCAAGGGTACCTGCCAAAGCAAGCAGGACGAAGTATGGAAGCAGCTGTTTATATAAAGATTCAAAAGAATCAGTAATATTTCAATAATATCGTAAAGGCGTTATTTGAGAAATCCATCAATCCTTTTGCATTGAGTCGATATAGTCGATGGAGTCAATTATAAATTTACAGTATCTTTCTCTTCGTTATAGAATACCTTCCCATGTTTTGTCATCATCAGTCCACATATAGACATACATATATGCAAAGACATTTCCTCGAGTTATTTTATTTTGATCTAACAGTTATCATTTTTTATTTACAAATATGTATTTTCTACAGTGTGGGTTGCTTCGCTGTACAGCAAAAATAAAACGCTCTCTCAACAGCAATAATAAAGTATTTTATTGAAAACTACGCTGTATAGAAAAAGACGTGTTGACGGGGTGAGTGTTCGTTGGAGAGTCCCTGTGCGTGGAGTCGGTCGTACGTATATGAGTAAGCATCTGGTCGCCGGCGCCAGTAGTCCGCCGTAGACTCTTCCTGGAACGCTGGTACGTCCGGCGGCGCTCTTGCCATTATTATTTGTGGATGAAAAAATGAACAGAAAGCGTTATTACGCCAGTGTCAAGATACGATAGTTATAGTCTTTCCGATGTCAATTGAAGACCAAACAGCTACTAAGTATGTACCAGATTCCGTCACTACACAACAACTTGGCATTGAAATATTTGAAAAACTTGTTCCCATATTTATTTAGCCATACCCATATACAGGTCTGGTCGCCCAGTTGAAGAATGCGCGCGCAGGCGCGCAGGCAAACGGCGCACAAAGACAGCCGCACTCTGCGACCGCCCATAAATTTCAGTTGTCGACAAATTGCCTAGCAGTGCAATGCAGCAATGCGGAATTTGGTGTGATATTAAATTTTATTGCTAGGCGTTTTTATACTTGTTCAACTGACTTCGGAAAGACTATACTAATGACATTGGGGATTTAGAAAAAAATGCTTGCTTGGGTACAGCATATATTGGGCAAGTTTTTAAATTCGTCGGGGAAAAGACGAATAAATGCTCTGAATTAAACTTGACGTCAGTAAGGAGTTTCTAGTCTCATTATTTTAACAAATAATAAAAAAAACTAAGCGCGCAAAGTCGTGGTTACACCTACATTTAATGCAAGATAGTGCGATAATCAACGGCATTAGACGTTAGTGTGACCCCAGCATAAGTGCGTGACGCAATTTAGAAAAAAAATTATACAGGGTGGCCAAATGAAAACGAAACAGAGCCATTTTCAGGAACTGCGTCAAGATTGTAGAAAAACGTTCAGACCCGCCAATTTTAGATTAAAGGGGGACATTCTTTGCTGGTATTTTTGACTCCGCCACTTTCACCCCCAAGCAAGGGTAAGCATCATCTCAAAATATTTAAATGGCATTGGGGGTTGAGTAATATTTCTTTTGAAAGCTCTTACACTTCTCTTTACAACAGACTTTAAATTTTATAATTCCGCCCAATACTTTTTAAGAATTTTGATTTTAAAGTTGGAACTTATGTACAAACAATTAGTAATGGTAAAAATGTCACTCATTCGAGTTAAGGACGCCAATGGTATAAATTTAGTATTTCTTGCGTTACATTGGTTTTTGGCGATTTGTTATCACTTTCGTAAAAAAAAAAACAACAACAATTGTAAAAAACGGAAATTAGTGGATTCCAAATTATTTTCTAGTATTATTTGGAAGCGTTGGTTGGTAGTTTATTTAATTTTGTATTTGATAATTAAACACTATGGTTTATTCCATTGCGGAATGGGTAGAAATCATTTCGATTTACTTTATGAACAATAATGTGCGAATAGAACAGCTCAGCTATTTAATGAATAACATCAAGATCGACATGTCAGGAGGAAGTATGTTCTAGAGTTAGTAAAAAAATTTCAAGAGACAGGGAACGTAGCCAATAAAAAACGAGAAATTGAAAAACCTATAGTTAATTATGCTAGTGAAGTTGCAGTTTTGGGACAAGTTCATCTTGATCCTACAATAAGTACGAGGCAGCTGGCATCTGTGTCTGGGATCAATCGAACTAGTATACAAACCATTTTGAAGAAGATTCAATTTCATCCATACTACATACATTTAGTCCAGGAACTTCATGAGGGTGATTATGACCGCCGTTTGCAATTTTGCGAAATAATGAGTGAGCGAGCAGGGAACTATCCACAGTTCCTTTTTAACATCTCTTTTCTGATGAATGCAGTTTTTTCTTGAACGGGACAATTGCCGCTATTGGTCCGATTCAAACCCAAAAGTTTTTCACGAGGTGCATACAGAGCAACCGGAAAAATTAAATGTATGGGCTGGAATTTTCGGTGACCGGCTGGTGGGTCTTTTTTTTCTACCTGGTAATTTGAATGGCCAAATGTATTTGCAATTACTGGAAGACGCTATTGACCGTGTCTTGACTGATATTATTGAAAATATTCCATAGTATGATGAAGATCATTTGATTTTGCAACAGGACGGTGTTCCTCCGCATTATGCGTTAATTGTCCGTCAGTATTTGGACCAGCGTTTTCTACTGAATTGGATTGGGAGAACAGGCAGCATTGAGTGGCCTTCACGATCACCGGATTTATCACCCCTTGATTTCTTTTTGTGGGGATACCTAAAAAGTAAAATCTATAAAACACAGCTAGCGTCGCTGGAAGATTTGCGTCAAAGAATCGTTGAATGTGCGCGAACGTTTTCTACAATCTTGACGTTCCCGAAAATGGCTGTTTCGTTTTTATTTGGCCACCCTGTATCTTAATTCCCTGCAACTAAATTTTTATTATGTTCCCGTATTAATTATTCAGATTAAAATTAACTCCATAAAACACAGTGAAAAATCGTTCTGATTTGACAAAAATAAATGATATTTATTACATATCATTAAAAAAAAATTTTTTTTTTCTATTTCAGCACTTATAATCCTGTGTATTTAAATATCCAAATTAGGTTTTTATCATGCATGAATTTTTATTACACCTGTGAAGATCAGTTTCAAAAGTAATTTTTTAAATTAAATTAAGCATTAAGTATACCTTATTGATTAATTATGTGTACAAATTTTTCCCGTGTATAAAAAACTAGTTTTGCATATTTAAAACGTGTGTGTGTTCATCTCAAGTTTTCACCTTAGGCTTATTCAACGTATTTCATTTTATTCTTAACGTAAAAAATGAAAGTTACAGTCGTCTTTGGTTTGTTAGTGATTTTAACCTGTAACCCTGGTAAGATCTATTTTTTTTGTATTTAAATTATCAAGACTATTTACTACATTTAATAAACTTAGTATTATAATAAGGCAATCACTACTTAACGAATTACTTGATAATAATAAAATAATAATACAGGTCTCGATATTTCGCGTAGATAGAACTAATATAAGTTCTTGTGATAAAAAATAGACAATTTATATAAAACCGTATTACCTATATTTAAAATTACTTCATTCAGCCCTAGAAGTCGCCAATGTTGGTAATAAATGTTGGTGATTTCCGAATAACTTTTATTTGTAAACTAACCGAATATAAATATAAATTTAATTCTTATTTCATGCGGTTATGCTTGAAGCTTTTACATCCTTGTAGTTGTTTTTTTCTTTAATGGGTTTCGCATAATTTATTATTGTATTAATCATCACCAACGCATTTTTAATATTATGAAGCTTTAATAATAGGTACCATTATAAAATTCTGAAATTTACAAAGCGATATTTCATTTTTATTATGAAACAGATAAAATACAAACGAAATAATTGTATGTGAAGTTCAGAAACTTGAAAACAAACGTTCTTCCGTGAAATTTGTTGTAAATTAAAAATAAATTAATCGCACTCGTCTCAGATGTCTCAAAATTTAATTTCTGTGGTTATTCTTGTTTGAGATGTACGAACTGACATGAATTCTGTGATTAATTTCTTTTAATAGAATTATATATCATTGAATTAGTTTACTATAAACCCTTGTTCTTAAAAATTTACCATTTTTTAGTTTAAATATCTAGAAATGGTAGGTATAGTCTTTCCCAAGTCAATTGAGCATGTATAAAAGCGCCTAATGAGTTTCATAGGCGTCCCTAAAAAACTTTCCTGCTAGAGGTAAAAAATTATATTGTGTAGAAAATTTCTATTATGTGTTCATTTGACCAACAACATATTTTAATTATTTATGTCCTTAATCTAATAACAATTTTATTATATTGATGGTAAATTTCGTTCAGTTCCGTTTCAAAAGGTCTCCAAAATGCCCTGTTGTAATAATATTAGTAAACAAAATATCCCTCTTATTTCTCCCTTTCGCAATTGTAATATGAATGATCAATAGAAGGTGCCTATAATAAATTAAAATTATCTGAATCACACCAAATTCCGTATTGCTTTAAACTGCACTGCTAAGCCATTTGTTGACAATTGAATGTATGGCCAATGTTTAGTATTTTAGTATTTTTATTAATACAGATAATATATAATAATATAACAATATTTTATTTGGTACTGTGGATGTAAGGTTTTCCTTGATAAGGTCCAATAAAAACAAAAATCCTTCATTTTATTAATACCACCCAATATTTCATTTCCATTAAATGTAATTCAGTATTTGTTTAGTTATTCTTTATTTTTGAATGATTAATGTACTTCTTTCCTATATAATATAAAATTTTATAAAATGCAGATGAATGTATGGGAGAATATGACGATTTATCTAACAACTTAGAAGGTTACACATTTAATCCAGAAATTGGAAACTGTTACCAGATATACGACCAATCAGAAAATGTGACATCTTTAATTTGTCAGGAACCTTTAAATCCCGAAAGATACTCCTGTGTTGAATTAATAATAATAGAAGAAAAATATTGTTTGGGATTAAAAACGCCAACGAATGAAACGATTCAATTACTTTGCGATAATTTGGTGGAAGACCTTGCTTCTCAACACATATCCGACGAATTAAATACTTGTTTCAATATTTCACGTCCTGATGACAGCTACAAAGAAGTGTGTCAGCATAAATTTGATGACTACAGTGTAGGTATAACAACACCAGATAATTTCACAATATTATTTTATTCAGAATTTTGCACGGCTTCAATAAGCAAAGATGATAGAGAATTATATGATGAGTTTGTAAACACATTTACACTTGACCCAGAAACAATAATCTGTTACAAAATATACAACCGACATCAGAACATAAGTCCTTACACATGCTTAAGTGAGGATGTGTTCATTTCTTGTATAGAAGACCTTCCTCGTGTCGAAAATTGCGAAGGCATCATTACCCAGAATAATGAAACAATCGTCTTAGATTGTACGGATAGTAGAGAAACTTTACAAAATCGCAGTTGTTTTGAAATATATACTGATGACAATGATCTTCAAATAGTATGTCAAGAAAGAGTGGAAGAACGATGTATTGGAATTAGAACTCCAAGTAATTTAACGGTGCTACTGGACTGTTATTTCTGTAGTGAGCCAGGTTTGTAAATATTCATATGTATAACATGTTAAAAATGATTAGTAAATATTTCTAATTCTGGAACTATATCAATGTGTAATCAGTGTTTTTCCAGTGTAGATAAAATGAAAAAAAAAACAGGGTTATTAGGTTATGGGGTTATGGAAACCCCACATCATTTAGTTAATTGCATTTCCACGAGCGGTCTCCTCCTGTCTCTTAATGAGTACGGTGTAATGTTTGTCGAACACAAACCGGGGAGTTTCAGTGTTTGTCTGCAGAAGGTTTGTCCTGACGACCCCATTCCATAGGCGACTCCTAACTTCTCTGCATCCTATATCCGGTTTGGAACATAGGCGAAACATAGTTGTCAAAGCCACTTCTATTAGATAAATATCCAGAGGTGGCAGACACAGCATTACCTCCATTGCTATGGTAGGTGTTGTTCGCATAGCTCTAGTTATGCTCAGACAGGCAATCCTTTGTACAGGGTGATTCACTATATTTTGACCCCCCCTTTAACTTTTTTATTTTAAGAGATAAAAAAATGTGAAATATAAAAGTTGCACTATTGTTTATGAATTTTTCGAAAATGATAGTAGAAAAACAAATGAAGTTCAAACAAAATGGCCGCAGATGTTAACTTTGTTAAGTTAAATTTCTGCCTTTTTTACAATTACGTAAGGATTTACAGATTTAGTAATAATATATTTTGATATATCGCACATTGATGCGCTCCAAATTGAGTATAGGTAATGTAACGAAATCACATTAATTAGGCCGTGAGATGTCTAATTATTCATGGACATTATATGGTAGATCGTGAGAGTGACAGGTAGTAATGTCTTGGCAACATTGTTATTGATTGATAGTATGTATTATTATTTAATTAAAATAAGTTACACAGAAGTAGAGAATTATTTAGAATTAAAATAGAGTATGGAGAAGAACTTTGCTCTATTTTAATTCCTATAATATTTCAATTTTCTACTTCTGGGTAACCCATTTTAATTAAATAATAATATAAATTGTCAAACAATAACAATGTTGTCATGACATTACCTGTCACTGTCACAGCCTACCATATAACATTGTTCATGAGTAATTAGGCATCGCACGGCCTAATTCGTGAGATTTAGTTAAAATACCTACACGCATTTTGGACCATATCAATGTCTGATCTGTCAAAATATATTATAACTAAATCTGTAAATCCTTAAGTAATTGGAAAAAGGCAGAAATGCCTGAAAAAGGTTTAACAATTACAAGATGTCTTATTTTCTTAATAAAAAAACCTTCTTTTCATTTTAGTATCTCGCTTATTTTTAGCTATGGACCCAACAAACCCTACATGACTATGCTCGACAGGGAACGTTCTATTCAAATATGTAAAAATATACAGGGTGTTCGATTTAACTTAACAAAGTTAACATCCGCGGACATTTTGTTTGGACTTCATTTGTTTTTCTACTATCATTTTCGAAAAATTCATAAAAACTCGGGGGGTGGGGGTCAAAATATAGTGAATCACCCTGTACTTGGCTTGGCTTTTGTTTAGCTGTCGTCTGCTGGGATTTCGGCCACCAGACGACAGCCCCGTAGGCTAACATTGTTTCACTATGGCAGTGTATATCCACATAACCACTTTTGGTTTCATTCCCCAGGTTTTGCTAACGGTTCTGCGGCGGTTCTGCATAGGATATGGACGCCTTTTTAAATCTTCTTTCAAAGTCAACCCCTAGGTATTTCACGTCAGATGCAAAGCTTAGCGTAGTGTTTAGGAGAGTTGGTGCCTTTATTGGCCCCAATTTTCTCTTTTTCGTGAAGAGAACCATCTCCGTTTTTCGGGGGTTGACTGACAGAGCATAGTCCTCACACCACTTTTTAATAGTTGTTAGGGCTGTTTGCATTCTTTGGTAAAGAATCCCTTCGAATTTTTCGCTAATCAGCATGGTGAGGTCTCTGCATAGGCGATGGTATAGATGCCGATTTCCGAGTTGAGGTGGCATAGGGTCTAGAACCAAGTTCCACAGCAGTGGTGATAAAACACCTCTCTCCTGACAGCTCTTTGCAGCAGTTCCTCTTGTGGGGGCATCCCCCACACTGATTTGTATAGTGAGCATATTTGATATCCATCTACATGGTTGGAGAAACTCCTTTCTTCATAAAGGCTGATTTTTGGGAAAGTCGTTTTATCAAACGCCCCTTCTATATCAATGAATACCCCCAGGGTTGACTCTTTGTTGTCCAAAGATTTCTCGATCCTGCCCACCACCTGATGGAGGGCAGTGTAGGTAGATCGCCCTAGTGTATGCATGTAGGGTGTGGCTGTCTATCCATTAACACAGTATCCCTTATATATATATATCGCTCACAGCTTTTCCATTTTCAACAGAAACGAGGTCAGGCTGATGGGTGGATACGCGTTTGGGGAGGTATAACCCAGCCTACCTGTTTTGGGAATGAATACAACCCTTACTCCCCTCCAGACCTTTGTAATGTAAAGGTGTGCAAAGCAGAACCTAAACCTTCGTTCCAGGTGCGGTATTAAAACATCCATGCCCCATTGTAAGAGGGCTGGATATACACCGCCTGGTGATTTGTAGGGTGAGAAGGTTTGTATCGTCCATTTTATTTTGTTTTCGGTTACATTCTGGTTGGCGATCTGTCAATCCATAACTGCAGGTGGATTTTCGTCTGACCAATCTTCCCGTTCCACTAATGTAAATCCCGGGAAATAGGTCCGCATCAGCAGTTCCAGACTTTCATTTAGATTGGTGGTTCTCTCGCCATCCTCTCTGGTTAATAGATCGTGGTGATCTTTCTCTTTTGCAAGTAGTTTTCAATCTCCTCGCAGTAGACTTTCCATGCATCCCTTTGTCTTTTCCTGACCAGTTTTTTGAAAAGTCTCAGGTGGGTTATGTATATTTCCCAGTCTGAGTCTTGTCTTGTCATGTTTGCCTTATCAAACGATATCGTGGTTGTCTTCTTCAGTTCGCTCAGCTCCCGGTTCCACCAACTCGTGGTTGCGCCAGGGGGCAAGATGTTATAAAGGCTCTTTTTATGGCAGATTGTACAGTATTCACGAATACCTGTTGTGGTACAATGAGATCATGAATTCTAATGTGTTTAAGTGATCTCCATTTCAAATCTCCTTCAAATAATGTTCCTTGTATTTCAGCATTCTTTTATATACCTTCACTCATTTTTAATTTCTACATATGCATATCATTTTTAACCAATTTTAATTATTTGTTGGTAGGTATGACATATGAATATGAAGAGGAAGAGGAAGATGTAATAGAATATGAACAGTTTATTACATCCTACTTATCTAACGAATATTCAGGAAAAAATTCGTATCTAAACAAATTCGAATTTAAGATATTGAAACAAAATAGTCCTTGGGAAATTCCACCATACTTATTACAAAGATCTAAAGTATATGGTTATTGGTTACCAAACACTACTTGTTACGGTGTCACCTTGCCGAGTAACGAAACTGTTATTTTGGAGTGTATGCCGAGCGACAAACCTAGTCACCTTAACCATGGCTGTTTTGTAGTGACTAACATGCAATTAAAAATAAAAGAGGAACATATTGTTTGCATTAAAGTTATCGACCAGGCATGTGTTGGGATTACAACTCCTATGAACTGGTCTGTAGAGTTCGATTGTTATTCTGAAGACAATGACGGTAAGTTCGAGTTCGTGAAAGGAAGCAATGTTTCTGCTGAATGCAATATTTAAACAAAAATTGGCGGTATGCCATTTCACCGAAATAAGGGGAAGCGTTTCTTCAAAGGGGTAATTAATACAGGATATGGTGGAAATGTGGTTCAAAGTAATAAAAAAATCAAAGGAGCAGAGAATTTTCTTCCACGCTTTATGTAACGAAACGCCATCTAATAAGGGTACCTTTTAAGCGTAGATGTAATTCAGTTAGATGAAATTCAGTATTTCTTCTCTTGTATAGCAGCATTCGCCTGTTCACCTGTGAAAAATATAATTGTTTGGTTGTTGTTCCGTTGCCCCCTGAAACGAATAACAAAATTCTACACGCCGTTGAAATTAAATCCTACACTCTTTGTACAAGACAAGGTTTCATGTATAATATCGCGGGTACTGCGGTTCCGGTTTTTCCCGACAGGATGTAGAATGTCTTCCCCCCTATTTAAGACACGCCGTTTTTTTCTCTACCGGTGTCCCGTTGTCTTTGAACAACGTTTTACATTACTCCTTGATTTAGTTGAAGTCTCTGGAGGTAACGAATCGCAGACAAACAAGTCGTATTTAAATCATATCCGCCTCAAAAATCAAAAAAATATATCCGCTATTGAATAGGGTACTTTGAAATAAAACGTAAATTTATCTATTATCTACAATCGACAAGACATGTCCGTGTCCGCGCCGTGCAAATAACCACACTGAACTTGACCTAGTTACTGATTGTAAACAGTTGATTAAGTGGGACGATACAGGATCGGCCTAAGTTTCGCGCAATAATTCTTGATTAATTTTCTGGAACACATGACACTTTAGATTAGAGGTTGTTTAATGATAATTGTTTAATTTTCGCGTCCTTTATTACCCCTGTGAATGAACGCACTTACGCTTTTTTTTACTTTTATTCTAGACATTTTCAAACAATTTTTATTAAGAAATACATTTTTATTTTTTCTCAAATTCCATTTCTGCAAAGATTATTTTATTTATAAATATTTTTTAATATTACGTACGTATTATTTAACTGTTTTATCTTACATGTATATATTCCTGAATAGGTTCAATGTCCAAATATAATTTTCTAAATTTTAGATGATGATGATTGGCGCAAAAACTTCAATAACTATAAATTTTACCCAAAAATTGGAAACTGTTACGAAATATATGATCAACATGAACATGTGACACCGTTTATTTGTCAAAGACCTGCAAATCCTGCAAATCATTCGTGTATAGATGCAACAACAGAAGAAGAATATTGTCTAGTGTTAAGAACACCAACAAATGAAACGGTTCAATTACTCTGCCCAAATTCAGAGGAACAATTTCCTTTTTATCTCTATAATAATGAACTAAATACTTGTTTTAATGTTTCACGACCCGATAAGAGCTACAAAGAAGTGTGTCAACAGAAATTTGATAACTATAGTATTGGTATAACGACACCAGATAATTTCACCATATTATTTGATTCATATTTTTGTCCGACTTCAATGTCTGACATAGAAAGGGAAAGATATAGTCACTTCATAGACACATTTTCATTCGATCCAGAAACAAAAAGGTGTTACAAAATATATGAAGAACATGAAAACATAAGCCCTTTCACGTGTTTAAGCGAGGAGGTGTATAGTTCTTGTGTACATAAACTTCCTCATGTTAAAAATTGTGAAGGAATAGTCACTCAGAACAATGAAACTGTGGTGCTACATTGTAGGGATGACAGAGAAACTGTACAAAATCGCAGTTGTTTCGAAATATATACTGAAAACAACAAACTTCACATAGCATGTCAGAAAAGAGTGGAAGAACGATGCATTGGAATCACCACTCCGAGCAACTTAACTGTACTGCTTGATTGTTATTTCTGCATCAAGTCAGGTTAGTAAACTTTGTATTATTATAACGAAATCAAATATTCAACTGTTTATACAGCCAGTGTTAAGTAGTTGGAAAATATGGAGGAAAATCTTAAAAACAAGATTTTTCCCCCAAAGTTATTTTTGCAACTGTTAGTTGCATGATTTCAGCACCGAAGATGTCCAGATTCATAGGTGTACAACATAATAAATAAAAAAAATCAATTATTTTTTGTCAAATTCGTCCTAAATAAACTAAACTTCCTTAAAATTGCTGTTGCGATTTTTTCTTGGGTGTTAATTATATATTTATTTAAAAAATATTTGAATAAATCATTTGTTTTTTATTTGTGTCAATGACCTGGATGCCTATAAATTGCGATACCTTCTTTGCATATTACAAGATGACTGGTTTGGAGAAAATAAAACATTTATTCAAGATTCTTTACTTGTTAAGTACAATCAAATTCTGTGCCTAATTCACTGATTCATTTAAATAAATGAATATTTTCTTATCAATATTATTAGATTGACGTATATATTCCCAAGCACATACAATTTTCCTTGTCTCTACAGAAGTTGCAATTTGCTATAAAAAAGCGTGGATACAAATTTTGCTTGGGAGTTTCAAATAGGACCACTTTGGCTTTCCTTTAAGTCAAAAATATTATATTTGGATTTTTTTGGACACCTGTTATGACGTCGTGAAATATACCTTCCAGAAACATACCTATTTCATTTCATATTGGAAAAGCCAGAGTAGCTCTGATTAGACTTTAATTAAAAGACCTTTTTGATATCTCCTTTCGTTTAAAAGGTACAAACAGAAATGTGAAAACGCGTTCCATGGAGATAGAACCGTTTTGCGTTGGTCGCCCAAACAGAAGAACCGAACATTATTGATCAAAAGAAAACCCTTATTTTGTCAACCCCATAAATAATCGAGATCATTTTGGTGTCATCGCCTGGTATGGTATCATTGGCCGCCATCTAATTGGATCATATTTTTCTGAAGGAATATTGGGTGGTAGAAGATATCTGAGTTTTCTTCAAGAAGAACTTCCAATTCTTCTTGAAAGTGGACCTCTGCAAGTAAGAAGATCAATGCGATTTCAACATGACAGAGCTCCACCTCCGAGAACACATTTTGTCTGTAATTATTTAGAAGAAATATACCACGATAGATGGATAGGGTAATGTTCCCATAAAATGGCCAGGGAAGTATCCAGACCTGACCTTCTTAGATTTTTGTTTATGGGGACTCAAAAACAGTGTTTATAAGACTCCCTCGCAAAATATTTACCATTTGAAAGAAACAATTATAATTGCATGTCAAGACATTTCTCCAGACATTTTTAAAAAGCTACACAAAGAGAAAAAAAAATTAAAATGTTAAAAAATATTTCTGTTTGTAGTTTATTTGTGTAACTGTATTAATTCCTAGTAATTATTGTTGTTATTTTATGGTTCTATATTTGTATTACCTATAATACTATGGCAGATATAATAGTTTATATGCCTTCAACAGTCAAACTGTCTGTTGTTTTCCATGGAACGCGTTTTCAGATGTCTGCTTGTAACTTTTAAACGAAATTAATGAAAGTTTATCAGATATACTTTGTCTTTTCTAATACGAAATGAAATAGGTATGTTTCTGGGAAAAGTATATTTCATGACGTAATTTCCAAAACGGGCATTTCCAAATGTTTCAAAAATAATATTTTTTGCTCAAAGGCAAGCCTAAGTGATACTATTTAAAACCCCCTAGCGAAATTTTTACTCGCGTTTTTTATTACACAACAGCAGCCCTAAAGCATCGAGTTTGAGACATACTTGTATACAGGGTGTAACGTAAAGGTTGGGAATAAATTAAACGGTGGATTTTTTATTTTAAAAAATAAATATTTGTCATATAAAGTTATGCTGTACAGGTTTTCTTTTCCAAGCTACAGGGCGTTAAAAAATTTCAAAAAATTTAGTTTTTTAATATCATTTTCAATGCAAAAGTCTTTTTGCAATGCCTATTTGACCATGTTCGGTGCCTGAGTCAAAGCATACTTCATAATATTTTTGTTATTTTTATTTTCCTACGTTAGCAGTGGGAAAAAATGGGTATTTACAAATGTTTTATTTACGGAAAAAGTACAAGAGCTAGGAATAAAACGCAATACGGTAATTTTCTTCAAAATAAAAAATGAATTATAAAAAAATATTGAAAAAATATTTTTACCAGTGGCGTACAACATTTTTTTTTGAAAAACCTTACGGCACAATCCGTACGTACGCCACTGAGTAACTTACAAAGTCAATATTTTTTCTGTTACTAGGGGATTATCAAATTAAGCTAAGTCTAAAATTTCATTCCATTGTCTTATAATGTTCGAAAGTTATTGGAGAAAAACTAAATTTTTTGGAACTTTTTAACGCCCTATAGCTTGGAAAAGAAAATCCGTAGAGCATAACTTCATTTGAGAAAAATGTATTTCTTAAACCAAAAAATCCACTGTTTAATTTATTCCCAACCTTTACGTTACACCCAGTATAATATTGTGGGTAATGCAATGTTAGTCTGCAGAGTAGTTGCTTCCCACAATATCATTAATTATATTTCTAGTCGATACTAATATGATATATTAAACTGATAAAAACATAGAATATTAAATAAACGAACTAGACTATTTTTTTTTAATTGATATCATTTATTGTACATGATTTAGGATCCATAATTTGAATACCGTGTAAGTATTTATAAATGTTTAGTAACCACCCATTAACTATGATCTAATTGTTACTTAAAATATAGAGTCTTTATAATTTATTCCTTTAAATTGGAATCACACGGCGTCAAAAAAAAAAGGTGTGCTGGACCGATAATATTTTATCTAAAGTCAGAATTTTCGGATTAGGCACCCTAACATCAAGAAAATCACCCAGAAAGAGGTTTTCGAGGTTTCAGAACGACTTGAGTAATTAGTGACTGGAAAAACAATGAAATTCATGATCTCTACACCATAATCTCCTAACCCGAAATCTGTTATTTGAACCATTATTATTACAAACACTATACAGTCAAGAATTATGTTTTCCAGTGTAGACACAAAGGGAAACAAACCCAGGTGACTTTGTAATACAAATCTGTATGTCCCAGGCTTATGGGCTCCCACAGAGTTTCATGGGTGAGACTACAATGTTACGGGGTTATGGGGTTATAGTGCAATGAGATCATGAAATCGAATGTTTTCCAGTCACTCCAAATCAGTCTTAAATCTCGAAAACCGCTTTCCATAGGGAGTGTCTTGATGTTTGAGTCAAAACACGAACTGATCCGGGTATTCTCACTTTAGAATCGGATTCAACTGGTCAAAATACTATTGAATATAATTTGGTCCACAGTCCAACCTCCTTTTATTATCGCTGTGTTATTATTGGTTGCTAGGTATTGGGTATATACCTGAAGATGTGGAACAGCGACGAAGATCCTGGAAGTTTGTTACATCCTACCTTTCCAATGAGACATTGGGTAGAAACTCATACATAGGCAAACTTAATTTTAAAGCATCTCAAAAGATTGACGCAAATTTTGTCGAATATTCCAAAAAGATACCTATGGTTTATAGTTACTGGTTACCAAATAGCGATTGTTATGGAATTACGTTGGATAGTAACGAAACAATTATTCTGGAATGCATTTCTAAGGAAAGACTGAAATACGTGAAATCTGGATGTTTCCCAGTAATTAATCCAAAAGTGGAACAAGAGCAAATCGTTTGCTCTAAGATTCTGGATGCAGCCTGTGTTGGAATTACTTCTCCCATGAATTGGACTGTAGCACTAGCTTGCTACTCTGAATATTACAAAAGTAAGTACGAGTCAGGTTTAAATATCTTCTAATATCTCAATTTGAATGTTTTTCCAACCAACCATTGGCTAGTCAATTTGAGTAGCATTTTGACACTCAGCAGCTTTCGCGATTTCAAACTGACTTTAGTAGTCACTTATTGGAAAAACATTCGAATTCATGATCTCATTGCACCACAACCCCAAAACCTTGTATAATCCGGGATATCCGAAAGTGTAGAAATAATATGAATATGGGAACGTGGATCTTGTACACCAGGCATTTGAAACTATTATTGTGAGTTGACAGGCTTCCATAATCCAATAACCTCGAAACCCCATGACCATGAATCTCTGAGGTGCATGCAAGCTTCTGTAGACCTATGATCAGGAGCAAATAAATGTTGGGTAAAAGTAATTCCCTGTTGTTATATGGCAATAAATCTCCTAATATTTAGTTTATTTGACTGGAACAGGTTTTGCGGTTAAGTTTAACATGGGAGAAATCAAATCGTTTAACTCAAAACTCCACATATGCACCAGCATTTTGCACCAGTATTTGTAACCGACTGGGGATATTTTCGACAGGCTTTTGCAGGAATTCTTCTGGGACATTAGTGAGTACATGGCGAATACGAACTTCCAGTTCATTTAAAGTTATTAGTTTGATGCGATAAACCTCTTCCTTCTTGCAACCCCACAGAAAGTAGTCACATGAAGTGAGATCAGGGCTCGATCTTGCATCAAAATGAGGTCATTAATATTATCGCATGTGGAAAGAAATTGTCAAACTTCATTTTCCAATATGGCTAGTATAGGTACCGTTCTGCGTTCATGATTTCTTGAAGAATCAACGTACCTACAACTTGATTGGATGTAATGCCGCACCAAACTGTGACCTTATGGCGCACTATGAACGATTTAGTGTCAAAATCATAGAACTCTGGATAGAAAAAAGATAAAAAGGTTTAGCAAGAGGTATTTTAAAGGTAAAGGGATTACCTTTTAGGGAAAAATATCGAAAATGCGCTCAATTTATTGGGAACGTTTAAACCTCGGATTTTCCAATTTTTTTCGATTTTTTCGAATGCCACTACTTTTCCTCATCTGACTATTAAAAAATACTTTTTTTTTTCAGAAAGTAGATTAAAAAATCTTCAATTTCCATTTTGGTGAAATTTATTTGACCTATTATACAGGGTGTTCCTAAATAAGTGTCGCAACGGAAAACTGTATATTCCTTTTGAAAAAAGAAACATTGTTTTCCTCTTCCATTTTTCTCTCCGGGCTTTCGTTTTCGAGATGCACGGTGTCAAAACTTTTTATCCCCACTTGATTATTGTCAAGAGCGTTGTCTATGAAACCTCTGTCAATACGGTCGAGAATTGACCGCTAGGATTGAAGCCACAGCGGAACAAATTAGAAATACCCAACAAATTATGAACAACGTTCATAGAAACATGATCCGACGATGTAATGCGTGCATTTAAACCAACGGTCATAATTTTGAACAGTTTTTGTAAATTTTAGTCGCTAAAGTGATAAAAAATTATTTTTTAAGACAAAAAAAAATCTGATCTGTTGTTAAATTTCGTTAAAATTGTTAATTATTACTATCTATTATTTGAATCACAAAGGAGTGTTGAAACGTTAGCAAAATGTTGGTTTTTGCTCATAAAAAATCATTTTTATTGAAAACGGTTGACTTTAAAGCAATGAACCAAGAGAACTCTTTTTGTGTAAAATTCATTGGCGCTTCAGAATTTGCTGTCAAATGTCAACTTTTCCAGTGGCGTACAAGTTCGGGGGAAACACCCTTACGATACCTTAAAATATCCACCACTAGCACGTCCAATGAATTCAAGAAGGGTGCGAAAAAGTAGTTATTAATAGTGGAAATGTATGTACAAAAGCTCGGTCCTGTAATTCAAACGATTCCTAGAATATTGGCAAAAAAGTAAAAAAAAAATTAAGTTTTGACACCATGTATCTCGAAAACGAAGCCCGGAGAGAAAAATGGAAGAGGAAAACAATGTTTCTTTTTTCAAGAGGAATTAACAGTTTTCCGTTGCGACACTTATTTAGGAACACCCTGTATATCTTAAGTGATTGTCATTCGAAAAGTTCAGTGTTCATAAATTTAATTTCTAACAGTGTTACCATATCAAATTAATTTGTAAGTTTTCATTCAAGTTCATTTAAAAAAAAAATATTTTTATTAAAGTATTCATTAAATGTTGGATAATTTATTAAAGTTTTAGACTGAAATACACAAATGTTTGGTTTATAAAGATTTTTTAAGATATTTATTAAAATATTTCGTTATAGCAACGGATATTTATCCCGAGATTGAAGCATGAATATGTTTTTATGTAGGGGTAATAATTTTAGAGAAAAGTTAACCTGATCTTACCTCATAATCGAGTTTAAAATCTTTTTCTCTGAAATAACTGATTTAATGTATGATATAAATTATAAACTTCCATGGAACTTTTTTTTGTTTGTGTGATAAACTAAATTATACGAGACTTCATTTTTTAATATGATGTCTCCAATTGAACGGTAATTGTAGCTCGAGTATGACTTCGAGTAGAAAATGCATTCATGCAGATTGGATGATCCTACCTATTCTCAAAATTAGAAAAAAAATGATATACTCAGAAATATACATTTTCCCCAATATAGCCATTTTATCTGTAAAGTGATTTAATCCAAATGTAGTATCCTTATATCCAAATCGGTATAAAGAAAACTCTAGTTTATAATTTATATCATACATTAAATCAAATTCAGAGAAAAAGATTTTTAACTCGATTATGAGGTAAGGTCAGGTTATCTTTTCTCTAAAACTATTACCCCTACATAAAAATTTATTAATGCTTCAATCTCGGGATAAATATCCGTTGCTATAACGAAATATTTAGATTTTTTGAGACTTACCTTTTAAGTAAAAATTAAGTGAAGTCCAAAAAAATCTTTAAAAACCAAACATTTGTATATTTCAGTCCAAAACTTTAATAAATTATCCAACATTTAATGTATACTTTAATAAAAATACTTTTTTAAATGAACTTGAATGAAAACGGACAAATTAATTTGATATAACACTGTTAGAAACTAAATTTATGAACACTGAACTTTTCGAATGACAATCACTCAAGATAGAAATAAATTTTACCAAAATGGAAATTGAAGATTTTTTAATCTACTTTCTGAAAAAAATTGTATTTTTTAATAGTCAGATGAGGAAAAACAGTGGCATTCGAAAAAATCCAAAAAAAAAAATGATAAACCGAGGTTTAAACGTCACCTAAGAACAGTCTAATAAATTGAGCGCATTCTCGATATTTTTCCCTAAAAGGTAATCTTTTTAATTTTAAAATACCGCTTGCTAAACCTCCCCTCCAAATGATGTTCTCGAATAGCTGCCTGTGGCAAGTCTTCATACCAACCTAGCATGTTTTCACCATATTCCATTCGATGGTCACAATCTTTCGACGATAACTGTTGACAGCAATGTGACTTCCACGAACGAAATTTAATTCTTTTATTTCTGATGGTGTGGCAGGAGAGACCACTTTCACGAACGGTCTCTCTTGTTGATTTCTGAGGGCTTCTGGTAAATATATCCTCCACCATTCGCGCATGTTCCTCTGATCTGGATGTCGAGGAACGACCACTTCTACGAATATCCAACACAGATACGATGTTCATCAGTTTATCATTTTACAGAAAATTCACATAATCGTTTTCTAAACAATTACCAAATCGTACGTTTACTGAACATCAAATCGTTTCAAATCTTTTTTTTTTATATTAGAGAATTGATTTTTTAAAACTTCTTCAACTGCTCTTATCTCGTATTAATTAATTTGGACGTAGAATTCGCTATGTTCGCTAAAATAAACATATTATTATTATGTGTAGTAGTAAAATTACACTTTAAAAATTTGTAGTTAATCTTCTTGTGATATATAAATAACCTATTATGTTTCAGATACACCAGATATAATTAAAGAATCCTACTCTAAAAGTACTGTGGGTACTTACTTAATATCTTTATATGTGAACGACTGTTATGAAATCTATCCCTCTCAAGAAATAGACGCTTATACTTGCATGAAAAGTGCGAATGCCAAATATTATTCCTGTGTTTACTGGCTACCTGGTGAACGACGATGCTTGGGCCTAAAAACTCCCGCCAATGAAACAATTGAACTTATCTGTGAAGATTCTTCCGATAACGAAAATTCTTTTGTTGCCAATAGACTTTCTACACGCAAAAACTGTTTTAATCTTTACAAACCCAATAACCACACAGAAGAAGTTTGCTTGCGGAAATTTGACAACTTCAGCATAGGTTTGACTACTCGGAGCAATTATTCTATACTATACGATTCGTTCTTTTGTCGTACTTTTAAAACTCCAAAAGATATTCAAGAATACAAAGAATTTATTAACGGCTTTGTTTTTGACCCTAGCATTCGAAGTTGTTATAAAGTTTATAGTCCCGACCAAGATATCAGTCCATATACATGTTTAAGTAACGAGATACATGACTCTTGCATCCATCTAATAGAAAACAGAAGCAGTATGGGAATAACCACACAAAATAATGAAACTATCATTTTGGAACATTTGAATGGCACGAAGGCCGTGAGTGAGTCAGGGTGCTTTAAAATATACACCCCCGATAACAGAATACATATTTCCTGTCAAAAGCAAGTGGAGGAACGATGTATCGGAATAATTACACCTAGTAATTTAACTGTACTACTGGAATGCCATACCTGCATGTCAGCTAAAGGTATTTACATAGTTTTTTTACTATATGCAACTTGCAACTATAAACCCTAGAACGCATTAAGTACCTAAGTAACTAGTAAGAAAAACTGAATTCGAAAGTTATAGGCCAATCATTACAGCTTTTTTTCACTGCGGAATATTGTTCAGAAACGTGTTACAAACAAAATATCAAAAAATCAACTCGAAACTAGTTGGGAAAATTATGGAAAAGTGGTTTTTGGACTGGCGTAAAAAAACTGTTATTCATAGAGAAAAAAAGGTTTATACAAAAAAGGTAGGTATTAAATAAATCTGTAAAATAAGACAAGTCCGATTAAATTCCGATAATTTGTTTATGCGCAATAGCTCAAAAATGGTCGAAATTGCCCGCTTTTTTCAATTGCTAATAATAATGCAATTTTGCTAAATAGTTGTATTGACATATGCATTTACTAATAATTTAATTTTTCAAATTTAATTTGTTTAAAAATGACTTTGAAAAAATGTTAATATTTATTACATCGTTAAGCGCGCATGCTAAGCTTCGCCTTCCCCACTCGTTCGCTAGACCAAGTAATCGCCGCTATCTTCTTTTTCGAAATTAAATAGTTGAATTCACCTTAATGTTAATGTAGGACATGAAAATATAGTATGTATGTATAGTAGTATGTTAATGTATACTCTCTCCAAATTTCGGCTCTTAATATTAATAATTAAGGTCACTGCGATTAAATAAATAAAATAAATATTCTCAGCTTCTAATCAACTTACAACAACGATTTTTTTTTAAATTCGTAGAAAACTGAAGTAAAGAGGTTACTATTTTATTTTATAATAATTACCTATCTTAACAATTTAATAAACATTTTTTCAGTCAATTTTAAACAAATTAAATTTGAAAAACTAAATTCTCAGTAAATGCCTATGTCAATACAACTATTTAGGTACAAAAACAACTAATGATCAAAACCCTACAACGCCTGTGAGCTTGGGAAAAGTGAATTGAAAATAGCATCTTCTTAGATAACAAATTCCGCCAACGTCAAACCAATGAAGCTTTCGAGCTGAAATTTTTACCACTTATTAAGGGTGCAAAAAGCCTCAAAAATCCTGAATTACAAGTGTCTGCGATGAAAATTGCATTAATTATTAGCAATTGAAAAAAAACGGCAATTTTCGACCATTTTTGAGCTCTTGTGCATAAACAAATTATCGGAATTTAATCGGACTTTTTTCATTTTATAGGCTTACTTAATACCTACCTTTTTTGTATAAACTTTTTTCGCTATGAATAATAGCTTTTTTACGTGAGTCAAAAAAACACTTTTCCATAACTTTGACCACTGTTAAAACAAAGTTTCCCAACTAGCCTCGAGTTGATTTTTTGATATTTTATTTATAACAGGTTTCCGAACAATATTACGCAAAGAAACTCCTAATAGTATTTTTTTCCCGAAACAGGCTCTTTCATGTCTATAATGATTGGGCTGTTATCCCGAGGATAAAACAGCAAAAGTTCATAGGTAAATACAGGCTGTATCTTTGAATAAGGATCGTAGATACACATATAGGCGAGCGGCTCACCCCTAAAAGGATGCTTCTAAATGAAGGTAACCGACTAAATTTTTAAAACAAAAACCTACAGCATGAAACTTTTTTTAATTTATAAAGTGTATTTTTCTGATAATTTACATATTTTTGTAAAAAAAAAGTTGTAAAAAAATTAGTCGCCGAATGGCTTTGAAAAGATTTTTGTTGTAAAATGGACGAAAATAAACACTTTTAGTTCTCTGACAAAAATTCGAAAAATGCTTCGTTTCCGAGATATTTATAATTTAATGTGAAAAAAGTGACAAACTTTCCGAATTTTTTTCTCAAAAACTACTGAACAGAGTTTAATTCTAAAAAAAGAATAATAATCGGCAGATCTTATACTTTAAGATATATTCTTTTGGTATATTTCAATTATTTTATTGAAGGTCTAAAGCGAGTAAAAAAAAGTATTTTAAATAAAATCATGATAAACATGCGCATCAAAATGGCGGTGTCAGTGGCGTTACTCGCGCGCGAAACACTTCAAATTCAAATTTTCTTTTTACAATATTTTGGACTAGATTATATTTACAGTAAACATAATGTTATTAGGATATTTTTAATCGATATATAACAATAACATTTAATGCGGAAATAACCATAATTTTTCCTACATTTATAATAATTATAATTTTTGCAATTATTTTCATGCTTTTTTTAATGCAAAAATTATTATTTATGATTAGAATTATATTACTATTAATGCTACATTAATTTTAAACAATTATACTATTTGATTATACTAAAAAAAATAATTAAACTCTAGCCTGTTCGTCAAATATAAAATAAAAGTTTAATTTTAGAAGATGCGCTTGAAATTTTGACGTTATATTTATAAAAAAATTATGATTCTCAAAATAAATGGAATCGAATTCTCGAAACCTATAAATAAATTAAGACATACAATTGCTTTAAAAAAATGCTGCTAAGGAGAAACTGCGTTAGATATGCTTCAAAAATATTTTTGTTCACGTAGTGGAAAATGTTCTATAAAAAACTGTAACTGTTTGTCATCGAACCTGGAATGCTGTGCAGTCTGTGCGTGCTCAGATGAATGTCAGAATGTTCCATCGGAAATTGATGATGAAACGCTTATTTCAACTCAGGAACTTGTCGAAAATAACGAAAAACTTATTATTTAAAAATTAAATAAAAAAGAAATTAATATACTTTTATTGCTCTTAATATTTTTGTAAAATAAAAATAAAATAATTATCCTATACAATAAATTATCCAATAACTTTTTTATTTTTCGGGACCGCTAGGTCAATTATTATTATTAGGTTAATTTTACGATTTAAAAAGCTTATTTTGTTTAGTTTTGGTATAACTTTCAAGTCAATTTTAGCCATTTATAAAACCACCAATCGAATATTTAAATTTTACTAATTACTTGCAAAAACCTTACTCCGGCTACAAAACCAAACAAAATGATCTTTTGAACACTTGTACTGTTAACATATATCAATTAAAAAAAATCATAATAATGTTTATTGTAAATATAATCTAATCCAAGATATTGTAAAAAGAAAATTTAAATTTGAAATGTTATCATAATTTTCTTTAAGACTTTTTTTACTCGCTTTAGACCTTCAATAAAATGATTGACCCATACCAAAAAATATATCTTAAAGCAGAAAATCTGCCTATTATTATGCTTTTTTTAGAATTAAAATCTGTTCAGTAGTTTTTGACAAAAAAAATTCCGAAAATTTGTCGATTTCGTTACTTTTTTCACATTAAATTGTAAATATCTCGGAAACGAAGCATTTTTCGAACTTTTGTCAAAGAACAAAAATTGTTTATTTTGCTCCATTACATTACAATAAAAAACTGTTTTCAAAGCCATTCGGCGACAAATTTTTTTTTACTACTTTTTTGTTTATAATTGACTGACCACGCTGAAAAATATAAAAAAATATGTAAATTATCAGAAAAATACACTATAAAATAAAAAAGTTTCATGCTGTAGGTTTTTGTTTTAAAAATTTAGTCGGTTCATGCCCTTTTTTAGGGGTGAACCGCTCGCCTAATACATTTTGAGTGATGACAAGTGTCGCCTGATATTGTATCCGCAACTAAGTTATTGACATTGAATTTCAAGGACTAAACGTGGTGTTTTCATATATTTTTTAAATATGGGAGATCTTTTAATTATTTGTATTTTTTTTATTACTCGTATGTACATTTTATAAAACAGCAAAAATATTGACGCATTGACATTGAAAAAATATTACTAGTTTAAATTAACCTATCAAGAATTCCTCACGAAAGCTGTTTTAACAAAATTGTTTTCTATTGTAGTTTCTGCTCTGCCACACCGTTGCTTTCACACAATTGATTTAAAATGGCAACAAAAGCCAACATTGATAAACAAGCACATACAACCAAGGCGCATTATAATTCATTTGGACTTAGGTATGGACAAAATTAAGTAGCGCCTCGTAGAAAAAACATTAAAAAAATTAATAAAACAGACTTTTAAAGCTTAAGTGGAACAGATTAAGAAAAAAATAATCATATTTCACCAGCACCCCATTTACATCCTCAAAATTGAGCCCCAAAATTATAATTTTGGAAAAAAAATACATTTTTTGCTCTCTCGTTTGAAAAAAGTGTTTTTTCAAATGATACAAAACATTATTTTATAGTTTTTGAGATGAGGAATAAGAATCCATTGTTTAAATTGAGCTAAAAAAAATTTAGAACCCTTAAATTTACAAATATTTCATTTTATGTCGTTTTAGCGCAGATTTCCGCTCTTCTTATGCACCGATTTGCTTGAAATTTGGACAGTAGGTGGGGAATAGCTCAAGAAACAAAATACACCCTATGCTGATATATATTTTTACCCTGGGGGTAGTTTCAACCCCTTTGAAGGGGTTGAAAATAAATTTTGTCAAAATAATCGATAGAGTAACTAATTTCAAGCAAAAAATGTCCCATACAATTGTTTTGGTAAACCAATACTTTTTGAGTTATTTGCGATTGAAAACTCAATTTTCCAAATTCATTTTTTCATAAAAAATTATTATAAACAGAACTGAGATCATATCCGATAAAATATTATTAAAGTAGAATAAAATACCTTTAATTTGGTTGTTTAAAGATATTTCTAGCTGCTATAGAACCGAAGTTATAAATTCGTAGGTAAGTTGTGACATTTTACTTATAATCGCTATAACTTCATTTCTGCAGCAGCTGGAAGCTTTTTTAAGAAGCCAAGTTGTAGGCCTTTTGTACTTTCATAACCAACGTAAAATGTGGGCCTTGTTTTCTTACATAGCGATAATTATTCAATAAACAAGCTAAATATTGAAAAAAAGCTGTTATTCGCGATTAATTAAATGAAAGTCGTTATAACTTCGGTTCTATAGCAGCTAGAAATATCTGTAAAGAACAAAATTAAAGATATTTTACTTTAATTTAATAATAATTTAGTTCTGTTTATAATAATTTTTTTTATGAAAAAATGAATTAACAATTGAAAGATTGAGTTTTCAATCGCAAATAACTCAAAAAGTATTAGTTTATCAAAAAAATTATATGGAACATTTTTTTCTTGAAATTAGTTGTTCTATCGATTCCCGGGATTATTTTGGCAAAATTTATTCCTTCCCCTTCAAAGGGGTAGAAACCACCCCCAGGGTAAAAATATATATCAGCATAGGGTGTATTTTGTTTCTTGAGCTATTCCCCACCTACTATCCAAATTTCAAACAAATCGATGCATAAGAGCGGAAATCTGAGCTAAAAACATCCTAAAATGAAATGTTTAAGGATTCTAAATTTTTTTAGCTCAATTTAAACAATGGATTCTTATTCCTCATCTCAAAAACTATAAATAATGTTTTGTATTATTTGAAAAAACACTTTTTTCAAACAAGAGAGCAAAAAATGTAATTTTTTTTCCAAAATTATAATTTTGGGGCTCAATTTTGAGGATGTAAATGGGGTGCTGGTGAAATGTGATTATTTTTTCCTTAATCTGTTCCACTTAAGCTTTAAAACACTATTTTCTGTATCTTTTTTCTACGAGGCGCTACTTAATTTTGTCCATACCTAAGTCCAAATGAATTATAGTGCGGCGTAAACAAGACGATATTATTATTATTTATTTGATTTGAAAACAATAATAATTTTAACACGCACTATTACCCTTAGCTGATTCCCGTTTAAAGTTACATCCTGTATATGAATATGATATACAGTGTGTCCCGCGATTCTGCCCGAATATGGATATGTATGGAAACTTTGCAGATGTGGTTATAAGGCTATGTTTGACCTTTTTTGACTTTTAAACAAAACTTAATTTTTTTTCTGGATATCCCTTCTATTATTGCAAAAGAATTGAAATTTCTTATTTAGGAACTTGGAATTCCTAACAAAATTTTAACAACAAAATAATTACATTTTCTAGAGATTTTTAAAAAGAATGATGTTTTCTGAAAATTTGCAACTAAATAAATTTGCCCTATTCGAGATACAAACGTGGGACATACTGAGTTTTTTATTGATATATAAATATGTATAACTTCACAAAGAAAATTTAATTGCAACCTTCTTGGCGGAGGAAAAAGAGTATTTTTTGTTCAATATGTTGATGAAATTGTAGGTAAATAATTATAGCTATTTTACAGGCGGGGAAGGTCTTCCTACATATTCTGATAAGAACAGAAAAAGCTATCGCCAATATGTTGAGTATTCTCTATATAAGTTTACTCAAAATAATTATGCCTTAGAAGACGAGGAGTACCTAAGTTCTTATACACCTGAACAAGATATAAAGGTGTTTGATTGCTATGGTGAAATAAGTCATTACCGCATTCATATTTTGCATGGTCACAACAGATGTCGTGGAATAACTCTGGATAATTTAGAAACCATCGTTATAGGATGTCCGTATGGCAGACCCGAAAAAGCTGGTTGTTTTGATGTTTTCAGCCCAGTTTATAATGAAGATAATGAAATAATTAATTCTGAAATGAAGGTACTTAGAATTTTATAACTAAATGTTGGCTTTTTAAATTTCCAAAAATTGTTTAGTAATTAATATATTTCTTTGTGTAAATTAATAAAAAATAGATAGATGTATATTTCCAATGAGGAACACTGCAAATGGGACAATTTGCTCACATAATCAGCCCGATGGGGTGATCAGAACTTTGGGGAAAATAGTATGCACTAAGAACAGTTGACTATAAGACCTTAAAGAAAATGAATGAAAAATTTAGAAATTATCAATAAAAAAATATTTTTTTACACCCTATTTCGGAAACGAAGCATTTGCGGACCTATGTCTATAAGAATTTTTTTCGAATTTTTGGATGTAGAATCTGCTCTAGAATTCTCTGAACAACATTTTGTAACACCCTGTATAGTCCCAAATGACATTTTACCTAGTAGTTATTAACACCATAAAGGAGGTAAGTACTATTTACCAGTCGAGAAAGATTTTGCGCCCGAGCGGAGCGAGGGCTGGCAATAGAGTCCGAGACTGGTAAATTATGCTTAACTACTGGGTGGTGTATAACATTTTATCTGCTCCCACAGTTCTTTATGGTTCATGAAGTAAGGATTAGGTTTTATTTTTTGACATTTCTTAATCAATTCATTTAGACATTATTCGAAATCTTGCAAAATCGCCTTAGTTGTTTGGATTGCAATTTTGCTAGTTTTGAATTATTATTTCTAAATGAGTGATTTTCAAATAGAAACTGCAGCAAATGCTGCTTGCGAATTTTTATTGACCGAGAAGTCGAAAGTACGCTACGGACAAGCATATACTCGTAAATGACTGAAATGTCACTGCTAGCATATTTCATGGAGAACTGAAATACTTTAAAGTCACCGGCGAGTTTGTGGAGTGCGCGCCATTATTCCATGGCTAGAAATTGGCCTCAATGATTTGGGATCGAGGGGGATTATCCCTCTTTATCCTGCCTCATCTCGTGTAGGCCTGGACAGCCTTCGTAGGTGGGCCCCATCCGTCGTCTATCCCGACTGCAATTCGGCCGGTATAGGCGCTTTGTGGGACTTCCTTTTGTCCTGGCTGGGTCCCGCCGGCTAGGGCCCTTTCTTCTGGCGCTCTTCTTGCTTCGCCGGCTCGTCTGTGTAAACCCCGGGGGTGGTGTCACGTTGGATACGGTAGTGCGACTATGCAGCCTGGGATGCGCTTTGCTAAGGTGGCCCTTAGGCTAGCGCGGGAAGGGAGGTTAAGGAGGGTATGGGGGTGTGTGTATGTGTGTGTGTGTCGTTGTCTTTGTTTCTTGATCCTGGCGGTCTCTGAAACAGAAAAGGTTAACGGGCAGGGGGGGGGATGTCGTTGGGGTGATCACCCAGGGTCAAAAAGTTGGTGTCTAGGTCTTTTGTGTTTGTCGGTTACGTCGGGTACGTAGTCAACGGCTTGCCTGAGGAGGGGATTGTCATGTCTAGCGGCTACGTCAAACCGTTCCTCCGCGTTTTGTCTTTATTGTCTGTGTAGCGTTTGTGTATTGTAAGTCTCGTAATTTGTGGAGTGAATACTCAATGATTAAGTCAACTATTTTCATAGAGGAGAACGTGGATATATCAAAATACACCAAGCTGAGAGCATTTTTGAAACGTAAGAATGATGGCTATACACCTAAAAAGTTAAACGTTTTTTCAAGAGAACAAGTCAATGATTTTCTCGTTCAGGCACCCGATAACACATATTTGCACTGAATGTATTGACGGTCTTAGGCATTGCAGGAGCATGCCGTTTTGATGAATTATGCAAACTTACTTTGGACTACGTCAATTTAAAACATTTCGTTGACATTATTGTAGTTACAATTCCAGAATCTAAAAATGGTATGTCACGTACGTTTACAATTACTTCTCGTCTCGGCTCTGTTTCTCACCTAGAAATTCTCAAGAAATATATCAAGATTAGATTGGAAAATAAAACTGAAATTTCACGCTTTATTATGTGCTATCAAGCAGTTAGATGTTCCAATCAACCAGTCGGCAAGGATACCTTTCTATGATTCCTAATAAGATTGCACAGTTTTTGAAACTAGAACAGCCTGAAATATATACAGGCTATTTATTCCAAAGAACATCGTCAACATTACTGGCTAATACAGGAGTTGATGTATTAGCAATCAAGAGACATGGTGGGTGGAAATTAGCCACAATTGCAGAAAGTTATGTTGCTGACAGTTTAAGTAACAAAAATGAAATAGCCAACAGGATTCTTTACAATGACACTTCAACTCCAGGTTTTAGTAGTACGTCGCATCATGCTGTTGTAATGGATCAGTCAGATAATACTGAGCCTCCGGAAACGGAGCGATCAAATCATTTTGAGAAAAATGTGACAATTAGTAAACGCGAGGGGAATAATTATTCAGATTTTATATTATAAATAATCATTTATAATAATTAATAAAATGTAACGTTCATCGAATATTTCTATTTATTTGTTCATAAAATATGCATTTATAGGTAACTCGAAATCGTTTTTTTCCCTATGGAGGTAAGTTACCTCATTTACCTCCCATTGTCCATAGCAACTTCCACTTCTACGGTAAAATCCACTTAGGTACCTCCTTAAAAACAATGTATTAATAGTCTATTTACTATAGTGAGAGCAGATAAAAATATGTTTTGCTCTTTCCAGTGTCTACGCAATATCTAACAAATAGAAATGTAATCTTTTTATTACAATAATTTAATTATTTTTTTCATTACTTTGTAGGTCGAAAATGTGTGTGTAAAGATACTAAATGAATGGTGCGTAGGAATAATAACCCCACAAAATAGGACTGTACCTCTAAGTTGCTTTTCTCCTTCTGAAGGAGTGTGTGGTGTAGTTACAGTGCCTGATAATGGTCCACCTCCAGTATGAAGCTGTTTGTGAAAATTAAGGATATATGTAATATAGTAACTAAAAAAGTATTCCTTTAATCATTATGTGTAAATTTATGATTTTATTAATTAAAACGCTAACTAATTTTGCATTTCAATTAATTTTTTTTATGTATAATGCGGTCCATCATAAGTGTCATATGCTATTTTTCGACGTAGGGAGAAAATGTACGATATGGAAATTTTTTTATAGCTTTTAATAACGAAGTTATGCAAAAAAACATCGTGTTATAGAATATGTTTATGCATATGATTTGGAAACTATAAATTAATACCTAGATCGCAAAAACCTGGAATCTAAACTGCAAGATTTTGAAAATATCGAGTATGTGTTATATGGAACTACAAAAAATCTTCTGAATTATTGAGGAATATTGAACGCACGACGCGTCAAATTTTGACGCGTCAAATTTTGGAAAACGGTAAAAAGAAGCACAAAATATTATAGATTTTTCATTACAGCTTTTATGCCTACAAAAGGACCAGAAGAAGTTCTCTCTCTTGGTGACAGTTCTTGATGACTTCAGGAACACTACGGATTTAAAATCTTCGCCATTTGGAGAGATGAAACTCTCAACCTTGATAGCAACGTATTGGGATTCAAGATCTTAGGTTAATAAGTTGAGAGTTCTTAAGTTTAATGGATCTCAATGATTTTGGAGTACCGGAGTTTGTCCGGAGTTTGTAAAAGTTTGTATTTTTTGGAGTTTTTGTTCTTTAATGATGTAGATCTGCTCAGAATATTTTAAATTCTTTGAATTAGCAAAATTTTTATCACAATTTATCTAGGTATTAGATTATTATAATCAAGGTATTCAGGTTTAAAGGCCCTGGTATTCTTGTAGTCATCAGAAGCGGTAATGAAAAGATCCTAATGTACTTTGTCCTTATTCGAATAGTTTTCCCAAACTTATTGGCGTGCCGTACGGCTAGGTTTTGGGATTAATGGTTTAAATTTTCTGTCTAAGTAAGTAAGTAAGTAAGTAAGTAAGTAAGTAAGTAAGTAAGTAAAATCTTTATTAGTTCACTTTGCATAAGAATTACAAAATACCCTTAGGGTGTAGAACTCGTCAATATGTAGTAAAAAATAGTAAAAAAGTTAAATATTTAAATATAAGAAGTAATATTAAATATAAAACAAGATGCACACCAATACTAACATTGCTGATAAGTAAATACGAACAAAATAACACAATTTATGCACTGATACATACATAATGACAATAAATCAATATATATTATCTTCAAAGAATTCCTTTAAAGTATAATATGCTTTGTCTAAAAGAATTTTATTTAATTTTACCCTAATATCTTTGCACGATAAATTTCTTATATCTAGAGGTAATTTATTATAAATTTTTAGTAATGAATATGGGACATTCCTTTGAATATAACTATATTTTACTATATTTTCAGTCACTAATGTATTTTTGTTTCTGGTCTCATATAAATGAGATAAGTTAAAATCTGCGAATAAGTTTATATTTTGCTTAACAAATATAATTACTTCATATATGTATAAGCTCACTAAGGTAAGTATTCTTTTTTCAATAAAAATTTGTTTACAGCTATCTGTCTGTTTCATGTTTAGAATATTTCTAATGCATCTCTTTTGTAGTACAAATAAATCGATAGCATCACTAGAGTTTCCCCAGAGGACAATTCCATATTTTATTTGAGATTGAACATATGCATGGTATGCTATAAATGCTGTAGGAATATTAATATTTTGAGCTATTACTTTTAGAGCATAACAGTATTTAGCGATCTTTTGACCAACATGGTCTACATGGGTTTTCCAGTTCAAACGTGAATCAATCTTTACCCCCAAAAAGGAGGTGCTATTCATAGATGTTATGATGTCATTGCCAGTAGTATGTATAATCTCATTATCCTCCTTTTTGTATGTAAAGTTGATTATTTGTGTTTTTTCTTTATTTAATTTTAAATTATTTTTATAGAAATAGTCTCCCAGGGAATCCAATGTGGCGGTCACCATTTGTTTTAGGTATTCCTTATTTTTATTACCGATTATTATAGATGTATCATCACCATACATAATAGTTTTTACATCAACTGTTGAGGGCAGGTCAATTGTGTATAAAATATACAACAAAGGACCCAATATCGACCCCTGAGGTACACCCCTTTCTATTAATACTACGTTTGATTTTATGAGAGCGCCAGTATCGTCCGTTTCTACAACACACTGCTTCCTATTCAGCAGGTAAGATTTTATCAATTCTGAGGCAACACCTCGAATGCCATACATTTGAATCTTTTTATTTAGAATGTCATGATCCACAGAATCAAACGCTTTGGATAAATCCAAGCATACAGCCATGGTACTGTTTTTTTCATTTAATAATCTTGTAATTTCACACAATGCCTGATATATAGCCCTAGTTGTTGTTTTATTTTTCCTAAACCCGTTTTGTGCATCTGTAAGCAGATCATGACATTCCAAAAAATGTAATATTCTGTTATAGATTATTTTTTCAAAAACTTTGCTTATATTTGACAGTAATGCAATAGGCCTATAGTTGCCTTAGACTTTTTTCACCTTTTTTATACACGGCCTTAACATGGGCAATTTTAAGATTTTCAGGAAAAGTTCCTGTTTTTAATGTTAAATTAATTAAGTATGTTAGTGGAATTGATATTTCAGCCGCTGTAAATTTAAGTAATTTAACTGGTATTTCATCTTCCCCTACAGAATTAGTGTTTTTTAAACTCATAATTACATTGTAGACCTCATTTGGGTCGGTCGGATGTAAAAATATGGTGTTATCGGAAAATTGATTGTCTTTTTCAACATTAATATGATTAATGTGTTTGACTTGATCGCCTTGATTTGCAAAGAAGTTATTTACATTGTTCAAAACTTTTATTTTATTTTTTTCAGCAATATCAATATTTTTTAATATCGTATCGTCGTTTTTAGTTTTTTTTTCCACTAAAAGTCTTCACCAAATTCCAAATGGCTTTTCCTTTGTTTTTTGTTGACTCAATATATGACATATGTGCCCATGTTTTTGCCGTGTATATGACTTTTTTGAGAATACTGCAATACTGTTTATATATTTCAGTAGATATTTCGCGATTCCTTTTTTGTACATACATATTTCTTTTATTTCTGCAAAATATCTTTATGCCTTGGGTGATCCAGTTTTTTGATTTTTTCATTTCTCTCAAAGTTTTTACCGGAAAAAGTATATTCATAATATTTTTAAATGTACTTACAAATCTGTTAAATTTGGGTCTTCCGCGCAATAAACATCAGCCCAATCATATTTTTGCAGTTCTTGTTTAAATTGTTGCATTTTAGTTTCTGAAAAAATTCTCTTTTTGTTTATTTTAGTTTTTTTTTGTTTCAGGTGCCTCAAGTTCCAGTAACTGGCCCTCGTGATCAGATAAAGCTGTTGTAATTACTTTATCTATATGAGCATTATCAAAGTTTATAAATATATTATCTATCAATGACTGAGAATTTTTTGTTATTCTAGTAGGATCAAATATAGTTTGCTTTAAATTGTACATAAGTAACAAATTCCTAAAATTTTGGGCATTTATGTTAGCATTAATATGTAGATCAATATTGAAATCTCCAAATAAGATAACTTTATATGTTCTAAAAGAATTATGTGCTAGATTTAGTATTTCCGCTAGTGTTTGAAAAAATATATCTAAATTACCCTTAGGGGGTCTATATATACACAAAATTAGCAATTTTAATTCCTGACAAACAACAGACGAACACTATACATTACATTCAAGACTTTTTTGTTTTAAATCGTATACCTCCTCATACAATGTCATTTCTTACAAATATACAGGAACCACCGTTCTTTACATTTTCTCTAGACCATACAGATGCTATATTATAACCATCCAGGTGCATGCAGAATATTTCTTCAGATGTATACCAATACTCTGTTATACATAAGATGGCTGGTTGATTTTCCAAACTTCTTGTAAACAAATCTAGTTCCAAGAACTTATTTTTTAAACACTGCATATTTTGATGAAATATTGTGTATGTAGACAGTAATTCGTTAGTTTTTGTATTAAAAAACCCGCCTCAAGAGGTTCATCATGCTAAATCTGTGTATACTCTGTTTACAACATATGAAAGTGTAGTCTATGAATTCTAATAGTGAGGGATACATTTGTGGAACAGGATTGAAGATGTTAGTAATTATTTTCAATTAAGGAACAAACAGCATGTTTTTGTAAGATATTGTTTGATAAATTATGCATCGTGATGACAGATGAAGTCATACATACCTCTAAATTGTTTGTAATTACATAGACACTCCTTAATCTGTGTATATTCGAGTATATTCGAGAATAATGATGTGCTTATGTCGTGCGAAATTTTGCCTTAAATAATAATACATTGTGTGTTTATTTTTTATATTTAACCATTAAGTACCTTGAGTACCTTGAGAATTATTTATTTCATATAAGCAGGCAAAACTAGAATCTTTTCTAATTCCTGGCTTTTAAATTCTTAACAGTCTAAACAAAAATAATTTATTTAACACCTTATTATTAACTGTCCTATTTTACTTTATTAGAATCGTATTAAACTAATTAAAATAAATTAAAAATGAAGTCAAACACTGCTCTTCGAATCAGAAGCAGATTGCAAGAAACAACCAACTACTCTATGAACTACCTGCCCCAACTAGCGTTGGATTATATCTAACAGGTGGTTACTAATTAATAATACTGGTTTTAAAGCTTTCATGGCTCGTGCTGATATTTAAAATACGATTTTCAACTTGTTATGATGTGACCGATGTATCTGGTCGCCGCCATTTATAGACAATGCCTTTCCTTAGTCTGAGTTAGAAATCTTTGATATGTCCTTGTTGGTTTAAAGCCGTCACAGGTATAATCTTTCCTCGCGCAATGATATCCTCCCCTAAGACACTCCATAGTGGCCGCATGGTTCCAAACGTTTCGTCCTTGCCGCCATCTTCAGTGATAACTGTGCAAATGCTTGCCTGAGAGCGATTTCGACATCAACACGCGGCGGAAGGTTCCTCTTGCGTTGCCGATGACGTCAGTACGGGTGCGCGCGTCTCTAGTTCTGCGAGTGGGGATAGAAAGTGAGAAAGAAATCGAGAGCGAAAGTTATGGGGTGAAAAGTAGCAAAATACAATTGTCGTGTTCTTTCTATATTCAATCCAGTTAGAGCTCATCATGAAAAAAATCTGAAGGGAAAATTACTAAGTCCATCGCCAGGACTGCACCCCGGAATGTAAAGAATTTGTCATGTACATACATTTGTGAACAATCAAAAAGAATAACCGAAAACAAAAGCTTCATATCAAATTTGAATGAAATAGCGTTGGCTGATCTTTTAAAAATAAAAACAAACTTTTTAATTTTTGACGTAGAATCTGCCACTAAAGCTTGATGAAGCATATTGGTTAAATCTTATGTTCTTAGGAATTTTTTTCTATTTCAGCAAAAATCTTTCGTAGCTTCTTAAATTGCCTCTGATCCTGTATATTTAATTTTCTACATTAGGTCTTTTATCATTCATGAATTTTTATCACATCTGTTTCAAAAGTAATTTTTTAATTTTAAGCAGTATTAAGTATACCTAAATGAATATTTACGCGCATAAATTTTTTCCGTGTTTAAAAAACTAGTTTTCCATAATATATGTATGTGCGAACATCTCAAGTTTTCACCTTAGGCTTAGCCATCGTGATTTCATTTTATTTTTAACATTTAACATGAAAGTTACAGCAATTATTGCCTTTGGCTTGTTAGTGATTTTAACCTGTTCGTATGGTAAGATCTATTTTTTGTATAAGAATGTCGAAACTATTTAATACATTTAACAAATTTATAATTATAATAAGATAAATATTACTCATCTGAATATATAGGTAATTGATAGAACTAATGCAGATTTTTGGGGCCAAAATTAGACGACTTAATTTTATTTATTTTAGTTTATTTTTATTTTTATTTTACTCCTAAAATTAATATAAAATTACAATGAATAAAAAAGTTCAATACACAAAAATAATGTAAAATAAAAGTCAAAGTCAATAATAATAACCAACAGAATAGTCAAACAATGAAGAAATATATATTAAAATTAAAAGAAATAAGAATACACACAATACACTTATTTAAAACGCCTTTATGTCTCTTACATTACAAAAAGTAACATCAAAACCTCCATATTGTTATAATTACTCAACATTTGATATAAAGGCGACTTTAATAATAAATTGGTACGGGCAAAGGGGAGCATAAATAGAGTATTGTTCCTAGAATTCACTCTGACAGCTGCTTATTAATGGACTCGCACTTAATTTAGAAGTGAATAATTTTGAAATTAAATAAAAATATTCTACTGTGCATGGTACGTCCTGTATAATCCAAGCATATTGAGTATCAGTTTAAACTTGGAAATGAGCATTACCATGAGTTACTTTAATTGCCCAAATTTCATTGTTGTCATGGTAACATCTTATAAGTTATAATTGAATTTGTTTTTCAAACTTCTTTCTTTGATGAAGGAGAATAACTCCACAACGAAGCCCTATAGGAAACATTTTTTTATGATATGCTACAACTATTTTGAGCTCCCCTGTACACCTCCCCTTCATTTTTCACATAACCTTTCCGGACACCCTGTATAAGCAAGAAAATATTTTCTCCTTTCAATAAAATTATTTATTTATTTAAATGCATTAAATTTCTACCCAGAAATATAATTTCTTACTTTAAAAATAGGCAGCATTTAAAATAAATATTTGAGACTTACGGTTAAACGAATTCTGTTCTTAATTTTATGATCTACATAGATTTTATAGAAACATGTTTTGTATTGTATATCAATGTTTAATACAAAATTGAATAGTTTTGGTCAAATGATTGTATATACTTATTTTACGAATATATTTGGATATAAATATTTCTCAGTAATAAAAAATATTTTGTTTCAAACTTACAACATCTAGTACAACAGCTAGGATCATTCGTAAGTTTAACCATTGTATAAGTAAATATTTACTTATACAATGGTTTAACCAACCAGACATAGGTCGGTTTGGGACTTATTGATGGTCCTCACCATTATGTTGTTAGAAGTTAGTTACGGCAAATAATTGATTCATTTGATACAAATACTTTTTTTTCAGTGTAGGCGTTAAAAAAGTAAAATATCTATCTACCTAAGTAAATTCTCAAATAGATTTACTGATTCTCATAAGTAGAAGACTATTTTCATTAATATAGACAATAATATAAAATATGGATGCACTTGCTTATAGCCGAAAATTAGAACCTTTTATTTTGAATTTTGATAAAATTTTTAATACGGTGGATGTAAGGTTTTCCTTACTAAGATCCACTAAAAGCAACAATGCTTTACTTTACTAATAATATTTAATTTACTTTAAATTTATCTCACTATCTGTTTTGTTATTATTATACTATATAATATATTTTATAAAACACAGTTGAATGCATGGGAGAATATGGTGATTTACCTAACAACTTAGAAGACTACACATTTAATCCAGAAATTGGAAACTGTTACCAGATATACGACCATTATGAAAATGTGGCATCTTTAACTTGTCAGAAGCCTTTAAATCCTGACAGATATTCCTGTATTGATTTAATAATAGGAGAAAAACGTTGTTTAGGATTAAAAACGCCAACGAATGAAACGATTCAATTACTTTGTGATAATTCGACGGAAGACCTTGTTTCTCAACACTCGTCTGCCGATTTAAATACTTGTTTTAATATTTCACGTTCTGCCGACAGCTATAAGGAAGTGTGTCAGCAAAAATTTGATGACTACAGTGTGGGTATAACAACACCAGATAATTTCACAATATTATTTTATTCAGAATTTTGCTCGGCCTCAATAACTAAAGAAGATAGAGAAATGTATGATGATTTCGTAAACACATATACATTTGACCCAGAAACGAGAATCTGTTATAAAATATACAACGAATATCAGAACTTAAGTCCTTACACATGTTTAAGAGATGATGTGTTCATTTCTTGTGTGGAAGACCTTTCTCATGGCAAACATTGTGAAGGGATCGTCACTCAGAATCATGAAACAATCGTCTTAGATTGTATGGATAGTAGGGAAACTTTACAAAATCGGAGTTGTTTTGAAATATATACTGATGGCAATGATCTCCACGTAGCATGTCTAGAAAGAGTGGAAGAGCGATGCATTGGGATAAGAACTCCAAGTAATTTAACAGTGCTACTGGACTGTTATTCCTGTAGTGGGCCAGGTTTGTAAATATTCATGTAACATGTTTTATTAAATACTTTTAAGTCTGAAACTTTATTTCAATGGGGTATTTGCTAACTTTTCAGATATTACCACAGAACGAAATAATGTGAAAAAATATTGTCCTGTATTATTGTTTTAATTGGTGTGAAATGATTCACTATTCACTAATTTTTTTATTTATACATATGCATATCCTTTTTAATCAATTTTAATTATTTGTTGTTAGGTGAAGCTGAAGAGGAAGATTTAACAAAATATGTGCAGTTTATTACAACCTACTTATCTAACGAATATTCAGGAAAAAATTCTTATTTAGATAAAACCGAATTTAAGATATTTGAAGAAAATATTCCTTGGGAAATTCCATCATACTTATTACAAAAACCTACAGTCTACGGTTATTGGTTACCAAATACTACTTGTTACGGTGTCACCTTGCCCAGCAACGAAACTGTTATTTTGGAGTGTATGCGGAGCGACAAACCCAGTCACGTTAAACATGGCTGTTTTGAAGTGACTAACTTGCAATTAAAAATAAAACAAGAACAAATTGTTTGCATTAAAGTTATCAATCAGGTATGCGTTGGAATCACAACTCCCATGAACTGGTCTGTAGTGTTCGATTGTTATTCTGAAGATAATGAGGGTAAGTACTTTAGAGTTTGAACTAGTAGATAAAAAATATCGAAGAAAAATTCTTCCACGTGTATTACATTAAGGATATTTGTTAGAGACTTCAAATGTGCGGCATGTTTTAGGAGTCGATATAACGCAGTTGGTTCGAATAAATTATATTACCGATAACTCCACACCATATATTCACATAATATTGCTGCTGGGAACTTGAATTCTGTACTGAGGATTAGCATTATTCTAGTAGGGAGTGTTACGAAAATTCAGTACTTATTATTTCTTCTCTTGTAAAGCAGCATTCGTCTTTGAAAAATATCTTGTTTATATCATTTGGATCTTGTGGTGCTTGCTGCCGAAACCAATGACAAAATTTTACACGCGACTGAAAATCATTTTCAGCCAAAGCCTACACAAGGTTTCTGTAAAATATCGCAAGTACTAGGGTTCGGGTTTTCCTCTACAAGACGCAGAATGTCTTCCTCCCTATCTAGGACACGTTGCGATCTTATTCACGAACTTTCATACGTTGGGTTTTCTCTACCGGTGTCCCTCTGTCTTTGAACAACATTTTGCATTATTTTGGAATTTAGTTGAAGTCTCTGAGGGTAATGAAGTGCATACAAACAAGTCATAATTAAATTATATTCGACCACCCGTATATTAATACCGTATCCGCTATTAAACAGGGCACTTTTAAATAAAACATAAATTAATCGACGACAGCAAGAAAAGGAAGTCTGTAGCTTCGCCGTGCAAATAACCACGCTGAACTGGACCTAGTTCCTGCATTGTAAACGGTTGATTAAGATGAACGACGCAAGGTCGGCTTAAGTTTCGCTTAAAAATTCTTGATTAATTTTCTGAAACACATGACACTTTACATTAGAGGTTGCTTAATGAAAATTCTTTATTTTTATTAATTAATTATTTATCATTTACGCTTTTGTTACTTTTATTCTAGACATTTTCAAACAATTTTTTTTAAGAAATACATCTTTATTTTTGTCTCATATTCCATTTCTACAGGGGTCATTTTATTTGTTTATAGATATTTCTTTATATCACATATTAGTTGCTTTATTATATACAAATATCCTTGAATAAGTTCACTGTCCAAATATAATTTTATAAATTTTAGATGTTGATTGGCGCACAAACTTCAAAATCTATAAATTGTACCCAGAAATAGGAAACTGTTACGAAGTATATGACCAACATGACCATGTGACACCTTTTATATGCCAGAGACCTGCAAATCCTGAAAAACATTCCTGTATAGATGTAATAACAAAAGAACCATATTGTCTGGGGTTAAAAACGCCAACAAATGAAACAGTTCAATTACTATGTGCAAATTCAGAGGAAGAATTTCCTTCTTATCTCAATTACGAAAAACTAAATACTTGCTTTAATGTTTCACGGCCTGATAAAAGCTACAAGACAGTATGTCAACAGAAATTTGATAAATATGGTATAGGTATAACAACACCAGATAATTTCACCATATTATTTGATTCATATTTTTGTCCGACTTCAATGACTGACATAGACAGGGAAATATACAGTAACTTCATAGATACATTTTCATTTGATCCAGAAACAAAAACGTGCTACAAAATATATGAAGAACATGAAAACATAAGCCCTTTCACGTGTTTAAGCGAGGAGGTGTATAGTTCTTGTGTATATAAACTTCCTCATGTTAAAAATTGTGAAGGAATAGTCACTCAGAACAATGAAACTGTGGTGCTACATTGTAGGGATGACAGAGAAACTGTACAAAATCGCAGTTGTTTCGAAATATATACTGAAAACAACAAACTTCACATAGCATGTCAGAAACGAGTGGAAGAACGCTGCATTGGAATCACAACTCCAAGCAACTTAACGGTACTGTTGGATTGTTATTTCTGCATCAAGCCAGGTTTGTGGATTTTATATTATTATAAGTAAATTAAATATTTCACATGTTGAGTTATGGGGTTGGTTATCCTCGATGTATAAGATCCATGTTCCTATAGAGCTTCATGATTCTGCAATTCGATGTTTTTCCAATCACTAACTACTCAAGTCAGTTTGAAATCTCGAAAACCGCTTTCTGGGGGAGTGTCTTGATGTTAGGATCAAAACACGAACCTATCCGTGAATTCTAACATTAGTAATTTTTTTTTTTGTAACGCTGTGTTATTGGTGTTTTAGATATTCAGTATATGCCTCAAGATCTGGAACAGCGACGAAGATACTGGAAGTTCGTTACATCTTACCTTACCAATGAGACTTTGGGCAAAAATTCTTACATAGGCAAACTGAAATTTAAAGCATCTCAAAAAAGTGACGCAAATTTTATCGAATACTCCAAAGAGATACCTATGGTTTATAGTTACTGGTTACCAAATAGCGATTGTTATGGAATTACGTTAGATAGTAATGAAACTATTATTTTGGAATGCATTTCTAAGGAGAGACTGAAACATGTGAAATCTGGATGTTTTCCAGTAATTAATCCAAAAGTGGAACAAGAACAAATTGTTTGCTCTAAGGTTCTGAATGCCGCCTGTGTTGGAATTACCTCTCACATGAATTGGACTATAGCACTAGCTTGCTACTCTGAACATTACAAAAGTAAGTACGAGTCAATTTTAAACATCTAAATCCTGTTGAGATAAAATTTATAAGGTCATACATCCTTTTTTGTCATAGCCTTTAAAAAGTGGAGGAATTAAATGAAAACAATAATTTAGTACTACTTTTTATTTTATTACCGCAAATGTTCAAAGTGGCCTCCATTAATCATTGAACAATACCCAATTCTGTGTTCAAAGTTATCAATTACATTTTGAATTGGTGTTATGTTTCGAACTTTTTCTCTGATACGATTTTTCAATCCTTCGATAGTGTCTAGTCTATTCACATATACTTTTTCCGTCCATCGATTTGGGAAAACTTCATTAAGGTATTTTCTTACATCGAGGCGAAAATGTGGAGTGGAAGTATCTTGTTGGAGCCAAACATCACCAGCAGGCATATCCTGCTTATTAGGGTTAGGGAAAATTAATTCCAGGGCTGGAATCAGCCGTTGTGTATGTTTTTTCTTGCATCCAATGCTGATTTTCTGGGCTCCAAAACCTAGTTCACGATTCCGTTTAAGCAAAAAGTTGCTTCGTCAGTGAAAATTGTGTGAATTTTTAAGTTGGGTTGTTTTTCAAATAAATTTCTATTTTCCTCGCAAAACTATAATCTTCTGTCTGTATCGTCTGCCTATAGTTCTTATAAGAGGTTATCTTTGTAAGGATGCCACATTTGAAACTTCAGAGTTCTGTGAACTGAGAACTTCGATAAGTTGAAGTTGGCTGAGATAGATCTAATGGATGAGTGAGGATTTTCAGTAACGGCGAGCATCACATTTTGACAATCATTTTCGCTTACCTTTCTTCACCTTCCTGATCCAGGTAAATCTTTTATACTTCCGGTTTCTTCAAACTTTTTGGATAATTTACTTATTGTAGCTCGACTAATTCTCTGATCTGGATACTTATGGTGAAATAAGTCACATAGCTCCTGTTGGCTACGGATTTTATCTCCGCTTCCAATCATAATTAAAATATCAGTTCTCTGTTTTTCGTTTAAATGGCCAACCAATGAATTGGAACTAAAACGATTCACGTTATACCTAAGGTCCTCTGGTGAATTATATGTATTTATCGATGTTTTTTTTGACAAAAAAAGGCTTTAAAGTGAGAAGAAAAAAGAGTAGGTACATTTGTTAATGAACAAAAGAGACTATGATTGTTTGAAATAGTCGTCAGTTCGACATAAAAGACAATTTTTTACATTTTTTATTTTTTTTGACAACTATGACAAAAAAGTAAATATAACGTTATATCGTTGAACCCGTCTTTAAAATGGCTTCAAAACATGTCGGTAATGTTATAGGGCTGTCAAACATGGCTAAAAAAAAAAATAGAAAATGTTGCAGAAAAGCGACAATTTCTATTTACTAATTGACTTACTTCAGCAATTTTTTTTTTATTTCATCTGGAAAAAAATATGAATTTTCCTTCATTTTGGGATACACTATATGAGAATGTGGATCTCGTACATTAGGAATCCGAAACTATATTATTGTGACTGCCAAAATCCAATATCTTCGAAACCTCACGACATTGGATGTGCGGGGATGTATAACCACGAATATCGGAGGTGTTCAATCTATAGCCCTGCTGTAACCTCGTAGTTCCTTTACTATGGGCATGCAGACCCATTATCTATAGACCCATTGTGAGGGATTGTGTTACAAAGTCACTTGAGGTTTTTTATCTTTTTATCTACACCGAAATTATAAAACTTGACTTGACTATACAATCGGTGATTTTGCGACCAAACCAATTTAAATAACATATTACGGAGTTATCTGGTTAAGGAATTACAGGTTGTGAGACTGAGAAATGAGGTCATAAATTCCAGTATTTTTTCATTCACTCACTCCTCAAGTCGTTTTGAAATTTCGAAGACTGCTTTGTGAAGGAATGTCTTGGTCATCCGAGAATTCTGACTTTAGATTCGGACTCATCGGGTCAAAATACTATAGGATACACTGATCTGGTCCTAGGCTCAGTCGCTGAATCATTTTTCACAAAAATTTCACACAACAATTACCAAATTGTACTTTTACAGAAAATCAAATCGTTTCAAATTATTTTTTATTATAAAAATATGATTTTTTTAACTTCAACTATTCTCATCTCGGTTTATTTCCAAGCATGTTTATAGGACTTGTTTTCTCGATAATTTGGACCTAGAATTAACTAAGTTCGCTAAAATAAATGTATTATTATTGTTACGTGTAAAACTATGCTCTAAAACTTTGTAGTTAATCTTCTTATGATAAATAACCTATTGTTTCAGATGCACCAGAAATAGTAAAAGAATCCTATATTAAAAGTTATGTGGGTAATTACTTTATAAGTTTAAAAGTGGGCGACTGTTATGAAATCTATCCCTCTCAAGAAATAGACGCTTATACCTGCACGAAAAGTGCAAATCCCAAATATTATTCCTGCGTTCACTGGCTACCTGGTGAACGACGATGCTTGGGCCTAAAAACTCCCATCAATGAAACAATTGAATTTGTCTGTGAGGATTCTTCCGATAAAGAAGATTCTTTTATTACTGATAGACTTTCTACACGCAAAAACTGTTTTAATCTTTACAAAGACAATAACCACACAGAAGAAGTTTGCTTGAGGAAATTTGACAACTTCAGCATAGGATTAACGACTCGCAGCAATTATTCTATACTATATGATTCGTACTTTTGTCGTGCTTTTAAAACTCCACAAGATATCCAAGAATACAAAGAATTTATTAACGACTTTGTTTTTGACCCTAGTATTCGAAGTTGTTATAAAGTGTATACCCCTGATCAAGATATCAGTCCATATACGTGTTCAAGCAACGAGATACAAGACTCTTGCATCCATCTATTAGAAAACAGAAGCAGTATGGGAATAACCACACAAAATAATGAAACTATCATTTTGGAACATTTGAATGGCACCAAGGCCGTGAATGAGACAGGGTGTTTTAAAATATACACCCCCGACAACAGAATACATATTTCCTGTCAAAAGCAAGTGGAGGAACGATGTATTGGAATAATTACGCCTAGTAATTTAACCGTACTGCTGGAATGCCATACTTGCATATCAACTAAAGGTATTTATATCGTTTTTTACTGTTTGCAAATATAAACCCTAGGACGCACTGAGTAAGTAACTTGGAAAAGAGTATTTAAAATTGTTATTACGTGGAAGATAAATCCGCAAAAAGTTCATAGCAAAATAATATGGCTACTTTAAACTAACCTGTCACAAATTCATACAAAGGCTGTTGTTGCAAATTCGTTTTCTGTTGTAGTTTCTGCTTTGCCGCGTCGTTAATTTTATCGTATACAGTTAATTTAAAAATGCAACAAAAGGCAACACTGATAAATATTCACAAACAACCAGGTCGGGGGTTGCCTAGTGCAGGCGTAAACAAGAATTTAATTATAGTCTAAAAAAGAGTTATAATAAAGGGTGTTTCAGAAATATTTTCTTATTTTATCCTTTATAAATAAATATTCAGAATTTAACACATTTAATACCAAAAAAAGTTTAAATATTAGATTTTTATTTGGTAAGTGAGCGCCGTTTACGTTTTCATATTCATTTTATCGCGAAGTAAAATTCGCAATAACTGGTCAAAGCATGGTACAAGGAATAGCGTTGATTTCTTCTGTAATTTTCTGTTTCAATTCCCTCAAATCCTGCGACACTGGGATGTCTACTTTACTTTTAAGGTAGCCCTAAAAGAAAATCTGCAGGGGTCAGATCGGGACTTCTCGCTGGCCAGTTAACTGATGAAGAGCATCCAACGACTCAATCCTAACATGAGAATGGCACCGTCTTACTGGAAAAAAGTGTAACTGTTAAAAACGTCCTGGTCATATGGCATTAGCGCTCAGACGTAACTGTTTGAGCTTGACCGCGATTATCTTAAAAAAAATAGGGGCCAATGATTTTTTGGTTTGATATGCCAGCCTAAACGGGCATTCTCATTCTTGCTATAATGATTTCTGTACAGGCGACGCACAACAACATAAGAACCATAGTTTTTATAAAAAGCACTTTACGACCACGTAAATCGTTCTATGACAACTAAAATTCAACAATGTTACAAAGCATTTGCCACCTGAGGAATTTCTCTGGAACGTGCCTATTGTGCCAGCGGACGGATCCAAAAACGAAATTAAAGTTACATCATGTATATAAAAAATATATACAGTGTGCCTCACGATTCTGTCCCGAAGACGGAAAAACTTGCCAGAACATGCCTTTATGTATTAATTTTACAATGTGAAAAATATCATTTTCTTAGTTTTATACAGGGTGTCTCATAATTAGCTGCCAACCCTGAACAGGCCGATTCTACGATCAAAACTAAGTAAAAAAGTTCATATGAACATGGGTCCGGAAATGCTTCCTAAGGGGACAGGGACCCATTGAAGAGGGAGGAATGGAAATCATTTTTTTGCAATATCTCTCAATCGCGTTGTGATAAATGAATGAAATTTGGTATACACAGCTAAATTTTGATGAGCAATTTGATGGACTAATCCATTTATTTCCACAAGGTCCATTGGGGTGGGTACGGGGGGGCCCTTGGTACTTTGCGTGTGTAACTTTTTCATCTTTGACTTTTTAACATATTGGACAGCAAATTCCGTTTTTCCGAACTGTTTTACGTTAAAAGGGTACTCTTGTTTCAAATCGTTATCTTTAACGGTTTCTGAGAAAATCGCTCTTGAATTAATCCCACTTTGGTCAATTTCATAGTAATTGAAACAAAAAAAAATTTTTGTTTAAATTTAATCTAATTTTAATAAAAAAATAATAAAAAATTAAATTAAATAAAAATTAATCCTTTAAATGGAAAAGAGAGGAAAGGAAAATTATTATTATGATTTTTTGTTTAAATTACTATAATTCTTTTTGTCATTTTTACGCTTTAATTTTACAGAAACTTTAACGCCCTGTTCTCGATAAGGAGGCATTTGCGACCCTATGTTTATTAAGACTTTTCGTCGTAATTTTTCAGGTATTACTTACCCTAGAAGTCTGTCAGCGGTTTTTTGAATCACCCTGTAGAAGTATCCTAGAGTTATTCCCTCTTTTAAAATCCTGCTTGATATTACGTATATTGATAGAAATGGCATTGTTTTGTTGATTTTTTTCAGTGCAACTTTATGTCCTCAACAAGTTTTTGTAGGTGCACTATCTAATTTGCAAGAGATTTCAATAAAAATCCATTTTTTTGTTATTATTATTGTATTATTGTTTTTGTTTACTTCTATATATATATATATATATATATATATATTTTAAATTTGGTAGTGATGGACCTAGTTTATATTAAAGTAGATCATTTAAAAAAATTACTTTTACTTACTGTTTATAAAAATCTTCTGCCGATTACACAACTTTTTCGTGTTCCTGTTTCCGATGTAGCAAAGCTATTACTGTTAATTTGCAACGCCCTATATAATAAATTACTAAATGTAGTCACTGATTTATATACAAAATTCCTACAATTTTCCTTTTACACCACTCGATTCAGCTTAATTTAAGTCTTTGGCATATGGCCAAAAATTCAAATACTATAGTAACGTCCACAATTGGCGGATTATGATGTCAGCCTTTTAAAAACCTTTTTACGTTTTAGTATGTTCCCTTACCATAATTAAAATAACATAAACTACAAAAGAAAAACGCAACTGTACATAAATGTCGGTAAATACAAACCTGTCAGACCATAGAATACAGAAAGTGCCAGACTATTACATGAAAATCTAACCGCTAATTCTCCCGCGGTAGTCTATTCCGCATCATGACGTCAGAGAGAGTTTTTCACGTTCAGACCGAATATTGACACTTCTTTTGGGTATTTTCCATATAACAAATTTTTTGTAAAACTGCATATGCGGTTATAACGCTATGTTCAACCATTTTATGACGCTTAAACAAAATTTATTTTTTTGTGAACGTCCCTTTTATCAATTATTATAAAATTTGTAAATAAATAAGTTTGCCCTCCATCTTCGGGATACAAACGTGAGACGTATTAAGTCTTTTATTAAACAGCATTAACATAACTTCGCAAAAAAATTAATTGCAACACTTTTCAGAGGAAAAAAAGTCATTCTTGTTTAATATGTTGGTGAAACAGAATATAAATAATTACAGTTATTTTACAGGAGGAGCAGGTCTTTCTACATATTCTGATGAGGACAGAAAAAGCTATCGCCAATATATTGAGTATTCACTATATATGTTGACTCAAAATAATTACGCCTTAGAAGATGAGGAGTACCTACGTGCTTACACACCAGAACAAGATATACTTATGTTAGATTGCCATGGTCAAATAAGTGTTTACGACAATCATATTTTGCATGGTCACAACAGATGTCGTGGAATAACTCTGGACACTTTAGAAACCATCGTTTTAGGGTGTCCATATAGTAGACCCGAAAAAGCTGGTTGTTTCGATGTTTTCAGCCCAGTTTATAATGAAGATAATGAAATAATTAGTTCAGAAGTGAAGGTAAATACTGAGAACTGACTAAATTATTAAAGACCGCACATAAATGTTTATTTTAAATTTCCAGGAATTGTTTCATAACTAATATGTTTTGAGTGTAATTTAATAAAAATTAGAGATAACTAAAATTTTGAAAAAAATAAAATGTTTGTGCCTTCTATTCGAAAATACATACACAAGCTACATATCTATTACTTTATAGGTAGGAAATGTTTGTGTGAAGATACTAAATGAATGGTGCGTAGGAATAACAACCCCTCGAAATAGGACTGTAACTTTGAGTTGTTTTTTGACTCCAGGACCATGTAGTGTAGTTTCAGTGCCTGAAAATGGTCCACCTCTAGTGTGACAATCTTTGTGGCATATATGTAGCAACTAAAAAAGTTCTCTTCTAATCATCTACGTTATATGTAAGGATTTGTTCACGGATTAACCAATATAAATGTGAAAACATCCAATTTATGAATTTATTAAATAAAACACTCAATTTGCATTTCAATGGATTTTTTTTGCCGTAAGTATCATATGGAATTTTCTCCATTATTTTGCGACGTAGAAAAACAAATAGGATAAGGGAAATGTTTTATATCTTCTGATAACTAAGTTATGAAATACATTATATGGAAAGTTAATTCTGTTCACGATTTGAGTTTGTATCCTTCACATCTTTGATAGCATATTTTTTTGAATGCTATAAACTGTCAAATTTATTATCATGCAGATGTAACTAATATTGAATAACCCTATTTGTAATTTTCATATACGAATTCGTACTGAATACAAAAAAGTACATGTTGTGCCCAATTTCAAATTATTTCACTTTTTAGATTTTAAATTACTTTTTAAAGTTTAACACCCTGTATCTTTTTAACGAAGCGTCCTAAATAAAAACTTTATAGGACTCCCATTAAAATTCACTACAGAATACGAGGTTTGTCACCAATTGTGAATCACACTGTATAGCACCAATAATACAGAAAAAATCTACTAGGGCTTTTTTAGGCTTATTTTTCAAATGGCTTTCAAGTTTCTAGATAATAGGATGCCACTGAAGTTCACAGTGCTGTGGAAATAGTTCATTAAAACAATTACTTATAACAAAATGCATACCATTTATTTTAAAATTTACATATATACAATAACTAATTTAATATTTAATGGTGCAGACCATGCTGCTTATCTTCGTATTGATGAGCTGAAAAAAAAAATAATAAAATAAATACAGATCTGTATATAAATTAATGAAATACGTACGTTAAATAAAATATCATATAACGAATTTCATCAATTCATAAGCTCAATGGCTTCATTACATCTTTTGTTGTCTTTTTGTTTTAAAGTTCATAAAATTTGTATTATAGTCCACTCTTCATCAGATTTTTTATTTATTAATGTCACAATTATTCCTTAAACTGTTTGAAATACGAAAATCTTATTTGCCTCAATATGTTATTGGAATATATTCTTCCCAAAAAAAACATTATACAGGGTGTGCGTTAAACATCCGCTGCCAATATCTCCGAAGTGAAGAAATTTATTTTAGTTCCGGAAATTGGGGTTGTTAGGTCCCTCGAATAGCTTCAAATTGTAGTTAGAATTGTTAGTTCAAATCTTTCTGTATAGATGGCGTGGCGATCCTAAAAAATTTTTTGATTCCTGGAACGTGGAATAGCTTTATTCACATTATATACTAACTAATAAACATTAACTTAAAAAAAAACGAATGATCACCTACAGAAAAAAAAATTGTACAGTGGTAAATTTTATAAGGTGCAGAGATGAACCGTATTTTATCAAATGTTATTAAAAAATGCAGTCATAGGTGGCTCATGTCATTTGTTTAAAATAAAACAATGACAGATGACACATATTAGTTTTCCAATCGTTACAGTTTTATCAGTTTAAGTCTTTCAATTTAACTGTACTAGTTATACGATTTACCATTGTACAATTTCTTTTCTGTAGTTGATCATTTGTTTTTTATAATTTATTGTTTGTTACTTAGTATGTGGTGTGAATAGTCATTATAACAATATTTTAAAAGAATATTTTGTCTTGGTGTGATTTAGATAAAATAATAGTTTTTTCTGTTATATCATACATTGCATATTCATGTCGACATATTTAGAAAGCAAGTAAATATAAGGAAAAACTTTATATTACAAAATTTACTCAAAATTTAACAATCTTTCAGATGAAATGCATTTCCACGTTCCAGGGATCAAAAAATTTTTTAGTATTGCCACGCCATCTATACAGAAAGATTTGAACTAACAGTTCTAACTACAATTTGAAGCTATTCGAGGGAACTAACAACCCCAATTTCCAGAACTAAAATAAATGTCTTCATTTCGGAGATATTGGCAGCGGGAGTAATAAATGGCACACCCTGTATATAGAAAAGAAATTTTTATCTTCGTAGTTACAAGTAATAGAAACTATTATTAATATTATAATAACCAATTAGATGAATTTGTAAAACTTAAACTTAGAAGTATTAAAGTTATGTTAAAGTGAATTTTGTATGGAAAGTTGATTCTGTTTACGATTCTAATGATTTTTGTGAAAATTACAAACAGCCAAGTTTTATTATTACGCAGATGTAACTAATATTGAATTTGTATTATTCATGTACAAGTTCTTATGAATATAAACTACTACAAACTACCCCATCCCTTCTCAATCTATAAACTCATTAAGTTAGAGCTATTTTTAAATAATGTAAAAGAATCAAATCACCTCTGAGATTAAACATTTTTTTAAGAAAGTGTCATAAACTTGGTTTTATAAGCAATAATAAATTGAGTGTTGTAAACTCGGCCTTATCACAGAAAGGCACAAAAAATTAAAAATATATTCGCAAATGAAACTAGAAGAGTTTAAAGTTTTGATGATGCTCATGGGAAAACTGTTGCTGATGACGTTTCAGGAATTCTGAAAGAGAATATTTTTGGCGTAAAATTGACTGCATTTAGTGCAACTTGACCATGCATTCAGTTTTTTAATTTGAATTTTTTATGTGCTTTGTATTTATTCATTTCTAAACGAACGCTACAAAAAAAAATTACCTCATTTTCCGATACCAAAGTGCCAAGTCCATCGTTGTGTGTAATAGCTAGTAACGGGTTTAGATGTTACTCTTATTACTCCTCCTCCATGTTGCGAACTGCTAAAGGCTTCTTTGAACCAGGATCTTATCTCGGTCACGAACGAAGCTGATCCGGATGATTTTATAATTACTTTCAGACTCAGAGATCCGTTGCTCGCCGAAGAGACCGCACTCGAGACAGCTTTGTAAATTTGTCCTAATACAGGCACGCTGGTTAGTACAACGTTCAAGTCGAATCCGGAAGCGATCAATCTTGTTATGGTCAAAACATTAACACTGCGGAATATTTCCACGAAGATGTTGAAGTTTCCACTTGCAGACACTTTGATCGATAGTCCGGGAATGATTTGTTGAAGTATATGTAGTCCAGCTCGGGAATTGAGGAGACGTAGTAAGTACAAGAGGATGGAGAGAATCGATTCCACCGCTTTGACTATCACTGTCAAACGTAATAAGATAGTTATGACTAACAGAAGTACACCACCCACAGCGCCTTTAAGGAGAATAGTAATAATGCCCGATATATCAATTCCTCCAATGACTAACTTTCCTTTTTGTAGATTTTGAACGAATGTAATGAAAGCTTTTACGCTGGTAGATGAGTGACGCGATTCTTGAATTCGGATTACTTCTAGCAAACCCTTTATATAAATTGAGAGGTCCACGCTAGATCTTTCCTCGACGGCGTATTCGATTAAGGTTGCTATCAAAACATCAATTTTTATGCTGTTGTTTCTCAGGGAAATGATTTGATAAATTATTTTCCATACGCCAGTCACCCCTGTTGATACGTCTCCTCCCAATTTTACAATTACTTGTATTAGCACCTCGACTGAATTGAGAATACCCGCGACAATAGATAAATCAACACGAACTACAATCGCCAAGAGAAGATTAATAAGAATTTCCAGTCCATTAGTTGCTCTCAGTAAAAGCGCGATGTCCAGTTGAACCCCAGCTTTAATCAAAGCAGTTAATCCGCCGGTAATTTTTGAGACGAACAGTGCTAAGCCCTCGAAAACATTCGCCAGCCATATGAGGTCACCATGCAATGAAATTAAACCGTGTCCGAAAAGTTTTAGAATACCCTTAAGAGACCCACGTAAAGAAGTGATAATAGAGGTCGTTATCTTCACGAGAATGGTTATCGAAACTTTATCGTTTCCTTGGATTTCTGTTGCGATTCTGCTTGACAATTTAATCAAAAGTTGAGCAATAACTTCTACAATAACAGAGGAAGCTGAAGAGACCTTAAACGTCGTACCAACTTTCTGATCGATGAATACCTGGAGTGACGTTAAGCTTCTGAAGAAGACCTCGAACGATTCCTTGGAACTTATCCAAAGCTTGGAACATTGACCTGCTGCAATATAGACCCCTACACCAGTCTGGATATTTATTATTACAACAGCACCGGAAGTTCCATTGAACAGCCCCACGAGGTTAGCATTTATGTCGATTATAAGCGCTACTTCCGCGGTGATATTCACGATTCCTACCAAGCTAGTTGTTTCGTTGACTATAATTTTCAACCCTCCAGTACTGTTGCCGCCGTCGTCACCTCCCTCGCAAATCCATTCGCACTGCTCTGATGATGCCGCACGATCCTGAAAATGAGCCAAGCCGGACCGGTATCCTGATTTTGCTTCGGGGGCTAGTCGTTTTGCCGAAAGGTATTCTGGAACAAAGAAATCCTATTCGTTAAAATTGAGATAATTGGTATTATTTATTATGCATCACCATTTCCAGTAATATTAAACTGTACTATAACTAACAATACGTAAATGTTTTTCGCCGTGGTTTAACACAGAAATAAATAAACTCTTAAAAATCAAAAACCGAGCTTGGAAAGTTTACAAAAAATCAAAACTGCAGGTTGATTACGATCATTTTAAAAGTCTTCAAACACAGTTGAAATGTTCTGTAAAAATTGCTTATAATAATTATATTATATATTATAATAATTCAAAGCTAAACTCTACTTGTAGGTATATCATCCTTTTATGATAATTCCAAACTTGAAAATCCCCAGGACATTGTGAACGCTTTTGCCCACTATTTTAGTCACTCTTTTATTACATCCTCGAATTATGAACCCGATATTATACATCACATTAATAATAACGCTATACCCGCCATTACATCTTTTAGTGAAGACAGTATTAGAAAATCGATAAGAAAGATTAAAGCAAATATGACAACCGGACCGGATAATGTGCTTGCGTTTATTATAAGAGATTGTGCTACCATCTTTCGTAAACCACTTTTAAAAAATATCAACCTTATTCTTAAGCACAATACCTTTCCTGACTTGTGGAAGCAATCCCGAGTATGTCCTGTTTTTAAGAAAGGCAATAAGAATGATGTTGAGAATTACCGACCTATTGCCATTTTATGCAACTTTTCTAAAATACTTGAAATATTAATTCATGAACACCTTTCCTTTTTCACAAGGCACCTGATAATTTCCGAACAGCATGGATTCATGAAGGGCAGGTCCACAGTGTCGAACCTTGTATGTAGCACCCAGTTTATTGCCGAAACGCTGGATAGGAGGGGTCAGGTGGACGTCATCTATACTGACTTCTCTAAGGCATTTGACAGGCTTGATCACGGTAAACTGTTGTGTAAGCTCGAAGCTTGCGGTGTCAGTAGATCCTTTCTCCAGTTGCTAAAATCATATATTTCCCACCGTGTTGAGTTTATACGGTACCGTGGTCACAGCTGTGTTTTTTAATCAAACATCTGGTGTGCCGCAAGGCTCCATACTTGCACCTTTGCTTTTTATCTTGTATATTAATGATATCGCCCAAGATCTAAATGTTCACTTCTTGTTGTACGCTGATGACCTCAAGCTCTATGTAGATATTAACTCCGAATCCGATTGTTTGCAATCACAGCATGACTTGAATCTGCTTAATGTATGGTGTAATTGTAATCACCTGCCCTTGAATGCTTCCAAATGTAATGTTATGTCATTTGTTCGTAAAAATAGTAGAATTTGTTTTAATGATACTTTAAACAATCAGATACTTAATCGGTTCGAATTTGTTAAAGATCTCGGCATCATTTTTGACGGCAAATTAACATTCAACAAACATATGGAAGAATGCATAGCTGGAGCGTTCAAGAATCTGGGGTTCATACTACGTAACAGTAGAGATTTTAAAAACATATCTACATTACGAGTATTATTTAATAGCTTTGTCAGGCCTAAATTGGAGTACGGCTCTGTAATTTGGTCCCCAAGTTATAATTGTCATATAACGGCATTAGAGAAAGTACAGCGAAGGTTCTTTAAATCCGCAAGTTTCATATTGGATGGGATTTATCCAACCAGAGGGTATTCACAAGACTTATTATTGAAACAATTTGAGATGAGCAGTTTAATTAGAAGGAGGATTATGACTTCTATAATTTTCCTATACAAGCTTGTTAACAATGGTATGGATTGCATTATGCTTACCTCTGTTGTTGGCTACAGAGTTCCTAGAGCCAACGTCAGATCTAATAATTTATTTGTTGTTCCCTACTTCCGTACTAATATTTTGCAGTGGTCTCCTTTGTATATGATGCTAAGAAATTATTGTAACATTGAAGAACGGCTGGATATATTTAACTGTACGGTTGCGAATATAAAGCGTGCTTACACATTTTAAGACCGTGTTTTATTCATCATGTTATATTATCATTGTTAGTTATCTTATATTGTTTTGCCGTTGTTTTTTTTTAACTATTTTTGATGTTCTATTCCGTTTTTATTGTTTTTCTTTATACAATTTTGCTGTTTTATTGTAACTATGCTACTTTTATGTTACATATTTTCTGTTTCTATTCATCCTGGAAAAGGGTTCTCATCCCGTTGGATGAATTAAATTAAATAAATAAATAAACAATATTCTAAATTGTACACTATTTGTACTCTGCCCCTCATCTTGATCTTCTCCCACTACTCGACCGCGTACGCGCGCTCGGCCGTTTTTGAGCATGTTTGGACGAATTTTTCATCTATTTCGCATCATTTTAACGGAAAATTAGAATATACGTTTTGTAATGTTATACTTCTACTTTTAAAATCCGGCTGAAAAATTAAAATCCACCCTCCAACGCATCCAGAAATTTTGCAAGATAGTGCGCCAAAGAATTCAAATTGCAATTGTGCCAAAACGCTAAATTTTCCGATTTTTCCGGACTTTCCTCGTTTCTAATTATCCGATCAGATCGGTTGACCTCTCGTTTTATTCGTATTTCGATTCTCTCCAAATTGTCTTTTCATAGCATTCATATTGCTTTGTTAGTTTTATAAGCAAAAAAATTTAAAAAATCCGTTTTTTGCATAAAAATGTTTATAAAAAATTAATTAATAGTAAACTAGAATAGGAAACATATAAGCATACATCTACAGACTGTCTTTTAGATGATGGCACAGTTACTAGTGTTTGTTACTAGTGTTTTTGTCACAAACAAAACCTCTATTGATTGGCCCATATTATTACTTCTCTATAGACGGCAGATAAACAAATTAAAGAAGCTGTCATATTTGACTTTTCAGTGAGTTTAAGAACGAAGGTTTTGATAACGGAGACAGAGTTTGTCAAAACGTAATCTCGTAAACTACTACCATAAGTAAAATGTGCTTTAATAGTCCAGGCGGTATCTGTTTCAAAAAGTCCATATTTGGGTGAATCGTGTATCCACGGAGATTTTTGGCTTTTTGGCTTTCAAATATCACTAGAAATGAAATTTTTTCTAAGCGCATAAAAAAAGCTTAACTTTTCGCGGCACAATATGTTAAAAAAATTCGAAAAATGTCATATTTTTCTTCGTATTTAATTATGCATCTTTTCAAGAGTTGATTTTAGGCGAAAATGGAAGAGGATAAAAATGTTTGTAATTAAATTTTTTTACAAAAGATGACTAGTTATAAATCGAATGCATCATGATTATTATTGTAAAAATCGAAAAAACGCCAAAAATGAGGTTAAAAAACTACTTTTTATTGAATTTTTTTTGGGATCTCTAAATTGGGTATAGACCTTCAAACTTGGCTCAAGAAAAGTTCATGTTATGTAGAATCATCACAACAAATTTCATCAGAATCGGTTCGATGGATTTTGCATAACAATTTTGCAATCCAGATTTTGAAAAAAAAATTACAAATTTTCAAAATTTTGCACAGCAAAAACCAAGGCCGTTAGATACTTGAAAATTTAATCACATATAGAAGGGCTCTCAAGCTTTCAAACGCTTTTTGTCAAAATTCGAATCCGTCAATTAGGAGAGCTCTGGCGCTTGTTTAAACATTGGTCGAATTTCGCCTAAAATCAACTCTTGAAAAGATACATAATTAAATAGGAAGAAAAATATGACATTTTTCGAATTTTTTTAACATATTGTGCCGCCAAAACGTAAGCCCATCCTTTTTTTAAGCGCATAGAAAAATTTTCATTTTCAGTGATATTTGAAAGCCAAAAAGCCAAAAAACTCCGTGGATCGTGGATATACGATTCACCCAAACCAAAACAGATACCGCCTAGTCTATTAGTATGTCCTGAAAAATAAACTACGTGAATACTGCAAATAAATATTTAGAAACCGGAAAACTATTTTAATAAGTTTGTTACCTATTCTCCTTAGTGTTGCTAATAATATAAGAATATATTTTGATTGTGTATGTAATATTTATTTGCAGCTATACAGAATTCGTTTTATTTTTAATATTTTTAGAAACTATTCTAAAATCTCTATTAGAGAGTTTTGATTGTTTATTGGCAGATTTTTTATCTTTTAAATAAATCAATTTGGCCCTGTTATACATATAAACATTAACTTACATATTTCTTTATATTATAGAATTAAAATTTAGATATAAGTTGTTTCTAAAGAATTTTTATTTTTTTTTAAATTAACATCTAGGAAAGGTAATGTATTATTATTTTCTATTTTTAAAGTAAATTTAATTGTTGGACCTTTATTACTAATATTATCTAGAAAAATGTTTAGTTCCTCAACGGTAAAAGGCCAAAATAGCAAAAATATCGTCTATATATCTCCACCAAATTCTTATTTTAATTGTTAATGTAGTTTTCTTCATCCTTTAGCTTACATAAAGCTTACATGAAGGATTAGAATTTGAGAAATCAAAAACTTACGGAAAAGATTGGGAATTCAGATGGTTCAGCCAAAATTACACAGTAAAAAAAATTAAAAGAAAGTCTACGAATTTGTATCCTTGTTGGCTGTAAATATTAAAAGACGTAAATAATAATAATAATATAATAAACATTATATGATATTTCTAGCTAGGGAAGCACACAGAAGCAACAAAATATAAACTGCTAAACTGTAGTTAAAAAAGAAAGGTCATTTGTTTTGAAAACGAAAAAGGATCCATTTTTCAAAACGTTACCTATAATTGAAATTTGTCTGTTTTTTTTTTTTCAGGACAAGTTGTCCATTAAACAAAGAAAATAAAATTGCAGGATATATTTACATTGCTACAATCACAACGCACCAAAAACATATTAGGAACAATGATTAAAATTAAACATTTGATTAAAAAAATGAGTAATGAACCTAAATAATAAAGCACAACTAAGAATTTATATACATGGTCCACCACTTTTCATTTTCCATACCTTCTGAACTGTTTAATTTAAAAAAAAAAACATGTGTCTACTACTTAACTGAATTGACTCTATTGAAATCTCACACGAAACCAGAGACTTTTCTGATAATATTTATGATATTATAAACTTCTGTACTTTAACTTGAACGTCTTGAGGTCTTCAAGTTTTTCAAACGTAATTTCACTATGACTGGCATAATAAACCAATTTAGATCAAGATCTTAGTATAATTTTGCTTCTTTGAAAAGTTTCAAAGATTTTTTTTATTTAATTATTCATAACGCTGTTGTATTTTATGGTATCTCAATGAAATTTTGTTTAATTTATGTTTTTGAAGATCAACGCCTGGTTAGATACAGAATATATATTGTACGCTGACATTTACATTTACAACAATAAAATTATATTCATTCCTAACAACTTTCTGTTACAAGCGTTTGTAGTTTCTTTCAAAAATCCATTTTCCTTCTATTTCAGTAACAAAAACATTGTTATTGTTTAAATACAACAGAGCTTTAAAATCATGGGTCATTGAGGAGAGTTTTTGAAAATAAAGCTACAACGTATAAAAAATTCTGGTTACTTACCATGACCCAAAGTGCTGCATAGCAGTGCACACAGCAAAATCGAAGTTACTTGAGCCTTCATTTTCGATTTTGACTGTGGTTTGAAATAATTTTTCCTGCTTATATACTGGAAATTACGAAAATCCTTACTATTCCTGACATTCAAGTTATATAAAAAGTATGCATTTATTTACATTTTGTCGATGTTCGAGTGTTTATTTTATGAATAATATTTGGAAATACATAATATCGCCGCTTGATGAGCCTTATCTACTTCGACAATTTCAGAAATATTTCATTGCCGCTTCTAACAATTCCACTTATTCCTATAATGCGCCATGAAAATAAAAACTTTTTATGCCAATGTACGTGTTATGTAGTAAAAAATATATGAGCATTTCAATTATTTATTGAAAAGTTTATTCACTCAGTAAATAGCAAATATGTAATTAGATTTTCATAATTTAACACTTTAAACTGTTGTCTTCTGACTAGACTAAAATCACAATCCTCGGGATAGATTAAGTGTTTGAGTTACCCAAAATGACCTGGGAACATTGAAAATGTTAAAGTGCAATTTTTGTATTAATTAACTTAAGCCAGAAATACAAAGTGTAGATTTTATTTCAAAAGACTTCCTATGATCCATTTGAATTAGTACCTTACAAAAATTAATTGTTTCCCTTGATGTATGACATGTTGCACCGTTCAGTTGAAACCACATATTCTGCACAGTAGCGACGTTTCCAGGTTTATTTCCAAAAAAAATATGGACCAATCCCTCCACCAGACAAAGAACCACACCAAACAGTTGTGGATGCATTGGTTGTTCTAGTATTACTGGTGGGTTTTCTTCATCTCAGATATTACAATTTTGTTTGATTACGTATCCACCAATTTCAAAATGAGCATCATCACTAAAGATGATTTGGTTAATAAAATCAGCATTTTCTTCTTTTACTGCAATACAATTAACAAATGTATAACGTAATCCATAATCAGTTGGCATTCTTGTGTTCACTGAATTTGGAAGCCTTTAAATAAAGATCCTTATGCAAAATATTGAACAAAGTGCTTTATTTAATGCTTAATTGCTCTGAACGATGACGAATTATTGCGTTTGGTTCTGCAGTTCTGTTCTATCACTGACAGTTCCAATATTTTCTTGTGAACAACCACTACGTCTATAAGTTTTATTCGGTAGGCAAAAAATCATTTAGGAAATTTGATAAGACGACGGAAAAAGATTATTAGATAAAACGGTGAAGAATCATGTGGGAAGGAAAATGAGGATGCAGAATCCAAAGGTGTGCTTGACGAAAGAAAGGAAAGAAGAAATAGTTGCCACGCTTTTCCCAGAGACAAGAAATGAAATGTGCCATTTGACGAAAAGGTTGATTTATGGACTGGACAAAAATTGAAAGTGAAGACATTTCTCAGAATTGGCGGAAGCAATAAAAATATTGAACGCTAAAATAATAAGGTCATTAGTAACATCTGTAAAGAAGGAGAATCTACAGTAATAGATGCAAGAAGACGGTATTAGATGGATCGTCCCTACCGAAATATTTGTTTGATATTTTCAACATTTAAGAGATAACAATATCTTTGAACACCAATACTCTAATATTGGACGGGAAATTTTACTTATTTTTGTGTGCTTCATTTATGATAATTTATTTATTACTGTTTAAGTTCTCTGTTAGACTACCTACTTGTTAGGGTTTCACAGTTTGCCTTATTGAAAAGTATTAAATTTTCATTTAGGTATGTAGGCAGAGGGCTCGTGACGAACGGAAATAACCTTTCTCTTAAATTATGGTATGAGAATTACTAAAGTAGGGTTAAAAAAATAGTTTTCACGACATAATTTGAGAAAACAAACTTATTTCTAAAGGTCAAAGGTAGCCTTTGTATAAATATACCCCCATTCAAAGTCACATCCATGAACAGAACACTTTTTTAGTGCCTATGTTATTTTTTACAATAAACCGCGTGTGCTTTAACCTAGTATTTTAATTAATGAAAAAGACAACAACGTGATTGATCAAAATACAAATTGATCAGAAAAGTTTGATTCCAGCAAACAATAGCTATTTTATAGTTTTTCAAACTGGAGAAAAATTTCTCCCTTTGTTATAACTAATGAAACTTAACTTCACGAGAGAACTAAGACCAAAGTTGGGATCCATTTTAGTGGTAGATACCTACCTTATTTTGATGTAAAGTGTATTGGGACATACCTTGAACGCGATCGAAATTGATATGACGAATAAAGTAGGTACATTTTTAAATTGCCTACATCTGTTTTGATTCTAACTTCCATGACTATATCCTGTCTATTTACCTACATATAACAAAATAAATATAAAATTGTACGTTTGATAGTTTGACCATGAGAATAATTTATATTCTTTACGGTCTTTCCCCACAAAAATGTAAGAGCACGTAGGCTTAACTAATATCAAATAGTTCTAATGTGTCGTGCTGTTTGACTATGTACAAATCTAATTTGTAAGCAACATATGAGTTCTAAAAAAGTGTAGGCTTATTTAAATAATGAAATAAGTATGTATTGTGGTTTTTAACTTTTGCGTTACACATTATTAAGTTATATGTTTACTAGGACATAAGTGTAGAAGTATTTATTTTTGCAAACCATTCAAACTACTCAAATTTTATTTTAGTTTTAATTTAGCTGAAATTTGAAGAACAGGTTCTCTACAGGGTGTCCCGAAATTCATGCAACCAAATTTGGTCACAGATTCTTAAGACAAATTTAGGGGACCCGTATTTTTTATTTTTGCCAAGTGGCCACCTCTTTCGGAGTTGCAGCCCCCTGAAGTCCGCCCCTAAATTTGGTATAAGGGGTTTTCTGACATGTGGAATCTGATGGTGGTATGTTTTTTGGCGGGGAACCTCTTTAAGACAATATTTTGTGGGCCCCCTTGTCTTTGGAGCCAAAAAAATTTGATCGCATAATTAAATTTCTTAAAAATTATCAGTCCAGTAGAAAGCCATTTTTAGAAACTTTTTGTCTCTTTATACTTTTTTCGTAAAACGCAATGTTTTCGAGAAAAATGTCAAAATGTGATCGAATGCATATCGTGATTCGCCAGTCCTCAAAAACATTGCGTTTTACGAAACAAATATCAAGAGACAAAAAAGTTTCTAAATTCAATGGCTTTCTAGCTAATAATTAAAAAAAAAAAATCATATTTGCGACCAAATTTTTCTGGTTCCAAAGACAAGGGGGGGGCACGAAAAGCGTAGCACTGTCAGATTCCACATGTCATAAAATCCCTGATGGTGTACCAAATTTAGTGGTTCTCGTACAACATGGTTTTGAGATATAAAAAAGACTTCTTAGGGGCAGATTTCAGGGGGCTGTAACTCCGAAAGAGGGGGCCAGTTGGCAAAAAGAAAAAATACGGGTCCCCTAAATTTGTCTTAAGAATCTATGACCAAATTTTGTTGCATGAATTTCGGGACACCCTGTATATGGGCTTAGAAATCATTCCCTGAAAAATGATAAGGGTCATAATATGACCACTTTAATTTTCGCTATCCGTTTCTAGTCTAGTATAGACAGCTACATAGCAAATGAATTACAATAAAACATATTCTGTAGTTGTGGCATATCCTGACATTATGCAACCAACATTATATATATGATAAAAACTCCAGGCTAGATTTTCCAAGAATTCGCGACCGCTGGCTATATACAGCTGACGTAATCTTAATTTTTCCGTTATTTTATCATGTGTGTACATATCCACGCTTTTCGTTTTTTTGTCCATAGTTTATTATGAGTTCATTGGGTCTTCTTCGACTTTGAACATCTGTGATTCTGTTGTTTGTGATATTGATCCAAGTTTTTGATTTGCTTGAAATCAGCTGATCTCACCTGAGCTGTCAGCAGAAAGCACTCCTAAATATAAACAAGTAGTGTAGTAAACATTGAACGAGTTTTTTAAATTTAAAATCTTATTCAGATCGGATTTCGTTATGAATCAAGATATACATTCTTTGTTAGATAATACCAACTCCGGCACTGTCTGTGAATCTGGTTATGAATCAGTTGTAAGTACATATAATTTTTTTTGTATTCTATTGATTTTTGTTTATAATATTTAGGCGACACAAAATGTGGAATCTGTCGAGGAAGCAAAACCAAATAGGTTTCCGCAATACTTCGCAGCATTTGCAGGTAAGGGCTATTTTTTTCATATAAATGTAACATATGGAAGTATAGTGTGTAATGAAACCATATGAACGTTCAGTCCTTCCACATAAAATATATCGCCCTTTGAGTGCAGAACAAAAATGCAAATTTTTTAATTTTCTACATAGATTAGTTTTCCTCTCAAGGGAAGATTTTATAATATGTGTTTTTGGTGCATGGCAATTACAAATTTGTATTCTTTTTTTCCACTATTTTTCAAAATACCTAAAATATTGTAAACAAAACAGTTGCAAAGCTCAAAAGTCCATTTTCCTCTTTCAGGGAGGCATTCAATATAGACATGTTTATTAGATCTATTTAGGCGCTACTCAGCCTAAAATTTTTTTGTATCTATATGTATATTATTGGTGGCTTTCTATTAATTTTTTCCACAGCTACTTTATCTGCATTGGCTGCTGGTACAGTACTTGGTTGGACATCTCCAATTTTAGAAGAGCTGGAACAAGGACATTTCAGGAATATATCGTTAACAAATGATCAAATAGGATGGATTGGATCCTTTGTCACTTTAGGAGGAATGGCTATATGTATACCAGCGGGATTCTTGTGTGATCTTATTGGTAGAAAGAAAACTCTACTTCTGTTAATTTTTCCATTTACAATTGGATGGTTGTTAATTTTATTGGCCAAAAATGTTTTAATGTTATATTTCGGTCGGTTAATAACAGGATTGGCAGCAGGAGCATGTTGCATTGCTGCTCCATTATATACCAGTGAAATTGCGCATAAAACTTTAAGGGGTACCTTAGCTAGTTACTTTCAGTTGATGGTAACAGTAGGCATATTGTTAGCTTATTTAATTGGGAAATATTTGACCGCTTTACAGTTTACGATTTGGTGCGCATGTTTACCTTTCGGTTTCGTTATATTATTCATGATTCAACCTGAATCACCCACGTACTTAATTAAAAAAGGTTTTTACGATGAGGCTAAATCGTCCCTGGTAAAATTACGGGGACAGTTGTATAACGTAGATAGCGAATTCAATGAAACCGAAGCCTGTTTAAAAGAGAGTTCGAGAAGCACTATATCTTTACGAGAAACTATAAGGAAGAAAACGGTTATAAAAGCTTTCATTATAACTTTTGCTTTATATTTTTTCCAGCAGTTTTCTGGTGTAAACGTTATTATTTTCTATACCACTGATATTTTTAAGGCATCTGGTACAAAGTTAGACCCTCAAACCGCCGCTATATTGGTAGGGGTGTTTCAAGTTATTACAACATTCATTTCCTCCCTTACAATCGATAAGTTGGGACGAAGGATTTTGCTCTTAACTTCAGCTCTGCTAATTTCAGTGTCTACGTTACTGTTAGCTGTATATTTTACGGTTAAATATCGTGCACATGTTGATAGCAATATATTAGCAGAATGGAGCTTTTTACCGGTTACATCTGTTTCTATTTTTATTATCGCATATTCGTTAGGCTTAGGGCCGATTCCATGGGTTATCGCTGTTGAAGTGTTTCCTACTGAAATACAAAGCATTACTAGTTCAATAGGTGGGACGTTTAATTGGTTTTTAGCATTCGTCCTTACGAAAAGTTACCTATCAATTGCAGACGTTATAGGCCAAGACAGTACTTTTTATATTTTCAGCTTTCTCTCATTGGCAGGTGTTATTTTCATTTATTTTGTTTTACCTGAAACCAAAGGGAAGACCAATATTGAAATACAAACGGCCTTAGAAAATTAATGAAAAAATATGCTGAGTGTATTATTACATAAAGGTAAAAAAGATATATACACTTATTTTCATAGTACCTACCAACAAAGGGTGAATAAATGTTAGATAAATGTTATAAAAGATTTGTCTTGAAAGAACAGTTCCTTTAAATCGTATATTTTATATATAGGCATATAAAGATATCTTTGTGCATTACAAAGATTTAGTAAAAAAATTTCTTGGAAAAGTAAACTGAAATTTAATTTTAAGTACTTAATAATTTGTGGTCATATGTTTTTAAAACATGCAGTATATTTTTGAAATAGTTTTCAATATCATATTAGTTGTTTCAATAAAGTATAAATTAAATGATTTTTAAGTTTTTAACACAGAGCCGCAAGCTATAATTTGACAATTTTTTTATCCGATTTTCAAAAACGAGATATTATTTAAAAATACTACAAACTAATGCTTAATACCAATTTTTTCAGGTAATTGTTTTTTTCTTATCATGGAACGACATATTTTTTTTTACTAGATATGACATATTTGGAATCTGTTTATGATAATTTGATTTTCAGGAAAAATTTAGAGGTAAAATACACTCAATTGTAATAAATTATAATTTTTTATAGAAAAAAATAAGGCACACTGGATTTTGTACTGTTTGAACCATTATCGAGCTGTTATACATAGCCTCTATAAATGTTTACAAGTCACGTGATCAGTAATTTTATTTCCATCACGTTGGCAATTAAATTTTCGTAAAATTAAAAATTATTAAAACAAGGTCAATATTACATTAAAATACAATATTATGTTTCACCAACTGGTGATTGGTTTAATTTTTCACGAAATTCTATTCAGCCAATCAGCGATCGCATCATCTCGAGGTAGACGCAACGGTTTGTCATTGTTCATTGTAAACGAATCATTATAATGACGCTAAGATTTAGGGATTTTTTATTGACAATACCAATCGTGCAATGTTGGTTGTCTAAGGTAGGCGGTCGTGGCTTGTAATCTATATGAAGGCTCGGTATTAGATACGAATTCGTGTCATGACAATACTATTTTTTAACTAACCACGTGAATTTCGCCAATAAAGCAAACTTGTAACATTTGTAGGTTTTTCCGTTTTTCTTTTGACTGAAGAGATAAGACCGATGCGCGATGGTGTAATCGCACACACTTGTACCTAAATATATGTATTTTAACATTTCATACGAGTTTTAATATAAGTACCTATTTTTCTTTATAAATAAGAATTCGCATGCAGATAACCACAACTTTTACACAAATAAATATAAACTATAATATTACACTGAAGATATAAAAAAAGTTACGCGAGATTATGTTAGCCAGTACTTTGGCTAACTTATGACTCCAAAACGCAACCTACTGTACATGGGTACCTCATAAGATCTAATCTAATCAAATAAATACCAGAACTTTAACAGGATACAATAAGGGTTTTTTGGCGAGCCAAACCACATCAAACCCGGTTAGCTCGAGTTTGATTGTGTTAAGAGTTTGAGTTAACATTTGACAGAACTCGCAAAAATTCTTTTGGTTTGGATATCTAATCAATAATAAAATCGTAACCTATAATCTATGATAGTGCTCGTAGCTCAAGTTGTTTGATTATTTCTTATATACTATAATTATTCCTAATCTGAAATGCACATCCATGAAATAACGTTAATGTATAGATGGTTATTAAATCAAAATGGGTTTACCTTTTCACAAATATCTATTCCCACGTAAATGTATCGTCTAAAAGGAAGTTAATAAAGATCTATACAGTACAATATAGAAAATGCATATCTACGATTAAAGTTATTTGGATCCTCGATTACTATTTTTTTATTATCAATTTTAAATATTACTTTGTATTTTTTGCAAAGTGAATCCATTATCAAATTTACAACTTATACCTATCCAAACCTCTAAAAAAACGAAGTAGTGTACGATGTGTAGTGTACGATGGTACGAAACAGAAAATAAATAAACAAAGATAGAAATATTAACTTATTATCCAAACCAACCCACAAGTCCGGTTTGATGGTTAGGCAAACTCTGCCAAACCGGGTTAACTACATTTCTCGCCAAAACGTCAAACCTCAAAAAACTATAGTTAACCGGGTTAGCGGTTTTCTCGCCAAAAAACCCTTAATGATCTAAACAGATAAGACAACTTTAATTTAATTTGAATATACTGATATCTAAAGTTGGCCGTGTTCAGAAAATCACATCGATGACGATTCGATGAGCAATCGTTTGCTGAATACGCCTGGAAATAACAATAAGTAATCGAATGATCTATATTGAGTTAGTGAGATTGCTTGATTACTTACATTGAACCATAAAGTTACAGACGAGCCGGCGAAGCAAGAAGAGCGCCAGAAGAAAGGGCCCTAGCCGGCGGGGCCCAGCCAGGACAAAAGGAGGTCCCACAAAGCGCCTACACCGGTCGCATTTGCGGTCGGGGTAGACGACGGATGGGGCCCACCTACGAACGCTGTCCAGGCCTACACGAGATGAGGCAGGATAAAGAGGGATAATCCCCCTCGATCCCAAATCATTGAGGCCAATTTCTAACCATGGAATAATGGCACGCGGCGCAATGGGAAAATTTATGTATCAGTCAGTATCATCGTCTATATAGCTGTTTTATTCAAGTCACTGAAGTCTAATTTGAATCGCAAAATGAGGAAGACTAGACACTCCATGCGCAAAATATTCATGTTTAAATATAAAAAAAATCTGTATAATAAATACAACCAATAGAAGTGAGAAAAAATATGCATTCAGAAAAACTCATCGAAATTGGCCACCGACACATGATCCGTGAATTAGCGATGATTCGATTACTGTCGTCTGAATGTAGCCATTTTCTTTGTAGTAAATTTGTTTATTAAATATTTCTGCAGGGATATAATTATAGGGATGCAGTTAGGGCATTGCCTGAAGGTATAGAATTTAATATAACCACTCACTTTTCACATTCAAAATAAGAAAATCATTTTCCATGCATAAAATTTCCGCCTCATCAGTATGCCCTCGAATTTTCATTTTTAACTTTCCATATGTACATAGAATAACTTATTACCTAGTTGCCATTGACTACAGGTTTAATTAAGTAAACTATTAGACAGAGCGGTGTTCGGTGTTAGATTTACGATTCACGATTCCGAGGACTACTGCGTCACGGATGTTGATTGACGAATGACTTGAGGGGAAGGAAAACTGATATACGAAATAAATCCGATTCCGCCCACCGATGCCAATTATGTTATCGCATGGTTTTGAAACAGGAATTTGATTATATTTTTGTTATAATAAATTGAAAAACTATTTTTGTACAAAATATTAAATATGTATGTATATTAAGAACTGTATACTTAAAAATCGACCCCGATAAAGGGAATTAGTATCGACGATTTGAATCCCCAAGGTGCAGTTTATCTATATCTCTGATATATCTTTATCTATGGTCTGCATATAGAGAATTTATTGGTATCCCATGTTATATCTGTTCTGTGACTTCTGTGTGTCACATGTTACAAGATTACTGTCACTGTCATAGCCATTTATTATTTGTTATTTATCTTTATCTTTATTCTTTACTTATGTTTTGTAGTTGGAAAAAGTTAACAAACAAAATACGTGGTGATAGTTCGTTAAAAGGGTAAATAAGTTTCATGTGACTATTTTATATTATCATAAATTTGGTGTTAAAATTGACTTCACGGAATTTATAAAAATGGAAGAAACTTTTTCACAATGTGAAAATGAACAAAACTGTGAAGGTGAAGAATGTGGTGTTACCCACCAAAATTGTTGTCATAATTCAACATTGCTTTTGTTAACAGAAGAGAAAATGAGAAGAAAACTACAATTTTTTTTCATGAACCCTATAGAAAAGTGGCAAGCAAAAAAAAGGGTTCCTTATAAGTTTATTGTACAAGTTACGAAAATAATTATGGTAACAATGCAGCTATGTCTGTTTGCCTATAGCAGTTACAATCATGTTAATTATACGTGGGATAACAGAATAACATTTTCACATTTGTTCTTAAAAGGTTGGGATTCTACTCGAGAGATAAATGCATATCCACCAGGGTCTGGTCCATTAGCTATTTACAAGATAGATGAATTCTATTCAACAATTAACTACGCTTACAAAGGCTATGCCAACGTTGGGGATGCGGTGGGATCCTATTCATATGCCAACGAAGATAATACTATGACGAATATGTTACTATGTCTCTACCAATACAAAAAGGGAATTATTTTTGGATTCAATGAATCCTATGTGTTTGACAGTGAGATTATTGAACAATGTTTAAATATATCTGTGCCAATTGAAGGACTTTTGGATTCTAAACAATATCTGGCTGGTAACAAAATAGATATAAATTTTTCTGCTTTGGTTAGTGCAGAATTAATGTTTTCTCTTAAAACTGTGAATTTAAAAGCAGCAGGTAGAATTACAGCTCCAAACTGTTATCGGTTTGATATAACTATATTATTTGACAATGAAGATCATGACGGGCAAATGTTACTATCTTTGGATGCCGTACCGTATCGATTAATGTGCAAAGGTGATGTAGAGTATGTTACTGACAACGAAATTGACACATTTGTTCGAAGTTTAGTTAATTACTTGGTAATAATTATTTGTATAACGTCATTTATGCTTTGTAGTAGAGCTGTTTGGAGGGCTCAGCAGTTAAAATTTATAACAAACAAATTTTTTGAGTCCCATTTTGAACAGCCACTAAGTCATCATGACAGAATGAAGTTTCTTAACTTGTGGTATATAATGATTATTATAAATGATATTTTAATAATTATTGGATCCTCAATCAAAGAACAGATTGAACGAAAAGAATTTACTAGTGATCAGTGGAATGTGTGTAGTTTATTTTTAGGAGTAGGTAATATGTTAGTTTGGTTTGGGGTTTTACGCTACTTAGGTTTTTTCAAAACGTATAATGTTGTTATACTAACACTGCAAAAAGCCGCTCCACAAGTTGCGCGATTTCTAATCTGTACGTTGTTGATTTATGCAGGATTTACATTTTGTGGCTGGTTAATATTTGGACCCTATCATTTAAAATTTAGGTCTTTGTCGACTACTTCAGAATGTCTGTTTTCATTGATTAACGGAGACGACATGTTTGCAACATTTTCTATCATGTCTGCAAAGTCCCCGTTATTGTGGTATTTCAGTAGATTGTATTTGTATTCCTTTATAAGTTTGTACATCTACATAATATTAAGCTTATTCATTTCTGTAATAATGGACGCGTACGACACCATAAAACTTTATTACAAGGAAGGTTTTCCCAAAAGTAGTTTGGAATGTTTTATAGGCGACACTAATTTTGAGGAAGTATCAAGTGGTATATTTAGAAGCAGTTCCAATGATAGTCTGGGTGGATTGATGAAAAATTTATGCTGTTGTAAAACTGTTCACAAATCGTATTCTAGTTTATCAGGGATAAGCGAGGCAACAGAAACTTGCAGGCAAAATGTTTCAGTATAGAAAAAACTCTAATTGTAAATAGTTAATCGACCATGTTTATTTAAAAAATTATATCTGTGTGTCGGATAACTTTACATAAAAATGATGGCATTTATCATATGAATTTTTGTCGTCAGATGACCTATAACCACTATTTGTAAATAATTGTATGAATCGGCAAATGCATAATATTAAAGTGTTTATAACATTTGTAACTTTATCAATTCTATTAATTTAAATATTGATGTATATAAACTATTATGTACCATATTTCTTTTTATGATTATCCTAAGCTAAAATGACTGTTCTCAGATTTATTTTTTCTTAAGAACTCTACAGTTTTTAGAAGTATCGAAGAGGATATTGCAAGATGTATATTTATTTGTCAAATTCAAAGAAAAAGCAATTATAAGAAGATAGTGATACAAATTCTAAGTGAATTATGAAATTATAGAAATGATGACATGACTTTAAATCTTTGAGTACATTGAATGCAGGCAATGTAAAAATAATATAGTTAAAAATAAAAACAATAAATAATTACGTATCAGTAAAAATACACCTATTGCTAGCATATCTCGTATAAAAAAATAGATAACCAGATGATTTCATGAAGCATGGTCCTATTTGAAATTCAGAAGTATAAAAATAACAAAGTCAAGGTGGTAAAAGATAATTATTGGGTAAAATAATTTTATTTGGTCAAAAAAAATTTGAGTATTCAATTTCAACATTTTGACTATTGAAAAAAGTTTTAAAAAATATACCAGAACTTTGTGTAGTAGAATATTTGTAGAACTGGGCACGTTTCACTTGAGCTCTGAATATATAAATAAAAAAGCCCACTTGATGAAATGTGATGGAAATGTGGGTAACCATTGTCCTCCACTCCACTACTTTGCCACTGCACATCCTACCATCAGGTCTCAAATAAATTGGATTTACAATACATGTATGTTTTGATATTGAAATACTGACAATATTTTTACTGTTCCAAACAAAATTATTGGTCCCGTGGCTTGTAACCATTTATGAAGACTACATAATTTCAAAGTACTTTTAAATTATTATTTTTTTTGTAATTGGAGAATTTATTTTTTCTTGGCAAGTAGCTATTTTTTCATTTGGTTTATTCACATTTTTTTTTACTCTATATTGACATACCATGACATTTTATACAATATTGTTATATCCACATTCAAAAAATTTTCACATAAAACAATCGATACTCATGTTTTTCATGACACCATCAATTCAAACAGTTTATGATTTAGAAACAGACATTTTTTTATTAGGATTTTGTCAGGAATATTGCAATACCCTGTATACTCAAAATATTAGTTTTATAATTTTTGTAAATTTTAATTGTACGTACCATTTTAGGCTATTTCTGTTAGTTATTTTACTTTCTAGATTTCTCAATAAAAGTTATTTCTTTTTATTGCTACCAAAATTTATTATTAAATTATTATTTTTAAGCCACGTATGCATGGGCATGCTTTTTGTCGTTGTACTGCAATGGAGTTTTACTATCTGTGTTGAAAAATTGTTTTTAAATGCAAGTGCACAAAGGTTCTTTCGGTGTGCACTTCTCTTTAAAATAATGTGTTGATGGCGTAAAAGTCCACTTTGGTACGAAGATGAAAAACCTGCGCTTGTGCATGTAAGGTCTTATTGTACATATTTTGTTGAATTTATGTTATGTAAATATGTATACAATAAAATTTATGTATGAAAATTCTCTTTTTAATTTGATATATTTTAACAGTATATGCATTCTAATAAAAGTGGTAAGATTTTTCTGTAACAAAAAAGAAACGAGAAAGAGTGGAAAAGAATAAGTTTTCAATAATCATATTTTCAGTAAAAACTTTGTGTTCTATTACAAAATAAATAATTTTAAATTGCAAAAAAATTAATAAGCAAATTATAACAAACCCCTTTTGTTGCGCCTTGTTTGTAGCCGTGACGTAGATTTGATCAAATTCTCAAATGAGGAGCTATGACCCCAAAGTTTTCGAAATATAAATGTATACAATGTAGAAGCTCTTTCGACGTATGTCAAGAATTAACTTCCTTGTGCGAAAATAAACGATTAGATCAAATTACTTTAATATAATTTTACTTCCTTAAAAAAAGTTATTGGCTTACATTTTTTTGGAACTTACTTTCTGAGGATATTTCGAGATATTTGGGTTTTTTTGTGTACATGGTTAGAATATAACCAGTGGTGACTGGTGTGGGGGGCTTTGAAAAAGACTAAATATGTGGGCTCCCTATTATTGCTGGTCCCTAAATCTGCAAAATGTTTACATGTGGTTATGGTTACCGTTACAGATGGATTGGGAGTAGCCCATAACCAAATTATACCTATTCATCACTTTTCTTATTAAACGTAATTTTTTTACCAGTGATGTAAAATTTTGTCTCCGATGTATTGTTTCTTGGTGTTTTTTAAAAGATTGTAAACGTTTAAATTAGATTGTAAAGACTAACATTTGCAGTGTTATCTTTTGAAAAATCAATGGTGCGAGAAATACCAAAGTTTAATGAAAAAGTAATTGAAAAGTTTATTTCAGACAAAAGCAGAATAGACTCACTATAAAAAATAATGTTGAGCACATTTTCCGTGTATTTCAATAGTACTTAAATTAAAACTACCCAATTATATTTGATCTTTTTTTTCAATACTTGTATCTAAATATTTCTGCCTTCTCTGGTCAAGAGCGCCCACTGAGTATAACTCATTTTTTATTTAAAACACCTTAAATTTTCTTGATTTTCTTGCGATTTTTTTTTTGTCGCGAGAGATTTTGAAAGTATAGTTATTAAAATACCATTTTATTTAGTGTAAAATAGTGACTTGTGTGTCACTAGAATCGATAGTTCCTCAAATAAATGGATTTAAATTTTCTTTTTAAATTTGAAAGTATTCTGGTATAATTAAACCTTAATTAGACCTACTTACATTTTATTAAAAAGTAAACATTAGAAAAGAGGCAAGTTAACCTACATCATAAATAATAGTTAATATTGTGTTCTTTTTTGTCTCTCACTTAAGTTTATATTTTTTAAATATTTGATTTTTTATTATTGTTCATATTAAAAAAAAGTAAAAACATGTTCAATTTGGACGAGCAAATAATTAAAAAAATAATTCAGTTAAATTACCGTTTACATTTTTTAAGCTAGTTATGGTCAAAAATTGTAAATAAACGGAATTAAAGAAATAATCTATAACAATATACAGGGTGTTTCTGAAATAAGTAAGTTATTCTCTGAAAACAGTCGGAGGGCATGAAAATGAACAACTTTTATTAAATAACTGATGGGCCGGCAAGTAATTTTAGGTGGGATGCGGACATTTGAAAATTTTTAATGAGGTCCAGAAGAAAATTCATATTTCTTACTAATTTTTTATTTTAATTTGTACTCAAATTTAATCTGCTTACTAACCATTAAGAACTCAAATCAGTCACACAATTGTAAAGTACTAGAAAAAATGATAAGGGTGGCACTCAAACGTAAAAATATATTTTTTAAATAATCTATTTCAATAATTTATACTTTAAAAAAATTTTTGGTGATCCAGTATTTTACCTTCCGCGGTCCCCCAGTTGCTGACCGCTGGTCTAAATGCTTGTCTTCGATAAAATTTATTAAGAACTTTAACCCTGTGCATCTTGTGCACATGCGTTGTGTGTTGCAAGTATTAGCCGGCTTCTATGTGAAAGGTGTGGCAGCCAGCCACACAGGAACAGCTTTAAATTTGTTTAAACCTTTGTGAAATTTTGTTTAATTTAAAACATAATGTTTTTAATGTTGCTTAATAATAAAATTTGCTTATTTTCGTGCCCTCTTATCACCGTTTTCAAGAAACTCACTTATTTCAGAAACACTATATACTTTTGATTTTCATTTTCCTTGACTTTATATCGTTCCAATTCAATATTGGTTGAGAGAACATGAATTTTTTCTAAATTGAAATTTACATAATTTCTTCATACTAATTTATATAAAGTGAATACTATTTCCACTACACTATTTAGGGTGTTCTTAGTGGCCTTTATACTTTTAAATAATTTTATATTCATATTAATCTACCTCATGCTAAATAGTATTAAAATATCTCGAAAAGTAAGGGTTATCGTAAAAACTGATTAAAAAAAATTATTTGAAGGCATGTAACTTTTAAGGAAATAAATTAGTCCTAAGGTAACTCGATTTAAATCAGTTTAATTCGAGGAAGGTACCTTTGAACTATGGTGGCTGACTTTCAGAACACCCTGTATAATATAGTTAGTTTTAAGTTTTATTTGGATGCATTTATCTATTTCTCAATGGGAGATTTAAAATTTGACAAAAATAAGTTTTAAAAACAACCTCTAATTGGATATTAGTGTAACAGAATTACCCGCCTTTACCCCCCATCCAAAAAAAAGAAAAAAAATTGCATTAATTTTAGACAAAATGTAATGAAATGCTACATTTTGGAAAATTCCGTAATATTCATTTCCGGATTCTAGGGCAGACGTGTTCTTTTTTGCAAACATCAGCAAAGTCATCATATAATTTGTGATTTGTTTGATGTCATCAGCAAAGTACTGACATAATTTGTGATTTCTTTATGATCGGAGATTCAATATATTAATACTCAAAGAGATAATAAATTTAATCTTCAATATTTGATTATAATTATGAAATAAATAACAAGTCAGATATGTACAAACTTAATTTCTAATAATAAATGATTTGTAAAATGTGCAGTAAACATGATAAGGCAATATTTTATGAAATAATAAAGTATTTTGGCACTAAACCTAATTAAAAAAAAAAAAAAAATTAAATGGGTATATTAAGGTTGTGTTTCTCAATGTAACGTTTTCTGGCATTTGCAATTAGTTGTTCCTTTCTTTCCTTAAACGATTTACTTCTTTCAGAAGCAGATTTTGCAAATGTCGATGCTGCTGTGTTAAACATGAAACTACTGCTTGGAATAGCGGATCCAGAGAAGCTTGAAGTAGAACTTGTGGACTGACTTGAAGTACTCGGCTTTGTACTCTGTTCAGGTATAAAATGAACACGCCCTTCTAAAATATTTGTAATCGTATTGTCCACATTTCTAGTAGTATCTGAAAACAAATTATCTCAACAGGCTTAACAAATTTTTAAATGGAAAATATGACAATATTTCTTCAGCATAGGAGCGTATCAATCCACGATACCCAAGCTAACACGACTCTCACACTATACTTCACATATGCCAGAGATGCAGTGATGTCTTACTTGGACAATGTAGTAAAAGATTAGTACTCGACTCATTTCCCTTCAAAAGGGAAAATGCTTAAAAAATTAGGTAGTGCTATTTGAAAAAAAATGTGGCTAATGTCATAGGTTTATGAAACATAGCGCAAAAAAGGTTTAAGCAACTTGACAAAACGACAATTCCTATATACTAATTGACGTGTTTTAGCGTTTTTGTGAAAACACAACAAAAAATAAAATATGAATGTTTTGCATTATCTATTTCTGGGACGCACTGTATATAGATAAAATGGAAAATAATGGAATAAAAACAAACTCTTTTACATTTGAACTTAGACTAAACCCATACATAATCTTAAGAAATGTTTTTGTGGTTTCAAAATAATACAAACATAACTGAATTATTATTATTAAATTATACTAAAAACCTGGACTTAATGCAAAAAACAATTAAAATTTGGAAAACGAGTTGATTTTTATTTTGCGACGTCCTTTTTATGGTTTTATTATAATCTAATTTTTATGTTTACTTACAGAGATCATTGTACACAGCAGTAAAGGGCACATGTGGTAAAACTTCTCTGACCTGTAGACTCATACGTTGCAATTCAGAATTTAACACAGACCTAGAACTATTTTGCATCTCCAGCCTTTGCTGATTTTCAGCTATTTTTCTTTTTTCCCACTCGATTAATTCTGATGAAGTATAATCTACCGTCTCAATCTAAAAATTGTATACTACATTATAAAACCTGCAACCACAATTTTAATAGTAATTTTTTGATAGTGACTGATTTTTTGAGCTATTTTATGTGTTTTATTTTGATCAGATTAAACTATAATTAAATTGACAAGAAAACTGCATCCTTTCTAGGGAGAACTGTAGGCTTTAGAAAAAAAGAAAATATTAAATTGGCAAGAAAATTAATTATTTCATTATTAATGATCATAAAAAGTTTATTATAGGAATGTTGAATAAGTTCTCGTTGTTTTCCAACATATTCTTTTAAATAAAGCATTAATTTTCACGATAAAACAATGAGAACTTGTTCAATACCCCATAATTTTTTTCAACATACTTTGCAGTGTGTGTGGTGTGCAGGATATATTTTTAAACAAGTGATAAAAGTGAAAATAAACATAATTCAACATTATCTCATAGATGACATGCACATATTACAGTTACACTAGCTTTCCAGCTTTTCACAACGGATTGTGATAATGTTACATACCTTTAATGCTGTTGCGATACTTTGGCGAACAACTTCTGCAAATTCGCTGTCGGAATGATTTTCCTTTTCCAGAGGAGTCAAAAAATGTAATCTATAATTAGTGAGTGGAGAGAACATAAAGAAAAAAACATCACTAAAATATGAGGATCCCAACGTAGTTACCGAAATATTTAGGAAAGGTCTTTCTACGGTTATACATATTGGCTGGATCTTTGTGGCAAATTGAAAAGGATATGATTTAAATTTTATCAATGCTTTTCCATTCGTCAATTTCCCTTCTGGCGTAAAATACAGAGGGATTTTCTTTTCAGATATAAATTGACAAATATTTTTTTTAAATGCATCAAAGTTAGCAACACTTCCAAAGTAATAAGTACTCGTCCCCAATATTTTTTCCAGGGAAACCTTAGTTCCAGGCTAAAACAAAGTACACATTTATAATATTATTGCTAGGCTTTGGTGCACTTGGAGACATGACACAGAGAGAACAGCTAAAACTAGAATGTAGGACAATATAGCCAAACAGCATTATGCTATGAGAAGAACATTGTGAATTTTCCATATTTCCTTTGTTGTGCCTTGGACAAGATTGCAAAACGACATTTTGTGATTTTAAATGGTTCCGTTTGAATTAGATTATCCTTTAGTTCATATTTAACAGCACTATTTTTTTTTTATTTTTCACTAATTGATGTTAATTCAATATTTCAGACACTGATTATGAACTTGAGAGAAACATTTCTATTTAACATGTCAAAAAGTAAAAAGTTCTCCGACTACATATGCTCATAAATTCATTTATAGTGCTTAAACTTAGAATACTGATTAGAAATGTTAAAAAATGCTTTAAAAATTATTAATCGATTGTTTGTGATTGTCTTACATCTCCTATTTTTATATGTTAATCTCTTAAATTTTGTTTTTATGTAAATGACTAAAGAAAGTGATGGCATGTTAAAAGAAAATGGAATGAGCAAATAGAAAGCGGAAGAGATCTAATTCTTATTGAAAATTGTATTAATTGCAAAGTAGAAGTTAACACTGTTAAAACCATCGATTTGACAGTATACTATGGATGTAGAGACAGAGGGCAAGGGGTCAAGATGTAAAATGAGATGAAGTTAAAACTAATAATGAATACAATACTATGTTCTTACAGATTGAACTTTTAATTCAAACTGTGTAATAAATTGTGCAATAAAACGTGTAGTAAAAACGTGCAATAACAACTTTTATGATACTAAAAATTATTTAAAAAACCATAACTTTTAACATGATAGTAGATTTTTTTTTAATGTACTGAGAGAAAAAAGACAATATCAACAGCAGTCTCTCTCGTTTTGTTTGTTTGTTTGTTTACTATGGACGAATGGCACGTATATGAATATAAAAAAATACTTACTGCAACTGCACCAGTAGCGACATTCACTGCTAGATGATCAAATATGGACATACTATTACTAACGTACATATCAACATTTTCCTTCTTTTTGGGATTTTCTATTGACACAGATATCCCAAATGCCAACGTAGCTATTTTATTCAAAATTTTCTGTGATGCCCCTGTATCCGATACAACGTAACCCAATATGAAAAGACTAAGAATAAGTATAGTCCTCAGTAAAAAGAACACTAACCCAAAAGGTAGAAACAAAATAAATAGCAGTAATTTGACATCATTATCTGGCAACCTAAAAATAATAAAATTAATAATCAAATGTAGGTATTAAGAGAATGAATTGCACTTACCTATTTGTTCTAAACAGATGTTTAATCTCAATATTTGACATATTTATAATATTGCTGTTTTAATAAAAAAATATCATAACGGTTAGTTTTTCAATCTTTTTTTTATTTGTTCAAAAGAAACTAGTTCAATCACAAATAAAATTCCAAAATTATTATGTCCGTATTATTAGGCAACAATTTAGTTCACTAGTAAAAGTAAAAAAAAACTATTAAATGTCACGATTGTCAGTGTCACATTTACGGTGCGTTCCATAAACCATACACAATAAGTTCTTTCCTTTGTGATTCAGTGTAGTGTAAATTACACCACACTGAAAACCAGCTGATCAGAGTGGTGCAAAAGTTCTGTTAGGATCAAAGGAATAACGAAGTGTGAGATGGTGTAGCTGTACAATAATATAAGTTTAGGATATATTCTAAATCTGAAAACTGTATTTTTTTCCTAACTAAGCATTAATTATGGACGTCGTAGGTGTTTTTTGTGACGATGACTTTTTAGACAATAGATTGTAGATCTTCATTCAAGTTCGAGTGATAGTGGTGATGAAGTAGAAACTATAATCAGTTCTTTATTTAAAAGAGATAAACGAAATTCAATTAAACAGTATATATGTAGAAGAAATTGTACCCAAATATTCTGATAGAGTTTTTAAAACACTAGGATAAATAAAACACTATTTGATTATTTGGTTCTAAGATACAAGAATTGTGAAATGTTCAAATAGAGCAGACTGCGCATGTCCAGTGCATTTCACTCCTGCTCAGGCTAGGTGTAGATAAACTGCACTAGTGCAAATAACACTGAGCAGTGGAATAAGAAAGTGTGGTGTAAAATGCAACACTCTCTTGCAAAGGAACGATAACTGGCTATTCGGTGCAGCTAGTACTACACTTTCTGTGCAATGGAATAGGCCTAATGTACGTAACCATAAACCTTGGATTTGAACCTTGAACCTTGGAAAATAATTTATAGAGTGAGATTTACCTTTCTAATTTTTCTATGGTATTAATTCTAATAATTTAACTAAATCTGTTATCCACCAGTCCGTAAATGGACGCTATTGAAACATACTAAGGATAGTGTATATGTTTTATGGTATGCAGTTTCTTAAAAATGATTATGTTTAAAGTTTAGTACGTAACTTAAGAGCATATACAAAGTATATATAGAGGGACCGCCGCCTGTTAAAAAGTGTAGACGTTGTAGAGAGAAAAGGCGATAATCCTCGCTTTCTCTCTCCCTAATCTTTAAGGAGAAGTGGTTAGTATACTATATTAGATCTAAGGACGTGATGCCCTGTTAAAGAGCGGTGGGAGTTGCGTTAGCCAATCATATGCTTGTGTGAGAGAGAAAGATAATACCCAAACTACCTCTTTCTTTCTCTGTTACTAGTTTACACTGTAGCTATAAGTGTGCTTCTTCCATACGTACCAACATAGATTAGAGTTTAGAGCATATACTACTGGAGGCAGCGGTCCAGTTCCATTGGCCGAGAGTGTAGCGGAGGTTGTAGAGAGAGTGAGAAAGAGAGAGAGAGTGGGGGGTGAGAGGGAGAGAGATTGAGGGGGTATAATTGTTAATCTGAATAATTCGTGTGATTTACAACTTATCCCACTTGCGGACTATAAAACTGAAATTCTAGCTTTAAACTTGAACTTGAACTTAAACCTGTAAATAGTTGTCATTTTTCACATTTACATGTATCTAATTGAATTTGAAAAAAATAAATACGCATTTAGCTTAACAAATTTTTATTTTTTTAAAACTGTTGGGTACAATTGAAAAAATACTGATTGCTTATACATTTACAAATTCAATCGTACCGGAAACATGTCTGGACCCTTTTGTATTAAATAATCAGATATCAGATCCGTTCTAAGTGTTGTGCGTCGTACATGGGAGGTGTTCTATATTATATATAGCATATTCCAATGTATCACCCCGCTACCATTAAATTAATAAATAACATGTTAAATATAGAGACTTAATAGCAGTTTATATTATCATTTACAAAATTGAGCAACACAACACATACGGCGTACATTCTAGGAACGGTCCTAGATAAGAATCACCTAATATCACTGTTCAAGGAGAAATCTGTAACTCAATAAATTCATTTAGCAATACAGATTTCCTCCTACATTTTCCTTCAAATGTCTTCGAACATAAGTGGTAATTTTATCGGAAAGTCCTAGTTTTGTGGCATCCTTTTGAAAGTCCTCCTCTTTTCCGACACCAACTAAATAACCATTGAGCTTCGCTGCCACATGCGAAGTCTGCAACAATTCTGGTGTCAGACCCAAATCTTCGCATAACCAACTGTGTTCTTGTAGTCGATACTTTTGATGGTAACTGCAAAAATTGCGTTTTTATAAAATATTGATTAAAAAGAGTTTCGTTACTTGAATAAAAATATCATCATATTCATCTACAATTATACAGGGTTATTCATTTTTAAACAAATAAACTTCATCAAGGGTCGAGTAATGAAAAATACAGGATGATTCACATCATGGTGACAAAAAATTTAACCTCCTATTCTTTGGTGAATTTTAAGGGGAGTCTTTCCTATAAAGTTTTTATCTAGGACGCTTCGTTAAAAAGATATAGGGTTCAACTTCACAAAATATTTTTAATTTTTTAAAATAATTTAAAAACTATGTAGTAAGTGAAATTATTTGAAATTGGGCACATGCATTTATGTAAACACTGTCCAAAATCTGAGGCCTTTTCCTAAAATTTACATGCTTCAGTGACAGAGATACAGGATATTGGTGGCATATTTTTTTAAATAAAATAGAAAAATTACTACTCTTATGTCTTATGTTTTCGAAAAAAGCCTGATTTTCGAGTAAAACTTAAAAAACCAACTGAAAACACCGGACCTCAACCCACTGGATTTTTTTTTTGTGGGGTGCTGTTAAGCGGCTGGTATACAGTGGACATATTTAATACACGTGACAAGTAACAATAAATTTCGAACAAATTACATTTACTAAAAACATGTCATGCCTGTGTTCGTGGATATGGAGGTATTTTTGAGCAATAACTCAAATAAAATCATTAAAATGTTGAAATTTCTTTATTCAAATAGGATAACCGAATGATTAGTGTTTGTCATGTTATTTAAGTAAAAGTGTTTTCAGTTTGTCGAACTAAACGTGGAGGCGGCAGAAATGTATAATACCCAGTTGAAAAATGTGGGCGCGGGCAAATGACGTACAAACACTGCACTGGTCGACTGAGTAATAAATCTCAGTTGTTAACAAGTAGTTGACAAATTGCCTAGCAGTGCAGTGCAGCAATGCGGAATTTGGTGTGATTCAGGTAATTTTAATTTATTATAGACACCATCTATTAATCATTAATATTACTATTGCGAAAGGGAGAAATAAAAGGGACATTTTGTTTACTAATATTATTACAACATGACATTTTGGAGACTTTTGAAATGGAGCAAAACAAAATTTACCATCAATATGATAAAATTGTTTGAGGACATAGATAATTAAAATATGTTGTTGGCCAAATGAACATATATAATATAAATTTTTGTTTTGCACAAAAAAAATGTGAAGAGCTTAGGTTGCAAGAGCTCAAGAAATGCGGTCATTATTAGAAAAGCGACAACAAGTTGTATTTCAAATCCAGTTGTACCTGCATAGATCAGAGTCTCGTTACTGACGTCACCACATTCACATAGGCACACCATTTATAACACGAGTGCATTTATGCATTTTTATACCATACATACTGTGTATGTAATGTGTAATGTGTAAAGCCACCGCCAACAGTCGCATTCAATATTTCATTTAACTGATTGCTAAGGCTTAACAGTAAAATAGCAATTATAAATTGAGGATAAAATCTAAAAGGAACAAGTTGTTTGATTACCCCATATGAGTAGTTAAAAGAATATTTTATTGTCTGAGACTTTTTTTGTCCATTTTAGACTGGATTCAGGTACAATTATGCTTAAAAATATTACTTAACATTTCGAGGTAAACTACTTTTCACTTTTTGTTTTCGGCATTATAATTAAGCAGATAAAAAAAATAAGCATAGCAGACATACTCCTAATATAAATTATTAATCAGTAAATCTGTGACAAACAATATTAACATTTTATCTTGCAACTTCAAGGTAATATGACTAATCTATAGGTATTTAAAAACCGAATTTTTGAAAATGCATATTTTTTAATATTTAACTATCGTTTTACAATAAAAAGTTTTCTAGTGTATACGATGTTATAAAAAAAATCATATACAACGTGTTTCACTTTTCTCGAAGCCACCTTCATATCTCGGTTATTTTGAATTCAAACGTCTTGGTATTTTAATACGAAATAATTACCTGCTAATCAATTATTGTGGTACAACAAAATCTGATTTTAGTCATAGGCGTTCGATTTTAAAATTAAAAAAGGGGTACACATTTAAATAATGTATTAGGAATTGTTTTAGTAATATATTCTAATTTAGCAACCTCTGTGTCAAATTGGTAACTTTTTCTGTTAAAAAAATCATACTTGATAAAACATTACTAAAAAGTAGATACTCACTCTTCTGCAGGATAAAAAGGGCCCGCAGGTGCAATTTCCGTCACCAGTTTTGTATTTCTTTTATGTGCTTCCTTTTTAAGGGATATCTCGGCAATTCTTTTTTGATCTTCATTGTGATATAAAATGAGGGACATGTACTAAAATAAACTATCATTAGATTATGAACACCGGTGAAAAGCAAAGTTGTTTACCTGTCTCTTGATAATGGTTGTCAAACCGTATTCGTGATTGTCCCAAAAGAGTGCTAACAGATCTTCATAACTTATTGTCTTGGGATCATAGTCAATTTCGATGACTTCGGTATGATCTCCCCTGTGAACAATAATATAACAATGAATATTCATAATAATTAAACACCTGATACAAAAATTCACAGGGTAGTACCTAAGGAATGTTACATACTTCAAGGTCGATTTAACCAAACTTGCTTAAACGAAAAATGTCGCAAAAAAAGTTACAGGGAGTTAGTTTCTTTTTTTAATTTTTTGTTTTCTCCTTAACTCAGAACCTAGTTAACCGATTCGAGCAAATTTGCTGTTGCTTTATTGTTTCTCATCTTCATGAAGTATGCAGTGGTTATGTTCCTATTAGGTTAAGGCGTTCATTTTACTATAAACTCTTTGTGAATATTATTCTGTAACTTTCTTTTGTACATTTAAATTTATACACTCAACTACCTATATCAGAAATAGCTAGCGAATTTTATTCTACAAAAAATGTATATCTAAGCAGTAGTCGGTGACTGCGTGAGCTTTTTTACGATCAAATCAAAACGTTCAAATTTCAAATCGGTGAGTAGCTGATTGCGAGAGTTTTTTTTAAGGTCTGCATGGTCCCACCCCAAGCAATTTTGTAGACCATATTTTTTAGGTATATTGAATCAATTCTTTTTTGGGTAACTGAAAAAATAACTCAGAATCTTTCCAAGCAAGTTATTAGGTATGCTGAAATTATAGGGAGAAATTTTGCAGATATTTTGTTGGAGATTAATTATTACTAGCTTACAAAACCAATATTATTTCTTTTTATTAATATAATTACATAGAAGTTATTTCATAGTCATTTTTGTATCACAAAATATAAACATAATAAATCGCCACCAAAAAATAAATCATAAATTTGGCTGTCAGAAAGAGCCGCAATTCAATGGCGTGCCAAGCTGGTCAACCGAGGCATGCGTGAGCCGCTGCCTCAGAATGGACGTTCACGTCACGTTAGTAGGTATAGTATAATATAGTAGTAGTATATAGTATACTTTGTTATCGTGGGGATGTTGCGTAATTAATTCCTATCAGTTGGTGTTTATGGTGGTGTATTGTAGACAATTTAATTTGTTGCGTTTTAACAAATAATGCGTACGCCTATGTCTCGCGGCTCGCGGCTCAGTTCTGACAGCCCTAATAATAAATGTATAATTAATTATTCTATAATGTAGTATTGTAAACTGATTTAGATACGATTTCTTTTAATTATCTATTTAATTTTACATTTATTTTATTTCCAATTTGAGTTGTAGTTTAGTAGTATGTACAATTAATTGTACATACAGTTTAGCTGTCAATATCATAAACACAATTTTTAAATGTAAATAGGTAAATCGCCGTTCCCATCTCTAAACAGTTTCTTTAAATCGTCACCAGATGGCGCACTGTTTAGTAATCTCTAAAAAATGGTGTTTATAACTGTTTATCGCGCGTTTAGCTTAAATAATAGTGCAATTAATCAATTAATTAATAGTGGATAAGTGTTTTTAGTGCAGTAGAATTAACCCTATTAGTGTTTTACTAATGTGAATGGGCTTCCAGTGTAACTTTACGTTTTACCGGTATCAGGTAGGTGAATTAAATTTAAAACGGTTAACAAGGCTTCTTCAGAAGCTTTCAAAATTAACAAGTTTAATGTGAACGAAACAAAGTATCATTTTTGGTTGGTCGCTTTGGAAGGATTGGCATGGATTGACATAATTTTTAGTGAACAAATTTGAATAAATCATTGACTTACATTTTTTTATATACAGGGTCTAATGTTGTCCCGCCGGAGTATCCAACTCGGGTACGCAACACTCCCTTTTGCGCTCCAAACAGGGCATCGCATGCCCAAAAACATCCCATACCAAAGGTGGCTTTCTTGTAGGGGGTGGAAATTTCGTGCAGAATACTGGGCATCTTGTTAATCTAAAAATAAAAACATATATAATAAAACACAAGCAAAAAAATAAATGATTGAAACATTTTTACATAATAAAAAACAATAAGTTGTGTACCACCACTGAATCTAGTATTTAAAAAACCAACCTAGTGTATACTGTGAATGAGTTAACAACACAGAGGTAACTGGTATTATATAAATAGCGGGGTAGTCTTTTATACTCGTACTGATCGAAGGCATCAATCGAAATTTGCAAGTCACTGAAATAAAGCGTGATAAAAAATAAAATAAAAGATAACGAGTGTATCTATAATACTGTGGTAGGGAAAGAAATATCTATTACAAATTACTACTGTTATTCTACGAAGAGCTATTGTAGCATAGTGAAATGTTGCATCAGATTATTTATTTGATGAACCCAGAAATCACAAAGCGTATCGTAAAATATTTTGATGTTTTCATACCGTGTGATACGGATTATATGTTGTGTATATTATTTAAAAATAACGTTTTTGGTACGTGACATTTATTTATACAAAATTTTAATAGTAATAATAGCGGATATAGACATGTATTTTAAGAGCAGACATCAGCAATAAATTAAGAAATGGGACCGAAAATAATCATAAAAAAGTTTTTGTTGTCCCCATTAGTAAGTTGTAATCTAATAATAAGAAATACTATAAATTACAACAGATTTCTAAAGAGTCTACTAAAATGTAGATATATCGATGGTAGACTGCACTTTTCTTTTTAATATTAATAACTATTAAAATATGTATTATGTATCATAGGTAAAAGCTTAATAATATCTCTTATTCTCATGAAATAATAATTAATAATAAGTGATTTGTATAATTGCATTTTGAAATAAATTACATTTTTCATTATTTTAGACCAACAATCGAAACGTTTGTTGACATATGTATAAAAAAAGTTATGAAGTCCTTTGAAATTTTTGTGATTTGTGATTGATAATTTTATTAACAAAAAAACGGAACTTATTATAATATCGATGAGGACGATATTATTTTTTAGAAACATATATTCTTAGAGATTGTAATTATGTCCTCATTTTCTTTCGGTATCAATATTTAAATATACTTACATATTATAATAAAATTTTGCGTATTGAAATAAAAAAATTGAACCAATCAATATCAAATTTTTATAAATAATATAAAACAAACCATTAGCATTATTTTTATGAGGATCAGAGGTGAATTATCAGTTAATCATTTTTAATACATACTTATTGTAATTCAAAATAGATCTGTTAGATCCCGAGGTAAATAGTAGATAGATATAAAGCAGTTATTAATTCTATTTAAGTAGGTATATGGTACATTATATAAAATGACATAAATAACGTTTTTTGGTATTAAAATAAAATCATACCTATTTTTTGTCTACAGGAATAGTGTAAGCCTCGAAGACCGAGTAAAAAAAACTATAGAGAATGAATTTGAAAATTAGTAGCATTTTAATTCAAATGTTTTCATCTTTTTAATCTTCCAATTCTTACTACCTATGTAAGATTCCATTTTTTGAAAAGATTACAAAATTTTAAGTGGCAGGCTTCAAAAGAATGAACATATAAACATAGTCCTTGATAAGAGGAAATTGGATATTGCCATAGGGAACAGTCTTCAAAAAAAAACATACGATTACACCAGTGAGAGATGGTAAAAACCACATGATCAATGATCAGCTCACAAAAGAAATGAATATACCAATGAAAATACTCAACAGGCAATACCTACCTAAAAACAAAAAGATGGAGGAATATCTGGCAATAACAATCGTCTATACGGAAGAATGTACAAATAACTAAATCGCCCTTTAAAAGGAAGCACAATATTAATATCATCTGTAACACCCAAAATGACGCAAGGGCGGTGTATTCCAAGGTCCTGGTCCCAACCACCGGAACGACACAGTACGCACACGCAATTTAACTTTTAGTATACAAAATCGTTTTGTTTTTTAAATTTTTTCTCGGTGCAGCATTAATTAGGTAATTAATATATCTTATCCACGTTTCCAAAATATCAATGAGCATAGAACATAATTATATTTTCCAAAAATTGGGTTTACTTATCCATGTGTCACTGGTGCATGCAACGACATTTTTGGGGGTGCTTTTTATTACATTTCGGGAAGTAAATTTGAATGCCCTGTATTGTATGTACCATCCAGAACTTTTTTGTTTAAAATTATATTATTTCACGATCAGTTCAGAACTTGGACATACCCATTAAAACAAAAATTATCTTACTGTAATTTATATTCGCTTTGCATTTAAACTGAGAACATAACACTTCAATATAATCTGACATGTAAAAAATAAGATAATTAAGCAAATATCCTTTTATTACTTGATATAATCGATCATGAGATTAAAAAGTGAAACCCTACCTGACGACTTCTTTTCTAAATATACTTTTTTAAACGAGAAATTTTTAAGATTAACATTGGTTACCTAAGTGGGAAAATACAAAAATAAATTATAACCACAAAGCCACCAATTAAATGAAAAAGAAATATTAAAACGTAAAACAATTTATTTCATGTAAGCAAGAATCACAGCAATAGTTCGGTTATTAAAAAAAAAATGAGACAACAACACTTATACAAGGTGGTCTTAAATTTTATCCCGATATTTTCAGGGCCAATAGTACGGTAATAAGAAATAACGGTATAGTCCAGTCACTGATGAAGACGAAAATAAGGTAAAAGCTCCCAATTTTTTCGGATAGCATGGATTTTCCTGAAAATTTGCATACAAGCTCATCTGACCCTTCACTTCAAAAGTCATATTGTGTGCTTTTTTTATTTGGGTGGTGAAAACTACCCTTGTACGAAAAAAATGCGAAAATCGCAGATTTACGTATTTTAAAGATTCAATTCATGTTCAAATATATGTTGGATAAAGTTCCTTTCATGTTTTTAATATAATTTATGAAATTTAATTACTTTTCAACCCTTAAAAATCCTTAAAAATTACGCTTCCATGGCCAAAAAAATAGAAAAAAAAGTTTTTAAGAGTTTAAAATATTCTTTTGGTGCATTCACAGTGGATTGCATTTCTTCTGTTATTCATTAGAAAGCTTACGAGTCATTACAAAGTTGCAACCCTTAAAAACCATTCCTTATAATAAAATAAACAAAAAATATTATTGAAAGCTTGAGATGTTTTAATGGTATGCATATGTTGTAATGGTTTTCAAATGATCTATGATATATTGCAGCTTTTCAGCCACCCAAAAAACCCTTATGGAAGACCTACCCCTCATAAAAAACCCTACCCCTTAAAGAAAAATTTCCTAAAAATTATATGTGAGTACTTATGATGATATAATTAATTTTTTTTTAATTTTATTGAATTTATTCTTAATATTCTTTCATTAAATTAATTTCAAATAAAAAAAAATTATATACATTATAAATGGATGTATTGTACAAAATGTTTTAAAAATGGTCTGTTATTTTTTACATGTGTATATAATAAAATATTTAATTTTCATCACTATCGCTATCTTTAGCCTTGCCTTGGTCCAAAATTGGACGACAACTGTTACAATTATCGTCAGAACATGAACCACACGTGGGATTGCAAAAAAGTCCAAATTTTTCTGCAACCACAAGTTGCGCCGCATCCTTTTTTGCAATTGCAAAATATCATCCTAAGTTGTTCATCTCGTGCAGGCTTTTTTGCATTTTTATTGGTTGCAATGTATATTATTAAAATCAGTTCACAAGTGCTCCAAAATACACAAAGATGATTTACCCGCTCCGAAAATTTTGCCGAAAAAATGCGATTAACTTTTTTACCATAGCTTTTGTAATTTTAAAGTTATAAATTTACTCAAAAAACCATTTTGTAGGGATGTTAAAGCACATTAAGTTCTGTGATTTGCAGCTTTTTTGAGCTCTTCATTTTTTAGATTTGTAAGCTAAAAGGGCTCAGAAATGGCAGTTTTGAGCTTCTAACGGTAATAACTCAAGTCAAATTTTGTCCTACAAAAATTAACTAATTAACACTATATAACTTTTGTTTCTTGGGCTACTCCCTAGCTACAATTCAAATTTCACGTCAATCCATTCCATCCGAAAAAATTGGTAGCCAAAATGTTTCAGTGACTGTACTAGTAGCTTTTCATGTAAACTCTCTCTGAAAATTGATAAGGGGATACGAATTCGCCCAATTTTGTTAATTCGATTTCATATCAACATATGGAATTTATTCTAGCGTAAGAGATAGCTTTATTTCTTTTTATTCCTACTCCACTTTTTTAATTTTTGAATAATCTCCAGCCTAAAAAACATATCTTTAATTTTATGACAAAACCAAATGTACTATTTCATAGAAATAATATTCCAGAGTGGATCAGTAAGCAATATGTTATATAATTTTAATTTTTAATTTCTGATTACTCATGCAGGTAATTGTAATGAATAGATGCATACAATCTTACGATAGACAGGATTTGGACGCTATTTTAAGACAACATTAACATAAACATATGACAGCAGATAACATAGCGAGTCGTTTTAGATGTCTTGCGTAACTCTTATCGCATGTAGCACTGCTGTACTGGCTGTCCCATCTCGGCCAAGGCCGTCGAATAGTACTACTAACCGAATTGCCAATTTTGAAACGCGACCAGAGACCCGCTTTGTCTATTTTTATTTGTAAACGATTTTAAAACGTAAAAATGACGGTAATTACGAGGAAGATCAAACTTTACTACCTACCTACATGAAATTTTTGGATATGATTTATGTACTCGTCACCACAGCAAATTACATAAAAGAAAATTCCGTCGAATACCTATGTGGTTGTACGATATGTAGAAGAAAATGTTGGTTTTCAGATTATTGGTACTACGAAATTACATAATACATCTAATTAGTTATTTGTATATGCTAATACTTCAATTATTTATACTACATTTCAATCATTTTTGAGTAGTTATCAATTAAAATTTCAAATCAGTTTGAATTAAATAATGTGTTAGGGTAC